TGCCAGGGAGAATTCAAATCTCTGTCAGCCTGAGAACATTGGGGGTGGGGGCGGGTTGGCTGGAGGCCCGAGTTGAAAGGACCCTCACCGGGGGCAGGAACTGGAGACCTCCATGCCAGGAAGAATTCAAATCTCCCTCAACATGAGAACACAGGTGGGGGTGGCCAGAGGCCCCAGTTAGGAGAACCCTTACTGGGTGGGACCCCAAGAACTCCATGCCTGGGAGAATTCAAATCTCCATCAGTCCGAGAACACTGGCAGGGGTGGCTGGAGGCCCTGGTTGGGAGGTTCCTCACTGGGCAAAACCCCGAGATCTCCATGCCAGGGAGAATTCAAATCTCTGTCAGCCTGAGAACACCAGTTGGGGTGACTGGAGGCCCCAGCTAGAAGGACCCTCATTGGGCAGGACCTTGACAACTACATGCCAGGGAGAATTCAGATCTCTGTCAGCCCGAGAACACGGGTGGGGGTAGCTGGAGACCACAGTTGAGAGGTCCCTCACTGGGCAGGACCTCAAGACCTCCATTTCAGGGAGAATTCAAATCTCTGTCAGCCCCAGAACACTAGCGGGGGTGGCTGAAGGCCAAGGTCTTTCACTGGGCGGGACCCTGAGACCTCCATACCAGGGAGAATTCAAATTTCTGTCAGCCCCAGAACACCGGTGGGAGTGGCTGGACGCCCTGGTTTGGAGGTCCCTCACTTGGCAGGACGTCAAGACCTCCATGCCAGGGAGAATTCAAATCTCTGTCAGCCCCAGAACACTGGCGGGGGAGGGTGGAGGCCCCAGTAGGGAGGTCCTTCACTGGGCCAGACCCGGAGGCCTCCATGCCAGGGAGAATTCAAACCTCTGTCAGCCTGACAACACTAGTGGGGGTGGCTGCAGACCCCAGCTAAAAGAACCCTCATTGGGTGAGACCTCGATAACTATCTGCCAGGGAGAATTCAAATCTCTGTCAGCCTGAGAACACAGGTGGGAGTGGCCAGAGGCCCCAGTTAGGAGAACCCTCACTGGGTGGGACCCCAAGAACTCCATGCCTGGGAGAATTCAAATCTCTGTCAGCCCCAGAACACTGGCAGGGGTAGCTGGAGGCCCGGGTTGGGAGGTCCCTCACTGGGCGGGACCTAAAGACCTCCATGCCAGGGAGAACTCAAATCTCTGTCAGCCCCAGAACACTGGCGGGGGTGGCTGCAGGCCCCCAGTTTGGAGGTCCCTCATGGGGCAGGACCTCGAGACCTCCATACCAGGGAGAACTCAAATCTCTGTCAGCCCAAGAACACCGGTGGGGGTAGCTGGAGGCCCAGGTTGGGAGGTCCCTCACTGGGTGGGACCTAAAGACCTCCCTGCCAGGGAGAACTCAAATCTCTGTCAGCCTGAGAACACCAGTTGGGGTGACTGGAGGCCCCAGCTAGAAGGACCCTCATTGGGCAGGACCTTGAGAACTACATGCCAGGGAGAATTCAGATCTCTGTCAGCCCGAGAACACGGGTGGGGATAGCTGGAGGCCACAGTTGAGAGGTCCCTCACTGGGCAGGACCTCAAGACCTCCATTTCAGGGAGAATTCAAATCTCTGTCAGCCCCAGAACACTAGCGGGGGTGGCTGAAGGCCAAGGTCTTTCACTGGGCGGGACCCTGAGACCTCCATACCAGGGAGAATTCAAATTTCTGTCAGCCCCAGAACACCGGTGGGAGTGGCTGGACGCCCTGGTTTGGAGGTCCCTCACTTGGCAGGACGTCAAGATCTCCATGCCAAGGAGAATTCAAATCTCTGTCAGCCCCAGAACACTGGCGGGGGAGGGTGGAGGCCCCAGTAGGGAGGTCCTTCACTGGGCCAGACCCGGAGGCCTCCATGCCAGGGAGAATTCAAACCTCTGTCAGCCCCAGAATACTGGCGGGGGAGGGTAGAGGCCCCAGTAGGGAGGTCCTTCACTGGGCCAGACCCGGAGGCCTCCATGCCAGGGAGAATTCAAACCTCTGTCAGCCTGACAACACCGGTGGGGGTGGCTGCAGACCCCAGCTAAAAGAACCCTCATTGGGTGAGACCTCGATAACTATCTGCCAGGGAGAATTCAAATGTCTGTCAGCCTGAGAACACAGGTGGGGGTGGCCAGAGGCCCCAGTTAGGAGAACACTCACTGGGTGGGACCCCAAGAACTCCATGCCTGGGAGAATTCAAATCTCTGTCAGCCCCAGAACACTGGCAGGGGTGGCTGGAGGCTCCGGTTGGGAGGTCCCTCACTGGGCGAGACCTAAAGACCTCCATGCCAGGGAGAACTCAAATCTCTGTCAGCCCCAGAACACTGGCGGGGGTGGCTGCAGGCCCCCAGTTTGGAGGTCCCTCATGGGGCAGGACCTCGAGACCTCCATACCAGGGAGAACTCAAATCTCTGTCAGCCCAAGAACACCAGTGGGGGTAGCTGGAGGCCCGGGTTGGGAGGTCCCTCACTGGGTGGGACCTAAAGACCTCCCTGCCAGGGAGAACTCAAATCTCTGTCAGCCCCAGAACACTGGTGGGACTGGGTATAGGCCCCAGTAGGGAGGTCCCTCACTGAGCAGGACGTTGAGACCTCCATGCCAGGGAGAATCCAAATCTCTGTCAGCCCCAGAACACTGGTGGGGCTGGCTGGAGGCCCCGGTTGGGAGGTCCCTCACTTGGCAGGACCTCAAGACCTCCATGCCAGGGAGAATCCAAATCTGTCATCCTGAGAACACTGGAGGGGTTGCCATAGCAAGGTGCTCTACCAAAATGTGGCCACACTGGGTCTTTAAGAAGGTCTCTAATGCATTCTTCCTCACTGGGCAGGACCTCCCAACCAGGGCCTCCAACCACCCCCACCAGTGTTCTGGAGCTGACAGAGATTTGAATTATCCCTGGTATGGAGGTCTCGAGGTTCCCCCCAGTGAGGGACCTCACAACCGGGGCCTCCAGCCACCCCCGCCAGTGTTCTGGGGCTGACAGAGATTTGAATTCTATTTGAGATGGAGGTCTTAAGGTCCCTCCCAGTGAGGGGTCTCCTAACCGGAGCCTCGAGCCACCCCCGCCAGTGTTCTGGGGCTGACAGAGATTTGAATTCTCCCTGGCATGGAGGTCTTGGGGTCTGGCCCAGTGAGGGACCTCCCAACTGGGGCCTCCAGCCACTCCCACCAGTGTTCTGGGGCTGACAGAGATTTGAATTCTCCCTGGTATGGAGGTCTCAACATCCTGCTCAGTGAGGGACCTCCCTACTGGGACCTCCAGCCACCCTCACCGGTGTTCTGGGGCTGACAGAGACTTGAATTATCTTTGGGATGCAGTTCTTGAGGTCCCTTCTAGTGAGGGACCTCCCAACTGGGGCCTCTACCCTCCCCCGCCAGTGTTTTGGGGCTGACAGAGATTTGAATTCTCCCTGGCATGGAGGTCTCGGGGTCTGGCCCAGTGAGGGACCTCCCAACTGGGGCCTCCAGTCACCCCCACCAGTGTTCTCGGGCTGACAAGAGATTTGAATTCTCCCTGGCATGGAGGTCTCGGGGTCTGGCCCAGAGAGGGACCTCCCAACTGGGGCCTCCAGCCACCCCCACCAGTGTTCTCGGTCTGACAGAGATTTGAATTCTTCCTGGTATGGAGGTCTCAAGGTCCTGCTCAGTGAGGGACTTTCTTACTGGGACCTCCAGCCACCCTCGCCGGTGTTCTGGGGCTGACAGAGACTTGAATTATCTTTGGGATGCAGTTCTTTAGGTCCCTTCTAGTGAGGGACCTCCCAACTGGGACCTCCAGCCACCCCCACCAGTGTTCTCGGGCTGACAGAGATTTGAGTTCTCCCTGGCATGGAGGCCTGGAGGTCCAGCCCAATGAGGGTCCTTTCAGCTGGGGCCTCCAGCCACCCATACCGGTGTTCTCAGGCTGACAGAGGTTTGAATTCCTGGAATGAGTTCCCATGGGCAGGAGCAAGGAGCCATCTTTGCTGTTTGTGCAACTTAGTTGTTACAGCCGGCAGGCTTTGGAGAATCCATACCTACCAGGGGCAAAAGGGATCCATCAGCACAGCACAGCTACTCTACAAAATCTTGGAAGGCAGATTCTTTTACCAGGTTCCTGCCCATTACTCCTTACTGGGCAGGACCTCGACAACTTCTTCCCAGGGAGAATTTAAATCTCTGTCAGCTTGAGAACACAGGTAAGGTGGTGGAGGCCCCAGGTGGGAGGTTCCACCCAGTAAGGAGGAAAGAATCAGGGATCTGCTTAAAGAATCTGCCTGGCCACTATTTGGTAGAGCAGTTGTGCTGTGCTGGGGGATCTCTTCTGCCCCCAGTAGGTTTGGACTCTCCAAAGTTGGCCCCACCCTCTCCCCCAGGCCCCAGTTGGAAGGATTCCCACTGGACAGGAACTCCAGAACTCCTTCCCAGGGAGAATGCAAATTTCTGTCAGCCTGAGACACCGGCGGGGTAGCTGGAGGCCCTGGTTGGGAGGAACAGATTGGGAATCCCCTTAAAGAATCTGTCTGGGGCCGGTCACGGTGGCTTACGCTTGTAATCCCAACACTTTGGGAGGCACAGCAGGCCGGATCACTTGAGGTCAGGAGTTCCAGACCAGCCTGGCCAATATGGTGAAACCCCATCTCTACTAAAAATACAAAAAATTAGCTGTGCGTGGTGATGGGCACATGTAGTCCCAGATATTTCGGAGGCTGAGGCAGGAGAATTGCTTGAATCCAGGATGTGAAAGGTGCGGTAAGCCGAGATCATGCCACTGTACTCCAGCCTGGGTGATAGAGCAAGACTTCTCAAAAAAAAAAAAAAAAAAAAGAATCTGGGCACATTTTGGTAGAGCAGCTGTGCTGTGCCAGGGATCCCTTCTACCTCATCAGTTTGCACTGTCCAAAGCCCACAGGCTGGAATGGTTGTGTCGCCCAAACAGCAAAGATGGCGGCCAGCTCCTCCCCGGGGAAACTCATCCCAGGGAGCGCCAGCATCCTTGGCACAAGTTGGCAAGTATTGGCTGAAATGACAGGTGCCCTTGGGAAATTTGAAAGGGTTATCCACGTACGGTTGCTGATTATTTTTACAATTTTCCTGAGATGTCTTTATCGTTCTCTGACTCTCCTGTCTATGGTCAGACATTTGGCTCTCATAGGTGACTTTCTGGCTGAAGAATGTGGATTCTTCACTGTCTTGTGCTTAGAGGGGGCTCTGTAATCCCAGAAATGTCCATATCTGATGAAAGAAAGCAAAGAAGAATGAAGCAAAAAGAGATACATATCATATTCATAAGAAGATTCAATGCTATTAAGATGTCAGTTCTTTCCAATGTATAGATTCAATGCAATTAAAAATCTAAGTGAAAATATTTATATGGAGAGGCAAAAGACCTTGAATAGCTAACACCATATTGAAGGAGAAGAACAAACTTGGAGGACAGACACTACTCAATTTCAAGGCTGACTGTGAGGCTACAGTAATGGAGACAGTGTGGTATCAGTGAAAGAACAAACGGATAAAATGAGATAGAGAGTTCAGAAATAGAAACACATTAATGCATTCAATTAATTTTTGTCAAAAAAGTAAAGGCATTATGATGATGAAACAGTTTTTTCAGGAAGGGCTTCTGGAATACCTGGATATCCACATGCAAAAAATAAATAAATAAATCACAGACCTTACACCCCCACCAAAATTAACTCAAAATGGATCATCAACATAAATATACAAAAACCCATAAAATTTATAGAAGATAATATAGAAGAAAATACAGATTATCTTGGGTTTAATGATGACCTTTAGAAAAAACACCAAAGTTGAAGTCAATAGAAGAAAGAATTGATAAGTTGGACTTGATGAAAATGTAACATTTTTACACCATTAGACACACTGAAAGAAAAGAAAAACCACAGATGGAAAAAATATTTGCCAAAACATATCTGATTGAGAACTATTATTCAAAACATATTAGTATTCTTAAAGCTGATCAGTAAAAGACATGAGCTAAAGACCTTAACAAGTACCTCACCAAGTAAATTATACAAATGGAAAATAAACATATGTAATGAGGCTACATACAATATTTCCTCAGAGAAATGCAACCATGAGATGCCACTGCACACGTATTAGAATAACCAAAATCTAGAATGACTGACAACATCAAGTGCTGGCAAGGATCTGGAACAAAAGGAAACTTCATTCATTGCTTGTGGGAATGCAAAATGGTGCAGCCACTTCTTGAAATTTGTATTTTATGTACCTCAACAGCATGGCCTTCACTGTTCACATTCCTATTATCATTTTGGTCAACCACTTAACCAAGGTCTAATAAGTTCCACAAGTTTCCTCATCTTCCTGTCTTCTTTGCCTATTACCCAGTTCCAAAGCAAATTCTGCATTATCAGGTATTTTTAAAGCAAAACCCCACTCCTTGTTGCTAATTTCTGTTAGCAACACAGAATAACATAGAAAAGAGCAACACAGAAAAACACAAATTTTTGTGTTGCTATAAAAAAATACCTGAGACTGGGTAATTTATAAGGAACAGAGGTTTGTTTGCCTTACAGTTTTGCAGGCTGTAGAAGCATGGCAGTGGCATCCACACAGTTTCTGGTCAGGGACCCAGAAGGCTTTTACTTGTGGCTAAAGGTGAAGAGACAACAGGTATGTCACACATGGCTAGAGAGGTAGGAAGAGAGGGGAGGGGTGCCACACTGTTTTAAATAACCATCTTTCATGTAATACAGTGTGAACTCACTCATTAGTGAAAAGAGGGCAAAAAGCTATTCAGGAGAGATCAACCACCATGACCCAAACACCTCCCACTAGGTCCCACCTCCAACATCGGGGATCAAATCTTGACACAGTATTTGGAGGGTACAAGTTTGCAAACAATATTACTCTCTTTTAGTCTTTGACTTTGGACAATTTCATTATAGTGTATCTTGTTGTGAGTACCTGGATTCACCTTATTTGGTTTCCTTTGGGCTTTCTGGACCAGGCTTTCTGTTTTCTTCCCCATGCTTGATAAGTATGTCATTATTCCTTTAAACATTTTTCTGTTCCTTTCTTCCTCTTTTCTCCTTCAGGCATGCCGATAATGTGAGAGTGGTCCTGCTTGACGGTGTCCCATAACTCTCTAAAGTTGTCTTCACCCTTTTTGCATTATCTTTTTTTTTTTTTTCTGATCCTCAGGTTAGGTAATTTTCAGTGACCAGTCTTAAAGCTCACTGATAGATTCTGTCAATGAACACCTCTATTAAATTTTTTTCAGTTCAGTTACAGTACACTTTAGATCTATGATTGGTTTGACATTATTGTATAACGTTTTTCCTTTTCTTGAAGTTCTCAGCTTGTTCTTGCAAAGCTATCTTGACCTCAGTGATTATTGTTACGACCACTATTTGGAAATATCTATCAGATAAATTACATATCTGTACTTCACTCAGGTGCTGGAGATTTATCTTGTTTTCTTACTTTGAATGTATTTCCTTGTTTCTTCATTTTTCCTTGACTCTCTCTGTTGGCTCCTGTGCATTTGATAAGACTGGCCTCATGTAGGAAAAGGATCTCACCAAACTTTCCAGCCAGAGATCTTCAGGTACCTCTCAAATCCCTGTGTGCTATAGTGTTGTCTTTGTTTTTTGTGGCTCCCTGGAACTTAGGATGTGCCATGCCTTGCCGGTAACCAAAAATTGGTTAAGGTAGGAGCCAGACGATCCAGATGTAGTTAAAAAGTTAGAAGGCTGGATGAGTGTTTCAATTCTTTCTAACTACATGATGAAGATTAGTATGGACATTTATCTCCCACTCTCTCTCCATTAAGCTTGGTAGAGGATCTGTGACAAACACACGTATGCACACTCTGGATGCAGCCTCTGATCCTGAGGAGATAGCTTCTGAATGTGGGCCCACTGTATGCTTACGTCTTTGTTTTCTGTGGTCTAAACACACTCAAAAATACAAAATCCTGTCGCCTCCTAGAGCAAAGTTGTCAAGAAAACAGTTCCTTGGGCACTAACTATAGAGGCTGTGGAATTTGATGCATGATCCAAAAATATTTTCATTTAATAAACATCTTTGCATGTCACACATTTAATGGGAAACAAAATATGTTAACAGTCTAGTAATACAATTTTATCTTTTAGATTTTGTTTTGTCAGCACGTATTCTTTTTGTTTTGTTTTGCATTTGAGATGGAGTCACTCTGTCGCTCAGGCTAGAGTGCAGTGGCACGATCTTGGCTCACTGAAACCTCTGCCTCCCAGTTTCAAGTGATTCTCCCACCTCAGCCTCCTGAGTAGCTGAGACTATAGGCATGCACCACCACCCCCGGCTAATTTTTGTATTTTTAGTAGAGACAGGGTTCCACCATATTGTCCAGGCTGGTCTTGAACTCCTGGCCTCAAGTGATCCACCCGCTCTGGCCTCCCAAAGTGCTGAGAAAACAGGCATAAGCCACTGCAGGCAGCCAGCACATATTCTTGTTATGCTTTTAAAACTAGTTATTGATTTAGAGTTTACTCATTGGTAGATCCTAGTGCAGAAGCTATAGAGCAGCAGTCCCCAACTTTTTTGGCACCAGGCACCAGTTTTGTGAAAGATAATTTTTCCACAGATGGGGGTTTGGGGGATGGTTTCAGGATGATGATTCAAGCATATGACATCTATTGTGCACTTTATTTCTATTATTACTACATTGTAATACATAATGAAATAATTACACGACTCATCATAATGTAGAATCAATGGGAGTCCTGAGCTTGTTTTTCTGCAACTAGATGGTCCCATCTTGAAGAGATAGGAGACGATGACATACCATCAGGCATTAGAGTCTCATAAGGAGCATGTGACGTAGATCCCTTGAATGTGCAATTCACAATAGGGTTTTCACTCCTACGGGAATCTAATGCCTTTGCTGATCTGACAGGAGGCAGAACTCAGGTGGTAATGTGAGCAGTGGGGAGTGGCTGGAAATACAGATGAAGCTTCACTCGCTTGCCTGCCACTCACCTCCTCCGTGCAGCCTGGTTCCTAACAGGTCATGGACCTGTCGGTGACCTGGGGGTTGGGGACCCCTGCTATAGAGGATCCGGATTTAAATTCAGAAGAAGTCAGAATGAAAAAGAAAGAATTATATTCTTTAGCTAAATGATTTCACAGTTAACTAAGAGAAAGTCAGTATGAGTTGAAGCGTTTATCAGTGTTAATAAGAATGAAAAATAAGTACAATATGCAATTACTATTAAATGTAATTTGCCCATAGTTGCACACTGAATTCATTATCATGGCAGTTAAGTATCAGAGCTTCTGCATTTCTCACTCTTCATTTGTGTATTCAGCAACCATGTGCTAAGGTACTAGGACAAGCACTGGAATTACAAGATAAAGATGATACGGTCCACCCCTCAACAACTGTATGCTATAATCTGAAAAAACAAACAGGCAATTCCCATACAGAGTCATACATACAATGACAGGCATAAGACAGCACTTACTGGAAAACACAGAAGGGATACTAGCCCAGGTTTGTGTCAATATTGTAGGCTTTTTGGTGGAGGCAATTCATAGGTTAATATCTGAAGGAGAAGGAAAACACATGGAGAATAGAGGGAAGAAGTAAATGCAGAGAGCTGGAGGTGAGGATGATCACTGTGGAACTCCATGTAGTTTAGTTTGGCTGGATGCTAGAACAAAGGGGCAGAGTGTGGTAAGTGGTGAAAGATAAGGCTGAATAACTTGACAAGAACCACACTGATGTGGGAGTTTTGATTCCATGCTAAGGAATTTTCAACTTTTCCCAGGGGCAAAAGTAAACCAATAACAAGGTCAATGACGAGATTTAAAATGTCACTGGTCAAGTGACTGCTTGTGACCTGTAATTGCTTAACTAATTATTATCAACGAGTGTGGGGTCTGTTCGCCTTAAATCACTATCTTAAACCTTGAGAAGTTGATGATGCCTTTGTTTTCTGAGAACAGTTTCAGTGTGCAGGCTGACAGTTCTATAGGGGTGGCAGAAGAAAAGTGTAGGGCCAGAAAAAAAGGGATACACAGACTCCTCACGATTTTTTTAAAGCTATGGAACATGACGAATTAACAAGGCATAAGTATACTCTTCACTGTGAATGTTTATGTTTTCACATCTTTCACTGGATATGTGTAAGAAAAAATATTTAATGTAGCATTTATTAACCAAGCAATTGAGAGGAATACCGTTTATTTCAGAAATCAATGATTTGAATTTAATTCATAAATTTTGGCAACATACCTTCACTACTTCCTGAACACAGGCAGCATCTGAAATAAATCAAATATTACTTATAATGTTTCAGTCAAACAAGGGACATTATCATGTAAACCCACTGTAAGTCATGGAGCATCTGTCCTGTAGATTGATCATCCCTAATCTAAAAATCTGAAATCCAAAATGCTCTACAATCTGAAACTCTCTGAGCACGGACATGACGCCACAACTGCAGCATTCCACACCTGACCTCATGTGACAGGCTGCGGTGAAAACAGTAAAAACTTTGTTACCTGCAAAAAATTACTGTAGAACATCATAGAGGATTACCTTCAGGCTATGTGCATAACTTATATATGAAACATAAACGAATTTCATGTTTAGACTCAGGTACCACCCCCAAGGTATTTCATTAGGTATACACAAATATTCCAAAATCTGAAAAAAATCTACTTTTGGTCCCAAGCATTTTGGACAAGGGATATTTAACCTGTCCTACTGGAAAAATAAAATTCCTTTTCAGTATGACAGAAATTAAGAGATTGGCTTACCAAACTTGAACGCTGCAGGATTTTCTCAAGCCGCTCAATTTGGTCATCCTGTTTTTTAATAGTTTTTCTTATCATGGCATTTTCTACTTCAAGCCTAAAATGTGCATTTTAAAATAATTACTCTCACACATAAATTTTTTAACATCATGTAAACTCTACATAAACTTCTGAAGGTATAATTACACAAATTCTTAGCAATTGTAAAAGTAGATGATTGGGCTACTGTGTCATTTTTCTACCTGCGTTTTGTTGATAATATGAAAAATTTAGGAATAATATAGAAAAATGATGTATTTCAACATAGCTTACAAATGAAACTTCTTTGGTTTCACAAAGACATACTTATTATCATAACTGATACAATTTTCATACTACAGTGCTCTTTTGCTTTATAAATACTCAAGTTATTTTGTGTGCTGCTTCAAATTTTACTTGTGTGCATGGCCTTCCGTCTTCTTAGTACATCTTATAGTAGCTGTAAGTTGATCCTGTATTTCTTGAAACTAAAACAAAGAATTTAAAAAAAAATTACATTTGGAAATGATCTAAATGTCCATTAGTAGATAAACGAACCAACAAAATACATATAAAATGTTTTTAGACTATTAAGATCTTTTAAAAAAGATCATAATCTAGTAGAAACCATCCCATTACCTGTTTTTTGTAATTAATTTGAGTGGGACACTGCTACACCCCTTCAATCTGCATACTGTTTACGGCTACTTTTGTGCTATAATGGCAGGGCTGAGTTATTGCAACAAGGATCTTATGGCTCACAAAGCCTTAAAAAATACTGTCTGGCCCTTTACAGAAAAGTTCACTGACCCCTGCTCTAGGACTAAAACACAACATTCTTCTTGCTTTTGAATTACATTTTATCAGATAAACACTCAAACTTACAAACTGGTAAAATGTGGAAAGATAAAGGATTACCTCATGCTAAGCATTTATATTTTGAATTCTAAACGCTACCACATCAACTATAATTTTTTTTTGTATGTATGCATTTAGTTTTATTATAGCAAAGCAACTTGCACATTTTTTAATATTTAAAACTAAATAAGCGGCCGGGCGCGGTGGCTCAAGCCTGTAATCCCAGCACTTTGGGAGGCCGAGACGGGTGGATCACGAGGTCAGGAGATCGAGACCATCCTGGCGAACACCGTGAAACCCCGTCTCTACTAAAAATGCAAAAAACTAGCCGGGCGAGGTGGCGGGCGCCTGTAGTCCCAGCTACTCGGGAGGCTGAGGCCCGAGAATGGCGTAAACCCGGGAGGCGGAGCTTGCAGTGAGCTGAGATCCGGCCACTGCACTCCAGCCTGGGCTACAGAGCGAGACTCCGTCTCAAAAAAAAAAAAAAAAAAAAAAAAAAAAAAAAAAAAAACAAACAAACAAACAAACAAAAAAACTAAATAAGCATCATCTTTCCTTTCTAGGGAAACAAGAAGAAAATTTAAAAATAAGCAGAAACAGGGACGGGCCCGGTGGCTCACGCCTGTAATCCCAGCACTTTGGGAGGCCGAGGCTGGCGGATCATGAGGTCAGGAGATCGAGACCATCCTGGCTAACACGGTGAAACCCCTCTCTACTAAAAATACAAAAAATTAGCTGGGCACGGTGGTGGGCACCTGTAGTCCCAGCTACTTGGGAGGCTTAGGCAGGAGAATGGCGTGAACCCAGAAGGCAGAGCTTGCAGTGAGCCAAGATCGCGCCACTGTACTCCAGCCTGGGCAACAGAGCGAGACTCTGTCTCAAAAAAAAAAAAAAAAAAAAAAAGGCAGAAACAAAATTAAAATCAACAAAGTCAGCTCCAAATAAGATCCTACAGGATCTTATTGACTCTCCCACCGAATAGCAGGACTCAAGTCATCATTAGGAGAGAAGTAATTTAAAAGCGTCATCTTAAACTGCAAGGATGCCCATTCAACATGCCAAAGGAGAAGCCTTGTTGTCTAAATGCCCACTTAACCAACCCAAACATCTCAAACCCATCCTTTGCTGACCTTCTATAACCCCCTTTTTAGTTTACCTTTTTCTATAAACAAGAGAAAATAGATACATGTTTGCAAATGCCAACTGTCCATATTCATATAGAGACAGAGTGTGCTCTCTGAGCCCAATACAAAGAGAGAGTGAGGACTTTCATCAAAATCAAAATTGATTCAGTAGAATGGCCTTTCTGAACAAGTTAACCTGAAATCTATGAAATTAAGTATACACAGGTTCTTTATTCATTCAGAAAAGTAGAGATTAAAAATAAGATAATTTTCTGAAACATTCCATTAGGCATTATCCTCTGAATTAATCTGGCTTGCCTCACCATGCCAATAGAGAAATCACTAAAAACAGACGGTTTAACAGGGGAAAAAAAAACCTCTCTGAACTTCTGTGAGAAATGATGCATAATTCTCAACTTTCCTAAGGTTAAATATTTAAGAAAAAAAATATGTATAAAAAATGGCAGAATGAAAGCCAGAGATTAAGATACAGGTGCAGGCCGGGCGCGGTGGCTCACGCCTGTAATCCCAGCACTCTGGGAGGCCGAGGCGGGCAGATCACCAGGTCAGGAGATCGAGACCATGCTGGCTAACACGGTGAAACCCCGTCTCTACCGAAAATACAAAAAAAAATTAGCCCGGCGTGGTGGTGGGTGCCTGTAGTCCCACCTACTCGGGAAGCTGAGGCAGGAGAATGGCATGAACCCAGGAGGCGGAACTTGCAGTGAGCCAAGATTGCGCCACTGCACTCCAGCCTGGGCGACAGAGCGAGACTCCGTCTCAAAAAAAAAAAAAAAAGATACAGGTGCATTATAAAGATAATAACATTTAAAAATAATTAATAATAATGAAAATACAAAAGAAAGCATGCACTATAAAATTTTAATAAAATTAATTATAATAAAAATACAAAAGAAAGCCATCCACTAAAATTAGTACCCCGACACTTTATATTGGTTAACCAGCTCCAGATTAACAGTTGTTGGCGTGCAAAGTTTCATACATACTTGACTTCTTATCTGGTCTAATTTCTTCCTTGAATCCTGCATCTCATTTTCTAAATGGACGCAGTGACGCGATGAAGCATCCAGCAAAGCTTTTGTTGACGATTGTTTGTTTAAGACATCATTTCGTTTCTGCTGAAGTTGTCTCACAACTACCTGATAAGATGTTATTTTTGTTACTAATTTTACAAATCATCTTATTATTAAACCATTAATAATATTTAACTCTGAAGTATACACTTTGAAAAATATCACCACACAGACCGATTCACCTTCTTTTCCTCGTGTGTACTCACTCCTGTGTATTACTGAATCCAGTTGAGGATACAGAAGGTGTTATCTTCCTGCCAAATTAGTATTGTTATTCACACAACATATTCAGTCCACTAGTCATTCCTCCCCTGATGAATTTGCAATGCTTAAAAACCTTCTGAAGTCTCAAAAAGAAATGAGTATGTGGGTGAGACTGATGGTAGTAACTTATACATTGTGGAATGATTTCCCTCTTTTTTTTAATTAGAAACTCAAATCAACCTCAGAGTTCGTCACATTAAATCATATGCTTAAATCCTTCCAATAGATTTCTATCTCAGAAAAAAAGTAAAATTCCAGTGGCCTTAGATGCTCTAAGTAACCTGCCCTCCACCTCCTGCCCTGACTCAGCTGCTACTCTCTCCTCCCTACTCACTCCATTCCTACTCTATGTGAATCCTGACACTCCTCATCAGTCTGAAATCCTCCTCAGTCTGAAAATGGGGATCCAGTCAAACTAATAAATCACAGATAGCTATGCCTCTCTTTGTCCTGGACAAAGTTATATCCAAATGATAGTAACTGAGCCTTGAAATAAAAATTATGAGCAAATTTTTTCTTTAAAAACTGAAAGTAAGGGGGGGTGGAGCAAGATGGCTGAATAGGAACAGCTCCAGTCTCCAGCTCCTAGCGCCAGCGACACAGAAGACAGGTGATTTCTGCATTATCAACTGAGGTACTGGGTTCATCTCACTGGGGAGTGCTGGACAATCTGTGCTGGTCAGCTGTTGCAGCTCGACCAGCAAGAGCTGAAGCAGGGCGAGGCATCACCTCACCTGGGAAGTGCAAGGGGAAAGGGAATCCCTTTTCCTAGCCAGGGGAACTGAGACACACAACACCTGGAAAATCGGGTAACTCCCACCCCAATACTGGGCTTTAAGCAAACGGGCACACCAGGAGATTATATCCCACACCTGGCGGGGAGGGTCCCATGCCCACGGAGCCTTCCTCATTGCTAGCACACCAGTCTGTGATCTAACCGCAAGGCAGCAGCGAGGCTGGGGGAGGGGCGCCCGCCATTGCTGAGGCTTAAGTAGGTAAACAAAGCCCTGGGAAGATCGAACTGGGTGGAGCTCATAGCAGCTCAAGGAGGCCTGCCAGTCTCTGTAGACTCCACCTCTGGGGACAGAGCACAGCTAAACAACAACAACAACAACAAAAAAAAGCAGCAGAAACCTCTGCAGACGCAAGCGACTCTGTCTGACAGCTTTGAAGAGAGCGGTGGATCTCCCAACACAGAGGTTGAGATCTGAGAACGGACAGATTGCCTGCTCAAGTGGGTCCCTGACCCCTGAGTAGCCTAACTGGGAGACATCCTCCACTAGGGGCAGACCGACACCCCACACCTCACACGGTAGAGTACACCGCTGAGAGGAGGCTTCCAAAGCAAGAATCAGACAGGTACACTCGCTGTTCAGCAGTATTCTATCTTCTGCAGCCTCTGCTGCTGACACCCAGGCAAACAGAGTCTGGAGTGGACCTCAAGCAATCTCCAACAGACCTACAGCTGAGGGTCCTGACTGTTAGAAGGAAAACTAACAAACAGGAAGGACACCCACACCAAAACCCCATCAGTACGCCACCATCATCAAAGACCAGAGGCAGATAAAACCACAAAGATGGGGAAAAAGCAGGGCAGAAAAGCTGGAAATTCAAAAAATAAGAGTGCATCTCCCCTCCAAAGGAACGCAGCTCATCGCCAGCAATGGATTAAAGCTGGATGGAAAATGACTTTGACGAGATGAGAGAAGAAGGCTTCAGTCCATCAAACTTCTCAGAGCTAAAGGAGGAATTACGTACCCAGCGCAAAGAAACTAAAAATCTTGAAAAAAGAGTGGAAGAATTGATAACCAGAATAATTAATGCAGAGAAGGCCATAAACGAACGGACAGAGATGAAAACCATGACATGAGAAATACGTGACAAATGCACAAGCTTCAGTAACCGACTCGATCAACTGGAAGAAAGAGTATCAGCGATTGAGGATAAAATGAATGAAATGAAGTGAGAAGAGAAATCTAAAGAAAAAAGAAGAAAAAGAAATGAACAAAGCCTGCAAGAAGTATGGGATTATGTAAAAAGATCAAATCTACATCTGATTGGGGTGCCTGAAAGTGAGGGGGAAAATGGAACCAAGTTGGAAAACACTCTTCAGGATATCATCCAGGAGAACTTCCCCAACCTAGTAGGGCAGGCCAACATTCAAATCCAGGAAATACAGAGAACGCCACAAAGATACTCCTCGAGAAGAGCAACTCCAAGACACATAATTGCCAGATTCACCAAAGTTGAAATGAAGAAAAAAATCTTAAGGGCAGCCAGAGAGAAAGGTCGGGTTACCCACAAAGGGAAGCCCATCAGACTAACAGCAGATCTCTCAGCAGAAACTCTACAAGCCAAAAGAGAGTGGGGGCCAATATTTAACATTCTTAAAGAAAAGAATTTTAAACCCAGAATTTCATATCCAGCCAAACTAAGTTTCATAAGTGAAGGAGAAATAAAATCCTTTACAGATAAGCAAATGCTTAGAGATTTTGTCACCATCAGGCCTACCTGACAAGAGACCCTGAAGGAAGCACTAAACATGGAAAGGAACAACCGGTACCAGCCATTGCAAAAACATGCCAAAATGTAAAGACCATCGAGGCTAGGAAGAAACTGCATCAACTAACGAGCAAAATAACCAGTTAATATCATAATGGCAGGATCAAGTTCAAACATAACAATATTAACCTTAAATGTAAATGGACTAAATGCTCCAAGTAAAAGACACAGACTGGCAAACTGGATAAAGAGTCAAGACCCATCAGTCTGCTGTATTCAGGAGACCCATCTCACATGCAGAGACATACATAGGCTCAAAATAAAGGGATGGAGGAAGATCTACCAAGCAAATGGAGAACAAAAAAAAGCAGGGGTTGCAATACTAGTCTCTGATAAATCAGACTTTAAACCATCAAAGATCAAAAGAGACAAAGAAGGCCATTACATAATGGTAAAGGGATCAATTCAACAGGAAGAGCTAACTATCCTAAATATATATGCACCCAATACAGGAGCACCCAGATTCATAAAGCAAGTCCTTAGAGACTTACAAAGAGACTTAGACTCCCATACAATAATAATGGGAGACTTCAACACCCCACTGTCAACATTAGACAGATCAACGAGACAGAAAGTTAACAAGGATATCCAGGAATTGAACTCATCTCTGCAGCAAGCAGACCTAATAGACATCTACAGAACTCTCCACCCCAAATCAACAGAATATACATTCTTCTCTGCACCACATCACACTTATTCCAAAATTGACCACATAATTGGAAGTAAAGCACTCCTCAGCAAATGTACAAGAACAGAAATTATAACAAACTGTCTCTCAGACCACAGTGCAATCAAACTAGAACTCAGGACTAAGAAACTCAATCAAAATCGCTCAACTACATGGAAACTGAATAACCTGCTCCTGAATGACTACTGGGTACACAACGAAATGAAGGCAGAAATAAAGATGTTCTTTGAAACCAATGAGAACAAAGATACAACATACCAGAATCTCTGGGACACATTTAAAGCAGTGTGTAGAGGGAAATTTATAGCACTAAATGCCCACAAGAGAAAGCTGGAAAGATCTAAATTTGACACTCTAACATCACAATTAAAAGAACTAGAGCAGCAAGAGCAAACACATTCAAAAGGTAGCAGAAGGCAAGAAATAACTAAGATCACAGCAGAACTGAAGGAGATAGAGACACAAAAAAACCCTCCAAAAAATCAATGAATCCAGAAGCTGGTTTTTTGAAAAGATCAACAAAATTGATAGACCGCTTGCAAGACTAATAAAGAAGAAAAGAGAGAAGAATCAAATAGACGCAATAAAAAATGATAAAGGGGGTATCACCACCAACCCCAAACAAATACAAACTACCATCAGAAAATACTATAAACACCTCTATGCAAATAAACTAGGAAATCTAGAAGAAATGGATAATTTCCTGGACACTTACACTCTCCCAAGACTAAACCAGGAAGAAGCTGAATCCCTGAATAGAACAATAGCAGGCTCTGAAATTGAGGCAATAATTAATAGCCTACCAACCAGAAAAAGTCCAGGACCAGATGGATTCACAGCTGAATTCTACCAGAGGTACAAGGAGAAGCTGGTACCATTCCTTCTGAAACTATTCCAATCAATAGAAAAAGAGGGAATCCTCCCTAACTCATTTTATGAGGCCATACATCATCCTGATACCAAAGCCTGGCAGAGACACAACAAAAAAAGAGACTTTTAGACCAATATCCCTGATGAACATCGATGCAAAAATCCTCAATAAAATACTGGCAAACCGGATCCAGCAGCACATCGAAAAGCTTATCCACCATGATCAAGTGGGCTTCATCCCTGGGATGCAAGGCTGGTTCAACATACGCAAATCAATAAACGTAATCCAGCATATAAACAGAACCAAAGACAAAAACCACGATTATCTCAATAGATGCAGAAAACGCCTTTGAGAAAATTCAACAGCTCTTCATGCTAAAAACTCTCAATAAATTTGGTATTGATGGAACGTATCTCAAAATCATAAGAGCTATTTATGACAAATCCACAGCCAATATCATACTGAATGGGCAAAAACTGGAAAAATTCCCTTTGAAAACTGGCACAAGACAGGGATGTCCTCTCTCACCACTCCTATTCAACATAGTGTTGGAAGTTCTGGCTAGGGCAATCAGGCAAGAGAAAGAAATCAAGGGTATTCAGTTAGGAAAAGAAGAAGTCAAATTGTCCCTGTTTGCAGATGACATGATTGTATATTTAGAAAACCCCATTGTCTCTGCCCAAAATCTCCTTAAGCTGATAAGAAACTTCAGCAAAATCTCAGGATACAAAATGAATGTGCAAAAATCACAAGCATTCTTATACACCAGTAACAGACAAACAGAGAGCCAAATCAGGAATGAACTTCCATTCACAATTGCTTCAAAGAGAATCAAATACCTAGGAATCCAACTTACAAGGGATGTAAAGGACCTCTTCAAGGAGAACTACAAACCACTGCTCAGTGAAATAAAAGAGGACATAAACAAATGGAAGAACATACCATGCTCATGGATAGGAAGAACCAATATCGTGAAAATGGCCATACTGCCCAAGGTAATTTATAGATTCAATGCCATCCCCATGAAGCTACCAATGAGGTTCTTCACAGAATTTGAAAAAACTGCTTTAAAGTTCATATGGAACCAAGAAAGAGCCTGCATCTCCAAGACAATTCTAAGTCAAAAGAACAAAGCTGGAGGCATCACGCTACATGACTTCAAACTATACTACAAGGCTACAGTAACCAAAACAGCATGGTACTGGTATCCAAACAGAGATATAGACCAATGGAACAGAACAGAGTCCTCAGAAATAATACCACACATCTACAGCCATCTGATCTTTGATAAACCTGAGAAAAACAAGAAATGGGGAAAGGATTCCCTATTTAATAAATGGTGCTGGGAAAATTGGCTAGCCATAAGTAGAAAGCTGAACCTGGATCCTTTCCTTACTCCTTATACGAAAATTAATTCAAGATGGATTAGAGACTTAAATGTTAGACCTAATACCATAAAAACCCTAGAAGAAAACCTAGGTAATACCATTCAGGACATAGGCATGGGCAAGGGCTTCATGTCTAAAACACCAAAAGCAACGGCAACAAAAGCCAAAATTGACAAATAGGATCTAATTAAACTAAAGAGCTTCTGTACAGCAAAAGAAATTACCATCAGAGTGAACAGGCAACCTACAGAATGGGATAAAATTTTTGCAATCTACTCATCAGACAAAGCGCTAATATCCAGAACCTACAAAGAACTCAAACAAATTTACAAGAAAAAAACAACCTCATCAAAAAGTGGGCAAAGGATATGAACAGACATTTCTCAAAAGAGGACATTCATACAGCCAACAGACACATGAAAAAATGCTCATCATCACTGGCAATCAGAGAAATGCAAATCAAAACCACATACCATCTCACACCAGTTAGAATGGCAATCATTAAAAAGTCAGGAAACAACAGGTGCTGGAGAGGATGTGGAGAAATAGGAACACTTTTACACCGTTGGTGGGATTGTAAATTAGTTCAACCATTATGGAAAACAGTATGGCGATTCCTCAAGGATCTAGAACTAGATGTACCATATGACCCAGCCATCCCATTACTGGGTATATACCCAAAGGATTATAAATCATGCTGCTATAAAGACACATGCACACGTATGTTTATTGTGGAACTATTCACAATAGCAAAGACTTGGAATCAACCCAAATGTCCATCAGTGACAGACTGGATTAAGAAAATGTGGCACATATACACCATGGAATACTATGCAGCCATAAAAAGGATGAGTTTGTGTCCTTTGTAGGGACATGGATGCAGCTGGAAATCATCATTCTCAGAAAACTATCGCAAGAACAGAAAACCAAACACCGCATGTTCTCACTCATAGGTGGGAACTGAACAATGAGATCACTTGGACTCGGGAAGGGGAACATCACACACCGGGGCCTATCACGGGGAGGGGGAAGGGGGAGGGATTGCATTGGGAGTTATAACTGATGTAAATGACGAGTTGATGGGTGCTGACGAGTTGATGGGTGTAGCACAGCAACATGGCACAAGTATACATATGTAACAAACCTGCACGTTATGCACATGTACCCTAGAACTTAAAGTATAATAATAAAAAAAGTTAAAAAAAAAACAAAACTGAAAGTAAATTATAAATGCCAGTGGGAAGATTAAATCAAATATGGTTTGGCTAAAATTTACCACATTTTCCCCATATTATAATATAAGTAAAATTAGATGCCTTTAAAGAACGGAATGATCATATCTATACATAATTTGAGATTGAAATAGTTTCAGATTTAAGTCAAATTGATATGAAGAAAAACAAAATTGTACCAACTAAGATATATTTAAAGCTACTGAAGAAAAATAATTATGAAATAAGGAATACACTTCAGTTCATCTGGGAAATCTGAAATTAACTGTCGAAGTACCCCACTTAATTGAATCAATTTCAAAATACCATTTTAGGTATGAGCATTTCCATATATCTGATTTATCATGGTCTTGAAATGTCTTGAAATGAAAAAAATTATTATTTCAGCAGTATAAGGCTACATTATTAATATTAGTCTACTTTAACATTTTATAACTTAAAATTGTATAAGTGACACATGAATTTAATCAGAGGAAAGAATCTCAGTTTTAACTCTGACTTGCTGGAAACAAGGAATGTTTCTCAGCTGATATAGCAGATACATTTATCATATGTATCCTTTTTTATATTCAGCTAGATCCAACATTTAGCTGTAAGCAAATATTACTTCAAATTTTACTTCAGGAAGTTTGAAAAATACTTATTTTTCTTGACACTTACTTCTCTTTCTGCTTTCTCTTTTTCATTTTGGCATTCTTTTTCTTTCAAATGATTCAATTCATTGACCAACCTCTTATTGTCTTCTTGTAGTAAAAGACGGTGCTTTCTGCACTCAGCTTGAAAGTTTTGTACTCTAGCATCACATCTGGCTTGAATATTAAGTATTGCTTTTTCTCGATTGTCAGCTTTGTTGCGAGCGTCATCCAGTTGCTGTTGAAGTAACATATTTTGTTTTTTTAGTTGACAAAATCTTTCCTGCTTTTCTATGCATTTTTCCATTTTATCATATTCATTTTTGTACATTTTTTCAATGTCCTTCATTTGACACTGTTTTTGGTTTAGTTCTCTTTGTACATGTTCAAAAACCAAAGACTTTTCTTTCAGAGCCTCTCTTGTGTAATGGAGCTCAGTTTCGAGGACTCTGAACTTACTCTCAGCTTTAGAAAGTTGCTGAGAAAGAGTCAGAACACAAGAATTCGAATTTTCCTGTAAATGACACCATTTATCTACTGTGCCCTGGAAAGCAAGCTCTTGGTCTCTTTCTGATGAGTGACTTTGATCATGATCAGATAGAGCAGCATTCAGTCTACAACGGTATGATTCCGTTTCTGTTTCCAGTATTTGCCTGGTCTGTGTTTCCTTCTCCAGTTTGGAACGGAGCGTTGCGTTCTCATCTGTCAGAGCAGCAAGCTGTACACTATAATCAGCTATCGTTTTTGCTAATGTTTCCCCATTCCGTTTTAGCGTCTTTTGAAGGTCTTCATGCTTTCTTTTCATAATTTCAAAGTCTTTTAAGTATTTCTTTTCCAGGTTTTGGTTTTTTATTGTGTCTATTTCCAGTCTGAGCGTGGCAATTTCATCTTCCATCAAGTGGTTTTCATGTAGCAGATCTTCTTCTTTTTTATCAGTATCAGAAATCTAAGTAAAACAAAGAAAACTTATAACTAGTACCCAATAGGATAACATATTGTGATTGCTTTTGAAATTAAATAATAACCTGTGCATTTATACAATGAGAGGGTTGCCATAACTGGGTATCTAACTGGGAAAAAAGAAGTTGAGTCAAAACCTCAAACCTCAAAAAGCATTAATTCCCCAAAGTTTGAAAGTTTATTTGAAGACAGTGAATCCATGAAAGCAAAAAAAAAAAACCACTAGAAAATTTTTTTAAATTTCAGAATTAAAAAAGGCTTTTACTGAATTACAACAAATTGCAAAGCATAAAGAATTAATAACTATGATCACGTTAAAAAATTGGGTTTACACTCTAACATCTAAGCTATACATCTCCCTATAGTGAGAGCCTTAGCCTGGCAGATATTTGGACAGATGAATGACATTTTCCAAATTCTTTAACTTCCCTTTTCCTAAAATATTGTATAGATATTCTACTTTTCTAATATTGTTATGGTCAGTTTTAAGAATGACATTTATTGATAAATGATAAGTCTAGATATTGTACTAAGCACTTTTACATGCACAAATCAATGAACTCATGTAGTTATAATTCTATAGCAAAAGGTTAAAAATATAAGCAAGCTGCAGGACTTTTCCCAGCTTTTCTGACTCTACTTCTAGTGCTCTTCCACCAAATCCGTTACTTCTGTGAGGTAGATATAGACATACAAAAATAATCTTTTATTTCAAAACACCAAAAGTCAAGAAAATTAAATTTATAAAGCTCTTCCTAGAAAATCATGAGATTATTTGCTATTGTGATCACTTTTATTTCTTTTCCATAACATTTGAAACAGTAATTAACATGAAATAGGGGAAAATATGCTGAACTATGTCACTAGGAACAAAATACTCACAATATCATTAAGTATACATTATAGAATAGCATTGTTTTCAAAAGGTCTTTGAACTAAAATAAAATATTTCAAGATTATAAATAATTGTAGCTATAAATTCCTTGATTCATTTTTAAGATGAAATACAATTTGGGGTTTTTTTTTAGGCTTAAATAATATACATTAAATGAAAGAGATATTATAAGTAACATTAAAAAAAAGTAGAAATATGAAATTTTACCAAACCTGATTTGAATTCTTTCCTACACTCTTCAATTCCATCTCCAGTGATTTGAGAGCCAGTTTAACTTGTTCTGTCACATCAACTTCTATCCTATGTTGCTCTTCTGTTGTTCTTAACTTTTCCCGAACTTTTTGGTGCAACTCTTCAACATTTCTTCTTTTCTCTTTTTCTTGCTGTATGGTAAATCTGTAAATATACTTATCTTAGTATTTATTTTATCAGTGAGGAGTAAGCTTTAATTTTTTATCTTGTGCAAATTCCTACCTAAGGGGTACCATGGATTCTCATCAGATGGATTTTATTTGACCCCGTATATTGTGACTTGCTTTTCAATCTGACTCTGGCATAACATTATGAGACAAGGAAGCAAATATTTAATCAAAAATATATTTCCTTGCCATACCTTGAAATTGCCCTGCAAAGCCTCTTGTGGGAAAAATCCACATTCTATAGAGAACCCCCTTTTCCCCTTTGTTTTCCTTCCTTTCTATGAAGATCCAGGAGACAATCAGCTAAGAACCAGGCACCCTTTTTAAAAGGTCCCATAAGAAAACATTTTACAACCTGCTCTCTCTGAAGTCTGCCGAGAGATTCCTCTGCACAAGAAAACTTGGTCTCCACAATCATTTACCTTAACCTGAACATTTCTTTCCATTAATCCCAGGTCTTCAAATAAACTCAACCAATTGTCAACCAGAAAATGTTTAAATTTATCTATAGCCTGGAAGCCCCTGCTTTCAGTTGTCCTGCCTTTCTGAACCAAACCAAAGTATTTTTTAAATGTATTTGATTGATGTTTCATACCTCTCTAAAATGTATAAAACCAAGCTGCGCCCCTTGGGCACATGTTCTCAGGACCTCCTGAGGGCTGTGTCAGTGGCCATGGTCACTCATATTTGGCTCAGAATAAATCTCTTCAAATATTTTACAGAGTTTGACTCTCTTTGTTGATATTAGAAAATAAAACATTCATATGTTGCTTATTATCCTAATAAAGTTTCTATGTTCTTAAATACTATTTTTCTTTCTAGTTCTCATGTTTTTAATTTCTCACCTCAATCTCATCCAAAGGACATGTATAAGTTGAAATGTACTGACAAAAGAACACCCTGCATAAGTTTGTTACTTGTAACTCTAGCAAATATTACGAAAAAAGATGCTGAAAATTATTCAGTAAAGTTACAAGATAAAAATTACCTTTTCTTCACACAGTAATTACTTTTCAATTAGGATGAATCGTTTAGAGTTAATTAACATAAAGTAACTTTTTATAAACAAGTTGATACATTCACTAGAAATATATTTCCACCTTCATGAAACATTCATTGCAAGTATCCCTAAACTAATTTACATTGTAAGATAGCACTTTTGATGTGTTTATGAAACATATATCAGCAGATTAGTGTAATCCAAGACTAGGTTAAGAATGTAATATGTTACCCCCTACACTTTTTAAGATTGTTTTTTGGGCAACACTTTCAATCTATCCTGTTGATTAGTATGTATTTTATAAACAATTTTAAAATCTGTTTTGGAACAACACAAGATCTAATATTTAATTAAACAATAAAGAATAATACGTGTCTTCAGCATAAAACTTTGAATTAATTTTATCTACATAGCAGAGGGATGTTGAATAAGCTAATCAGTAAACACTTTCCATTTTACTTTTTATTCCCTGCATATTAAGAATAAAACTGGATAATTTTTTTTTTTTTTTTTTTTTTTTTTGGACAAGGAGTCTCGCACTATCACTGGGCTAGAGTGCAATGGTGCAATCTCAGCTCACTGCAACCTCCGCCTCCCAGGTTCATGGGATTCTCCTGCCTCAGCCTCCTGAGTAGCTGGGATTACAGGTGCACACCACCACGCCTGGCTAATTTTTTGTATTTTTAGTAGAGACAGCATTTCATTATGTTGGCCAGACTGGTCTCAAACTCCTGACCTCATGATCTGCCCACCTCAGCCTCCCGAAGTGCTGGGATTACAGGTGTGAGCCACCGCACCCGACTGATAATTTTTAAAATAATTATTCTGGATAAAGAAAATATCTATTTTATACCCTGTTGATTGAATTATAAATTAATATAAACTTTCTTAAGAACAATTTAGAAATATTGATCAAAGATCTAAAACAGATCTAAAAAAGTTTCTGTACTTTAACCAGAAGAATTTATCCAAAGTAAATAATTAAAAATGTAGAAAACTACGTGTAAATAAAAGATGTTCCTTGTAGCATTAATACAAAAGCTTTTTAAAACCTAAAATTCAATTCATCAATTAAATAATGAGATTTCCAAAGGGTAAAATTCTATACAGCCATTAAAACTATGATTTAAAAGAATATGCATTTAATTATTAGAGAAGTATTCACAATTAAGAACTTGTGATATTATATCCAATAATTTCACACTCCATAAGATTAAGAAACTTTTTTCCCTGTAAATCCTAGAAGGAAAGTTAGCAATTACAAAAATTTTCCTTATACGTCTTTAGTATAAAACAAATAGTTCTAACATTTCTTTAGAACAAGGTCATACCTCACACTACAGAGTTCTTGTTCGCATTCAAGTTTTTCATGCTCTAAGCACGATTTTATTTCTTCTTTTTCAGATAGTCTCTTCCGTAGTACACTAACCTTATTTTTCATTTTTTGAATTTTTACTATAAGTCGCTCACAGTGATTATCTTTAAGTTTTATTGATCTTTTACAAAAACGAAATGCATTTTTAATTTTTGATAGGTGAACACAATCTGTAACCAGGAAAAAACAAAATAGAGATAAAATACATGAGTAAGTTTTTGGATATAAAGGACTGTGCATTTTTAACATGCATTCATTCATACATTGAACAAATATGTACATATTGAGTGCCTACAAGGTAGAAGATATTATACTAAGGTCTGCAGATAAGACAACACCTCTGCTATTGTTTTAGCTTAAAGCATAATGAAGAACCAAGATAAAAAGGTGACAATTATAAACTCAGACAGGTCCTGTAAAAAAAAAAAAAAACATAGTTATATGACTGCGTAAGATAATTTGATCTATACTTCACCCAGGGAAGATTTCCCTGAGGAAGAGACACTACACTGAGAAATGAAGGATGAGAAAGAAGCAGTTAGGCAAAAAGGAAAGCAAAACACCCTGGCCAGTTTACAGCACGTGCTGTGCCGAAGCTCTGCTGCAATCTATTACTAGCTCTGATGGAGTAACGGACAGGAGTTTTCATCTTACCTGAAACAATAAAAAACAAAACAGACAAAATACATTAAGCAATGATTTCCAACACAGTGGGCTTCAGGCAATGAAGATGGTAGGTAATCACTGTAAGACAGAAAACATATATAGCAGGCCTTATAATTGTCCCAGCTCTTTTGACAGAGTTTTGACAGAGGTTCAAGGTCATGACAAAGGGAGAAAATCTGACATAGAGCTGGGGTTATGAAGCTGAGAGGCTAGTAAAACCAAAGCAGATAGAGATCACAGGACTGAAAACTGGAGAGAAGAAAGCAGTACAGGAAACAAATCCTGGAGATGTGCAGAGATTCCCTCTTGGGTATTTAGTGGAGTAACGAAAAGTGCTTGTGTGCTAGGAAACTTCCTAAGAACAGTGGAAAATAAAATTTAAAAGAAACAGTTAAAGAAAATCAGCAGAAACTATGCCTGGGGTTCACACAATGACTGGAAGAGGGTCCATTCCCATGCACCAGGCCAAAATACCTCATACTTCTCATGCTTCACATGACAATGAATATTCAGAAAGGTCTTGCCTCAGGAGTGAGGAATTACCCCAAATCTAAAAGCAAGAATGGAAAGATTATAAGTAAATCTCTGTACTCCAAATAAAACTCAAGACAGTAAGTGGAGGCAGGGAAGGTATTTTTTTTTTTTTAAAAAACCAGACCATACTTGTGGAGATGCAAATTACATTGTCAGAAGTAAAAACTATAGTGGATGGAAATAAACACAAATTAGAGATGACAAAGGAAAATATTCCTAAATTTGACACAATAAACTCTGAGAAACTTTCAAGCAGCTAATCAATAACTCCCTAAATAAAAAACGAAGAGATAGAAAAAAAATTAAAAGAAAAAATGGCCGAAAATATTCTAACCTTAATACAAACCATAATCCCACAGATTCAGGGAGGAAGTGTCTGGGACAGAAAAAACTGAAAATGTATCATTGTCATTTTTTTATACCATCTATGATGTATAGTATTGCTGAAGGTGGACTGTGATAAGTTAAAATTATATACTAAAAATCCTAAACATTAATACAGCAAAACAGTTATCCCTAATAAACCCCAAAATATATGCAAAATTGAATCATAAAAAATAGTTGACTAAAAGAAAGCAGAAAAAGAAGGGGAACAAAGAACAGCTGGGACTAATAGCAATCAAACAGCTACTAGACAAACATAACTATTGTCAATGACATTATAAATGACACTTGTCTAAGAACCTCAACTCAAATGCAGACTGTCAGGCTCAGTAAGAAAGCAAGACCCAACTACAGGCTGCCTATAAGAAATGCACTTTAAATGTAAAGACACAAATGGTTACAAGGATGGAAAAAGATACATGCTAACAGTTGCCAAGGGCAGCTGAGCAGGAGTGGGCTGTGTTAATACCAAAGTAGATCTCATAGCAAAACAAACAAACAAACAAAAAAACCAGCAATAAATAACAAAAGGTCATGTCACAATAGTAAAAGGTTAAGTTAATCAACAAAACATAACAATCCTAAGTGTTTATGCACCTAATAACAAACCAGCTTCACAATATATGAGACCAAAGTGGATAGAACTACAAAAAGAAACAGACAATTTCTAAGTAATCTGAGGTTTCGATACCCTTTACTCAATAAGTGATAGAACAAGAAGGCAGAAAATCAGCAAGAATAGACTTGAACAACAGCACGCTTTTCAAGTACCCATGGAACACTTACCAAAAATAGATCATATTTTAGGCCATACAACAACTCTCAACTAAAGGGTTGAGTCAGAAGGATTTAAGTCATACAAAGTATGTGCCCTGACCACAAATCAATCAGATTAAAGACCAATAACAAAAATAACTCTGGGAAATACCCAAATATTTGGAAACTAAGTAACACACATCTAAATAACCCTGGGTCAAACAGGTAATGAAAATGAAATAGAAATTAGAAAATATTCTGAACTGAATAAAAATTTGTCAACCAGAATTTGTGGAATGCAGCTACAACTGTACTTGAATAGAAATTTTTAGCACTGCCAAATGTCTATATTAGAAGAGTCTCAAATCAATGACCTTGACTTCTACCTTACGCAACTAGATAAAAGAAGAGTGAATTAAACCCAAAGCAAGCAGAAGAAAGGAAATAATACACATCTGCTGTGGTCTGAATGTTTGTCTTCCCCAAAATTTATATGCTGAAAGCCAATCACAATGTGACAGTATTAGGAGGGGTGATTTTTACATGAGCCAAGCCCTCATGAACAGAATTAGTGCTTAGTGCTCTTATACAACAGACCCCAGATCTCCTTCACCCCTTCTGCTAAGTGAGGGCGCAGAGAAAAAGAATTCATTCATGAACCAGGACATGTTCCCGAACCATACACCAAATCCAACAGCATTTGGATCTTGGACTTTGCTGACCCCACAACTGCGAGAAATCAACTTCCGTTGTTTGACCCAGTCTATGGTATTTTGTTATACTCTTGGTTTCAGAAGAAACAATAGAAAAAAATCAACACAAAACACTTTGAGGAGATCAATAAATGTGATAAAGCTCCATTTAGCCAGGCTGCTCAGAAAAAAAAGAAAAAATACAAATTACGAATTTCAGAAATAAACAAAGTGACACTATTATAGATTCTACAGATACTAAAAATATAACAAGATATTATAATTTCTATGTAAGTAAACATGACAACTTAGATAAAATTAACAAATTCCTTTTAAAATGAAAATTAGTAAATCTCAATCAAGAAGCAATAGATAACATGAATTGCCCTATATCTATAAAAGAAAGTTAAGTTATAGTTAAAAACTTTGCTAAAAGAAAACTCCAGACCCAGCTAGCTATGTTGGTGAATTTTACAAAACATTTCTGGAAGAAAATAATACAATTATACACAAACTCTCCCAAAAGAAACAGAAAGAAGAGTATATCTCAACTCAGTCTGTAATGTTAGCATTGCCCTGAACTAAAACCAGAAAATATTACCAACAAGAAAATTCCCTCATAGCATGAATGTAAAAATTCAACCAATTTGTGATACAACGAAGACATCCTCCAATAGTGGAGTGAATAAACTGCGGTTAAACAGCCATATGGTGGAATATCACTCTACACATAAAGAAATGAGAAATCAATTCATGAAAACATGTGAAGGAACCTTAAATGCACATTACCAAGTGATGTAAGATAATCTGAAAAGGCTACTTACTGTATGATCCCAACTATATGATCAGGAAAATGCAAAACTATGGATAAAGTAAAAGTGTGCCAAAGGGTGAGGGATGGCAGGAAAGGATACATAGGCAGAGCACAGAGGATTTTTTGGGAAGTCAAAATAATTTCTATAACATGGATACACATCATTGTACCTTTGTCCAAACCCATACATATACAGTACCAAGAGTAAACCCCAATGCAAATTATGGGCTTTGGGTAATTGTAATGTGTCAATTTAGGCTCATCTGTCATAGCAACGACCACTATGGTGAAGGATACTGGTAATGAGGGAGGCTACATATGTGTTGGGGTGGGGGTATACAAAAAAATATCCAAACCTCCCTCTCAATTTGCCAGGAACATAAAACTCGTCTAAAAAATAAAAGTCTTTATAATAAATTCTAAATGAGACTTTAGTAAGTTTAATCCAGTAATATAATAAAAAGGTAATACATCATAAACAAAGGGGGTTTTATTCCAGAAAAGGAAGGGTTGGCTTAACATTGAAACATCATCATTATTTAGCATAAAATGAACTAAAAGAGAAGACCCACAGGATCATCCCAACAGATAGAGGCATCTGATAAAATTTACTCCTGATATTTCAAAGAAGAAACACTCTCAGCAACATAAGAATCCAAGGGAAGTTCTTCAGCATGATAAAAACGTCTATGATGAATCTGCAGCTAACGTGCATCTTAGTGAAAAACTGAATGCATTTCCCATAACATGAGGAACAACACAGGAATGTCTGCTTTCACTACTTGTATGTAACATTGTTCTGAAGATTCTAGTTAATGCAGTCAGGCAAGAAAAAGAAATAAGAGGCGTCCAGGTTTAAAAAAAGAAATAAAATTGTCTTTATACACAACTATGACCATACAACAGGTATGGGTAAACCTCAACCTGTGGGCCAGCTTCTTGTCTATGTCAATAAGCTTTTACTGGAACACAGCTGTGTTCATTAATTTATGGATGGTCTATGGCTGCTCTCATACTAAAATGGCAGAGTTTATCAGCTGCAAAAGAGACCCTTTTACCACAAGTCTAAAATATTCACTATCATTAGTAAGAGGGTAATTTGAGAAAGAAAGGTTTAATAACTTTTTGTCTGTGAAGAAAATCTGATCAAATCTACCAAGAATATGCCAGAACTAATAAGTGAGTTTAACAAGATTGAAGGATACAAATTCAATATTGAAAAATTAACTGCATTTCTATATGCTAGCAATAAACAATCAAATCAAAATTTTAAAATTAGCATTTTCTATAGTTTTATAAAAATGTATATTTGGATTAGCAATGCTCAACCTGTATAAAGTCAAATACATCTATACTAACTAAACTATCATTTACAACTTCATCAAAAATGAAATACAGATAAATCTGATAAAATATGAAAAGACCTGTAAACTAAAACCTGCAAATTACTACTGAGAAAATTAAATATTACTTCTATAAAAGCAGACATACACTTTATTGAGTAGAAAGATTCACTATTGTTAAGATGTCAATTCTCCCCAAATCTATAAATATGACACAATCCCAACTTAATTTCCAACAAGCAAGCAGTCTTTATTTTATTGATAAGCTGATTCTAAAGTTCATATAAAAATGCAAAGGATCTAGCATAGTCAAAACAGAATAAAGAACAGAATTGGAGGATTCATTTCAAGAATTACTATAAATCAACAGTAACCAAAACAGTGTGCCACAGGTACAGGCTGAGTATCCCTTATTCAAAATTCTTCAGACTAGAAGTTTTTCAGATTTTGGATTTTGGAATATTTGCACATACATGATGAGATATCTCAGGGATAGGACCCAAGTCTAAACACAAAACACATTTATTTTTCATATTTACTTTATACACAAAGACTGAAGGTAATTTTAAACAATACTTTTAATAATTTGGGACATGAAACAATGTTTGTATACATGAGGTCGGATGTAGAATTTTTCCGCTGTTGCGTCTATATTGGCAATCAAAAAGTTTGGGGTTTTAGAGCACTTCAGATTTGGGATATTTAAATTAGCAATGCTCCACATGCATAAAGAAAGTTAAATACAGAAAATCCCCAACTTAAGGTGGTTTGACTTATTGACTTTACAGTGGGTTTACTGAAGTATTAAATTGCTTTTGACTCAAACACTGGGTTTACCCCAATTTGAGGAGCATCTGTAAATTAATAAAACTCAATAGAGAGTCTAGAAATACATAACACATATGCAACCAGCTTATGTTTCACAAAGGCAGCATGGCAATGCAGTGGAGAAACGATAGCCTTTCAACATGTGGTGCTGGAACAACTGGCTGTCCATATCCAAAAAGTGAACTTGAATCCATACCTCACCTCACTCCATATACAATAGGAAACTCAAAAATGGAGGATAGATTTCAATGTAAGATCCAAATCTATAAAATTTCTAGAACAAAGCATAGGAAAAAATCTTTGTAACCTTGTGCTAGGCAAACATTTTTTACATATGGCAAAAAATGCAAAATCTGTAATTCAACAAACAATTAAGTTGGACTTCATTACGATTAAAATCTTCTGCTCTTCAAAAGATACTACAAAGCAAGTGAAAAGTCAACCCAAAAACTGGAAAAAAAAATACCCTTGTAAAAAAGTAGCTAAAAAGTAATAGTATCCAAATACATACAGAATTATTAAAACTCAACAGGTAAGAAAACATCAACCTAATTTTCTAAATGGCAAAAGATTTGAAAAGACAGTTCAACAAAGAAGATATACAGATGGCAAATAAACATGGAAAGATGCTCAACATTTTAGTCATTAGGATCGTGTACATTAAACCCACAATAATATACATAATACACCCATCAGAATGACTAAAATTAAAAAAAATAAATACAGCACTACTGTGACAACATAGCAACTGGAATGGTCATTTACTGCTGATGAGAATAGAAAATAGTACAAATATTTTGGAAAATCATTTAGCAGTTTTTAAAAACAGGAATATAAAGGGCCATGAGGAGACTTCAGTGGGTGATGGATATTTGTTGACTATCTTGATGATAGTAATAGTTTCACATGTGTATACATCTGTTAAAACTTATCAAATGGTACCTTTTACATGTGTGCACTTTATCATATATCAATTGTACCACACTAAAGCTACCGACTGTAGAAGCAAACACCTAAGGCACTGGCTGTGACACAGAAAAGGGTATGCAATGATGCAGTATAAAGTTCGAGGATGGAGATCTTATTGCTATAAGAGATCCTTATAGCAATAAATGGCAGCTGGGTTTTCAGCAAGCAGGTAACATGATCAGATGTGATTTTTTATAACTATATAATTATGGTTGCAGAACAGGTCATGGTTTTGGAAGGCAGAATAGTAGGAAAGACAGTTATAAGGTTATCATAGTATTTCAGGTGGGAGGAAATGGTAACTTGACCATGAGTAAATGGGTAATGGCATAGAAGAGAAGCAGAGTAAACAAACACATTGGGCCTGCCATTCACACTGAGAAAAGTACAGTGAGGAAATGATCATAGCTCTTTGACTGAAAGGGTACAAGACACAGTAGTTTTCATTCTATGTTGACATAAGGCATATTTCTGAGATGAACATTCTTGTGACATATCAGTACTGTACAGTACAGTGGTAAGCAATGTGTGCATACATTGCTATAGGATTAAAAAAGCCTTATATTTATGTATTGGTCCTACCTTTACACTTCATTTCATGTTGATCAATGAGTAATATAACTTTCTTACAATTGGAGCAAAGCGAGTCATCCTCTGAGGCTATTTGAGATGACTGAATTATGTCATCAAAGTCATCCCTAGAATGTATTTGGTTTTTCACCTAGAAAATAAACAACACTGTTTCAAAATGTCCCCAGAATATTTATAGCATATACTAAATGTACAGAAGTGGGAATTACCCATCTGTTTATATGAGCACAAACACAGGTGCTTGTTCTGTACTTTTTTTTAAAAGCAATTTCCTTTATGTTGACTCTAGTTCAGCAGGTCACATGGTCTACGGAAAAATTAGTTTCCCAGTTCCTATGCCATTCAGAAAACTGACAGAGAGACTTGGGTTAATTAAGGAACAAAGATTAAGAAAATGTCTTCCTGAGGTTGAATTATCTTAATTGCAAAAACAATCTGTTTCTACATACAATTATGTATTTAGATAATCCCATTTTACACAAGAGATTTTCATAAGTAAAAAATTCAAATGGATCAAATAATTGGTGAAGAGAAAAACCAGAGTAGCAGCAAGTGACCCTCTAAGTCTTTTTGAAGTTGAACTTTCCTCAAAGCCAGGAGCTCTACTTTACTTGTAATATGCTTACCTCATTCTTAAATCTTTGCATATATCACTTAATTCCACTTTTAGACATACGGCTGATGTTCTGTCACCATGTGGTGGAGAATAATGCACATTTTCTAATTCAAGTTTTATGCTTTCATACTTACTTGCACTACAGTTGTCATATAACGGCTTCTGGAACACATTCTATATTGGTTTTGTACTGTTGTGTTTGTAATAACAGAAACACCATGATCTTTTTTTTTTCTTAAATCACAGGCTTCATTTCTTTGGAGCAAGTAAGTCACATATCTAAAAGGCTTTTTGAATCACTAAATTGAGGCATATGTCCGATGTTTACTTTCCAATTAGTGGTATTTTGGGATTTTTTTTTTTTTTCGATCATTTGCCTAACAACCTATTTGTCTTCTTTTATTTCAACCATAACTACTTCTGGGTTTCTTGCCTTCGTACTTTCTGTATCATTATAAAATTTTTCCTTGTTTGGGTTAAAACCATGTTCAGTATCTGGTTTGTTGTCATTTTCACAGTCTATACTTTATTTCCACTTAAATAAAGCTGGGGTGACTGGCAAGCATATTCTGGGGACCCAGAGTATGAATGAGATAGAAAGGCATTTTTGAGACTGGGTTATTTTTGTTCAGGAAATATCTGGACTACTACAGAGACAGACATGCCAGATGCATCACTTTCCTGACAATCAGGTGAATCATTTGTCAAATTAGAGGGTATTTACTTAAGTTTGTTCTTCCTGTGGAGTTATTAGGTAGTTGCTCTTCCTCAATACAAGCAGTTTTGTAATTTTCACAAATTTCACCGAAACTCTGCTTTATTTGTGATGAATTTTAAAGTTTTCTTTACCCTAATTTGTCTTGTTTGATCCACATTTTCTCATACTTTTGCACACAAGTAAGTCCTGCATATATAAAGAGGTCATTTCTATCACAATACTTTTTCAACTAGTTGTTGAGACAATTTTTGCACATGCAAAAGTGGAAGATAAATTTGCTAGTTTTGTTTCTCAGATGTCTTTTCTGTCAGAGTACATGTTTTAAAAATAACTTTAAATAATCAAGTGTAAAAAGAGAAAAATTAAAAAATAATTAAAGTTTAATATTAATCTTTTTAATCTATGTTTACCTACTCCCAAATCACTGGATTGTAACTAAGAAGTGAAAAATAATTTGCGTTAGCCTAAAAGAGGTGCAAAAACATAAACCATGAAACTTTAATTTGTCACTGTTTGTTTGGACTAAACTTGACTAATTCATTATGTGTTAAATTTCCCAAAAATGAATTAGGAGATGACTTGTGGTACTATAAAGGCACCATCACTTTAAAAGATTTTATCACTATACCTACAGTGTACACTCGAGTGCTTTTTCCAAAGATTACTAACTAGTGATCAGGCAAACTTTAAATTATTAGGAGCCAAAATCAACACCAGTCAGTAAGAAAAGCAAATTCGTACATTTTAATGCAAATTATATATTGTAATATGATTGACAGTGTTATATACTTATATAGATTATAGGCTTAAGTTCTAAGGTCTACTAATGACAGTGGATTTAATAAATTTAATAATATTTACAAATTTTCTATATTGAAATACATTAGGCAGTTATTGTTTGTACCCTAATACCAAAGGTGCCATTCTGCAAGGTATAATTCTCTTGATAGCCAGTTGGGTTGATTTTATGACCCATTCTCTCCCTGAATATAGAAACTGAAGTCAGAGATCCAAAGGGAAAATTAATTCTTAACTTTGGTATTAGTGACTGGCAATAAAAAAAACTGCAAAGTTTGAACCACTAGCAATAATTACTCCTTTAATCTGAATCCAATACAGTGATCGTCACTGTTAAACTGTTTATAATTTCTATTGCTTAAAATTGTAATTCAATATTTGATGTTACCTTCTTTAATATAATAGGAAGCTATAAAAATAGAAGTGCAAACAATATCAGGAACTTTTTAACTCAATTCCAAGAGTAAAGATTAGATATACATTACTATCGATTCCAACACTAAGTTTTAAAAACTAGTTAAATGTTTTTAAAATGAAATATTAAATTACAATCAACTGATAGTAAAAGGCTAATCCAAAGGTAAATTCATTTCAAATATGCTGTATTACCAAAGCAAGGAAAATAAGATTAAACCAGAAATTTGATTTTAAATTTTTACATACCCGTGGCTGGTTATTTTCATAGTCTTCAAGCCTCTTTTGCTCTCCCTCTGATGCCATTTCTAAGTCTTGTTCTGCTAAAAAAAAAAATAGATATTTAGTTAAAACGAGCTACACAGAACAGTTAGATAAAAGCCACAGTCGGCCAGGCGCGGTGGCTCATGCCTGTAATCCCAACACTTTGGGAGGCTGAGGCGGGCGGATCACGAGGTCAGGAGATCGAGACTATCCTGGCTAAAAAGGTGAAACCCCGTCTCTACTAAAAATACGAAAAATTAGCCGGGTGTGCTGGCGGGTGCCTGGAGTCCCAGCTGCTCGGGAGGCTGAGGCAGGAGAATGGCTGAACCCGGGAGGCGGAGCTTGCAGTGAGCCGAGATTTCGCCACCGCACCTCCAGCCTGGTGGGCAGAGCCAGACTCCGTCAAAAAAAAAAAAAAAAAATCCATAGTCTTTCTAAAACCAGAAAATAAAAGTGTTTAAACGAAGCTTAATCTTTAGTATAATATTTACTTCTTTAAGAAATGCTTTTAATCCTCCAAAACTTCAGCAAACTACTTGGGGAGGCACGTATGTCACCAGGTTCAAGCCATGCAAACATGGTCAAAGATTCACTCACAAATTTATCCACCCAACATCAATAAACAAAACCATCAGAAATAAAACAAAATGTAAAAATCCAATAGAAACAGATGAAGTAATAGCACACTGTTCTTTACTTCACAATAGTACCTTATAACAGCACATTGAGTCTGTTGTTCATTATTAATCATTTCCAAAATGACTGCTACTGTTTACACTTTTATCAACGTGCAGTCTCTTCTTTATATCTAAAGTATTCTCCTCAACTATTCTGACACATTTCTTTCACAATTTAAGACTTAGCTACGTGAAGTCTTCCTTGACTCTGGCCATCTTTCCTCAGATAAACGGTTTTATTTAATACAGGTTTTATAAAATATGTAGTTAAGGTTTCAAAAGCGAGATCATGTCTCAATAGAAGAGTGTATCTATTCCAATGTAAACATGTTGACTGATAACGAGAAAAATGATCCTTATAAAGAATAGCACATCATGAGCCTGAGAGAGTAAGTGTCAAAGCTGATGGGAGGATGCTGTGGCCTATCTTTAATGCAATACATCAGATTCAATTATACCATTATACTACAAGCATTTATCATGTTCAACTATTTTTCCTATTATTTAGGGAGTACAAAGTTGTGAGGACACTTCCAATAAATATACAATTTATTTCTCATCAGAGAAACTGTTTGAAATTAATTAGCTTAGATAGACAGTTGTAGAATAAAAATTAATAAAACTATTCATTTTTTTTTTCATTCATAGGTGGGCTACTGCTATGTCTGCATTGCTTGTATCCTGCAGTTTGGCCCTGTCAAGAAGTTTCTGAATCCACTCATACAAGAAGATATATAAACTACATCAACAATAGTGTATAGGCTGGGTGAGGTGGCTCACACCTGTAATCCCAGCACTTTAGGAGGCTGAAGTGGGTGGATCACAAGGTCAGGAGTTCGAGACCAGCCTAACATGGTGAAACCCCATCTCTACTAAAAATACAAAAATTAGCTGGGCATGGTGTCATGTGCCTGTAATCCCAACTACTCAGGAGGCTGAGGCAGGAGAATCACTTGAACCTGGAAGGTGGAGGTTGCAGTGAGCTGAGATTGTAACATTGTACTCCAGGCTGGGAGACAGAGCAAGACTCCATCTCAAAAAAAAAAAAAAAAAAATTCCAAAACAACAAGAAAGTATATAAGCTTTCAATGTGAAAAATAATTGTCAAAAATGAAAAATTTCCACAGACATTAAGAACTTTTTGTACTTCAAAATCAGTGCAATGTTCACTGAATATATTGGTTTTGTTATTCAAAGAATAAATGCTATAACTTTTTGTTTCTCAAATTGGTTTGATTTGATATACCATGCTAATCTCTAAGGCACATTCATGGAACCGTGATCTTATTTTAAAATAGGGTTCTTAGTAAAATCAGTCAAACTTCCTTAGTTCAAATAAATTTCATTTGATTAACTATCATCAACACTTCTATGTAACGCTCACAAATTATTCCCACCACTTCTTTCCTCTTTATTTAGCAGTAGTATCTTATATGTATAATTTCTATTTCCTAAATTTTTGTTCCTTCCCCTCTGGCTAGAAACATACTCAGAAATAATAGCAAAATGACACTGTTATGTTACAAACTGCTATCAGATGGCAAACAGGTATATGGAAAGGTGCTCAACATCACTGGTCATCACAGAAATGCAAATCAAAACCACAATGAGGTATCTTCTCACCTCAGTTAAAAAGGCTTTTATCCAAATGGAAGGCATTAAGAAATGCTGGTGAAGATGTAGAGAAAGGGGAACCCTCGTACACCATTGGTGGCATTGTGAATTAGTACAGTCACTATGGAGAACAGTATAGAGTCCACAAAAAATTAAAAATACAACTACCTACATGATCTAGCAATCCCATTGCTAGGTAACCACTCAAAAGCAAGAAAATCAGTATTATAAAAGAGAAATCTGACCTGACATGTTTATTGCAGCACTTTTCACAATAGCCATAATTTGGAATCAACCTAAATGTACATCAACAGACAAATGGGTTTTAAAAATGTGATATATATACTGCTCAGTCATATGAAAGAATAAGATCCTCTCATTCGCAATGACATGGATGGACCCAGAGGACATTATATCAAGTAAAATAATCCAGTCACAAAGGATATGAATAGACATTTCTCAAAAGAAGACATGCATACAGCTAACAGGCACATGAAAAAATGCTCATCATCACTCGCCATCAGAGAAATGCAAATCAAAACCACAATGAGATACCATTTCACACCAGTTAGAATGGCAATCATTAAAAAGTCAGGAAACAACAGGTGCTGGAGAGGATGTGGAGAAATAGGAACACTTTTACACTGTTGGTGGGATTGTAAACTGGTTCAATCATTGTGGAAAACAGTATGGCGATTCCTCAAGGATCTAGAACTAGAAGTACCATATGACCCGGCCATCCCATTACTGGGTATATACCCAAAGGATTATAAATCATGCTGCTATAAAGACACATGCACACGTATGTTTACTGTGGCACTATTCACAATAGCAAAGACTTGGAATCAACCCAAATGTCCATCAGTGACAGACTGGATTAAGAAAATGTGGCACATATACACCATGGAATACTATGCAGCTATAAAAAAGGATGAGTTTGTGTCCTTTGTAGGGACATGGATGCAGCTGGAAACCATCATTCTCAGCAAACTATCGCAAGAACAGAAAACCAAACACTGCATGTTCTCACTCATAGGTGGGAATTGAACAATGAGATCACTTGGACTCTGGAAGGGGAACATCACACAACGGGGCCTATTATGGGGAGGGGGAGGGGGTAGGGATGGCATTGGGAGTTATACTTGATGTAAATGACAAGTTGATGGATGCTGACGAGTTGATGGGTGCAGCACACCAACATGGCACAAGTATACATATGTAAGAAAACTGCACGTTGTGCACATGTACCCTAGAACTTAAAGTATAATACAAAAAAAAAAAAGGCTTCACATGTTGTCACTCCTTTGTGGGTGTGAGAAATTTAAAAAATAGAGCTCATGGAAATGAAGAGAAAAATCACCATTACTGCAGTCTAGGAAGGGTGTGGGTGCGGTAGGAAATTAGAATGCTTAATAAGTACAAACTATAGTTAGACACAATGAATAAAATCTAGCATTTTATAAAACAAAAACATGACTACAGTCAGCAATAACTAGTTGTACATTTTAGCGGTACTGAGAAAGTACAAATTAAAACCATAAAGAAATGGTTAATGCTTGAGGTGATGGATAAACCATTAACCATGATGTCATTATTACATATTGTATGCCTGTATCAAAATATCTCATTTACTCCATAAACATAAACATCTACGATTTACTCATTAAAATTAAAAACAACAAAAAAATAAAGTAACACACAAACACACAGTGTACTAATCAGAACATCTGATTGGTTTAATATAATAAGTGTAATAAAATTGACCAGAACCAATAAAAGTTAAAACAAACCAAATATGTTATCAGACAAAACATTTCATTAGATAAAAGCCATAATTTGAACTGACTTTTAAAGCAAAACAAATATTTTAGAGTACCAAAATAGATCTCTTTAAATAGCTAAAAAACATTGAAATTCCAAATTGGAAACTTCAGAGTATCAAAATGTAAAAGTAGAAACATCTGAATAAAATCTTGTATTTTAAGGCCAGGCCCCAGTGGCTCATGCCTGTAATCCCAGCACTATGGGAGGGTGAGGTGGGAGAATCACCTGAGGTCAGGAGTTCAAGACTGGCCTGACCAACATGGAGAAACCCTGTCTCTACTAAAAATACAAAATTAGCCAGGCATGGTGGTGCATGCCTGTAATCCCAGCTACTTGGGAGCCTGAGGCAGGAGAATCACTTGAACCAGGAAGGCGGAGGTTGCAGTGAGCTGAGATTGAGCCATTGCATTCCAGCCTGGGCAATAAGAACAAAGCTCTGCCGTTGCTTTTGGTGTTTTAGACATGAAGTCTTTGCCCATGCCTATGTCCTGAATGGTACTACCTAGGTTTTCCTCTAGGATTTTTATGGTATTAGGTGTAACATTTAAGTCTCTAATCCATCTTGAATTAATTTTTGTATAAGGAGTAAGGAAAGGATCCAGTTTCAGCTTTCTACTTATGGCTAGCCAATTTTCCCAGCACCATTTATTAAATAGGGAATCCTTTCCCCATTTCTTGTTTCTCTCAGGTTTGTCAAAGATCAGATGGCTGTAGATGTGTGGTATTATTTCTGAGGACTCTGTTCTGTTCCATTGGTCTATATCCCTGTTTTGGTACCAGTACCATGCTGTTTTGGTTACTGTAGCCTTGTAGTATAGTTTGAAGTCAGGTAGCGTGATGAGTTTGTGTCCTTTGTAGGGACATGGATGCAGCTGGAAACCATCATTCTTAGCAAACTATCACAAGAAGAGAAAACCAAACACCGCATGTTCTTACTCATAGGTGGGAACTGAACAATGAGATCACTTGGACTCAGGAAGGGGAACATCACACACCGGGGCCTATCATGGGGAGGGGGGAGGGGGGAGGGATTGCATTGGGAGTTATACCTGATGTAAATGACTAGTTGATGGGTGCAGCACACCAACATGGCACAAGTATACATATGTAACAAACCTGCACGTTATGCACATGTACCCTACAACTTAAAGTATAATAATAATAAATAAATTTTTTAAAAAAAAGAACAAAGCTCTGTCTAACAACAACAACAACAAAAAACCTTATATTTTTAAAAAATGTATTTTCCTTATGTATGCAAATCTCATTTTTGAAAACCTAAATAAAAATGATAACGGCTGCATTATTTAGATGAAATCCTGAAATAATATAAAAAAGTGAAATAATTGAGAATAGAAAGACTATGAGCATTACAAATAGATTAATGTACATCTTTCCACAGTTAAATCTGCATTACAAAGTTTACCTGGTGTGGATGTTTGTACACCCTTCATTTTGGTGGCTGTATTCAGAACAGAATCTTTATTTTCAATTGTAGCCTGAATGGTTTTAAAACAAAATGATTAGCACATGATGTATATTGTATAGGATATACAGTTAATACAAATGTAAGAGCAATTACCTTCAAGGTGGGCAGATTCTCAGGATACTCTAACAAGCAAAAAAAGTATATAATCAATCATATGTAAACGTGGTAAGGCCAACCATACATTCATGGAGTGTTAGCATCAAACTCAATACTCTTGCCTGTATTAGTGTAGGGTTTCATGTTTTTCTAGTTTGTTTCTTTGAGATAGTAACATGACAGAAATGCACTAAAGAAATTAGGAATATAGGCTTCAAAAAACATACCGTTACAAGTTAAAAATGAAATTATGCACCACATCTATTACTAAAAAATAAGGATTAATGTGGATATGCTGACTAACAAGGAGAAATGTGTTCTAAAATCAGAGGAGCAACTCGTAACCCTAGAAATATATGTAAAAGTTGGTGCTGTGACTGCATGACTTTCATGCAAGACATCAGAAGGATTTATACAATTATAACAAAAATATTCATCATGTTCTTTAACTTGCCCAATAATTGAGAAGGCCCACAATTATAATGACACTTAACTTGAATGTACACTTCACACCTCTTCAGTGGAAGTGTCATGAATTCATCAGTTTGGATATATGTTTGATGAACCTTAGTAGATAATATTCATTATTTATCACACCCATGTGGTGTAATAATCTGCCTATATTTCTTGTATCCTCTAGTGTAGCCTTCAGAAAATTTCTTCATCCACTAATGGCAAGAAGGTATAATATATAAAACCCATCAAAAACTATAATAAATTATACATACTTATACAAAATGAAATTGCTCCAGGCATTAGATATTAATGAACTTATACATTTTGAAATCAGGCCAATATACAGTGCAAATAACCATTTTAGGATTCAATTAATGCAGTCAACATTATTTTTGTCTCTAAAATTAGTCTGCTCTGCAATATCACTTTATTATAAAGAATTTTCACTAAATAGTTATGCTAACAAAAAAGTCAGCACTTTGGAAAAGAGCTAATGTATTCATATTAAATTTTAACTCATTCGAATAACGAATAAAAATATATCTCTGATGTCTGATAGTAATAAACAGGAATAATGAGACACTGAGGTTTATCCCAATTCTAGCACTCCTTCCTGATTCCAGTAGACATTGGAGCAGCCAGAAGTCAGATCTTCTCGTATGTAAATATTCCAAATGTATTTGAAGTGAGCTCGCTCAGGTTTCCTCAGCAGAAACCCCAAAATTACCTAACTAACTTCTTCCTTTCCCTCTTTCTTGCCTTGCAATCCCTCTTTCTTGATGAAAATAATTACTACATTAGTGGTCACTTTGCTTCTCATTCTCCAGTGTTTATGGGTTATTATGACAACTTCTTCCCTCTGGTTGTAGCAGAACCATCTGACATCTATAACTTCTATTACTTCTTCTCTTTCTCCTTCTCCTCTCCTTAGAAACATGCTCTGAAATAACAGCAAAATTATGCTATACCCTGATCCTCTTATGTTTTGGACTGTTTTCCAACGGTTCTTCTACATGATTTCAATGTAGGGAAGTCTATAACCTTGTTACTAAGATCATGGCCGAGGAACAGCAGCATCAAAATCACCTGAGAACTTACTAGAAATGCACAATCTCAGGCCTGCTGAATCAGAAAGTGCATTTTCAATGATCCCCCCGCTGATTTATTCAGGGGTGGGACGTTCTCTTCTATCTTGAGTGCACATGACATTAAATGTGTATTGCCAAATTACCTGTTCCAGATTTCCGACCAGCCATTATTCTTGTGGCAGTATTCAAAACAGGAGCTTTCTTTTTAAATATAACCTGAGTGGAATGAGAAGCAAAATATTCAATACATAACATATATTTCATAGACTATACAATTAGTAATTCAAAGTATAAATGAAAGAGTAACTACCTTCCAGGCCGACTGTTTCTGAGGAGACGCTGAAAAGCAAAAGAAATATATAATCCATCATATGTAAATATGATAAAGTTATCCGTACATTCATGCAGTGTTAGCATCAAGCTGTATCCTCCTGCCTGTACTAGCATAGGATTTGATGTTTTATAGTTTGTGTCTTTGGGACAGGAACATGAGGAAATACACTGAAGAAAATGGAAATACAGGCCTCCAGAAAATATACAGTCACAAATTACAAAGAGACATTAATGGGTCATGTGTGTATTACTGAAATAAAAAGTGTTGACATCAATGTGGATATCCCGAATGATGAAAAGAAATGTGATCTAAAATCAGAGGAGCAACTCATACCCCCATGAATCAATGTCAAAGAAGGTAGTAAATACTATTGCATGTTTCTCATGCAAGACATCAGAAGGATTTATACCATTATACTACTAATATTCATCATGATCTTTAACTTGCCTGATAATTGAGCAGGTACACGATGACAATGACACTTCTGTAGAACGTACACTTCACAAGTCCTCAGTGGAAGTGTCCCAGCTTCATCAGCTTGGATATAGGTTTGGAAAATCCTAGTATATAATATTCTTTATTTCTCAAACCCATGTCATGTAATAATGTGCCTACATTTGTTGTTTCCTCTAGTTTAGGCTGGGAAGATCATGTCCAAGACCAGCAGCATCAGCATCACCCGAGAACTTACTACAAATGAAGAATCTCAGGCCTGCTGAATCAGAATGTGCAGCATCAACGAGTCCCTCGCTGATTTATTTGGGGAAGAGAAGTTCTTTTCTGTCTTGACTGAACACATTAAATGTGTTTTGCAAAATTACCTGTCCCAGATTGTTGTCCATCCTTTATTTCTGTGGCTGTATTCGAAACAGAATCTTCCTTGTCACTTGTCGCCTGAATGGAATTTGAAACAAAATAATCAATAAATAAAGTATGTTTCATAGACTATACATTTACTAGTTCAAAATATAAATGAGATTTTAATCACCTTCAAGGCTTTTTTTTTCTGAGAAGACACTGAAAAGCAAAAGAGATACATAATCACTCATATGTACATATGATAAAGTTATCCATACCTAATGCAGTGTTAGCATCAAGCCGTATCTTCCTGCCTGCATTAGTGTAGGCTTTGATGTTTTCTCCTTTGTGTCTGGGGATTGGAACCTGACAGAAATACACTTCAAAAAAGGAATACAGGCTTCACGAAATATACCCTTACAATTTCAAACATGGTATGATTAGTCGTATGTCTAAAATTAAAATAAAACCGTGTCAATATCAATACAGATATGCCGAGTGATGAGCACAAATGTGATCTAAAATCAGTGGAGCAACTCATAGACCTGAGAATCAATGTCAAAGCAGGTAGTACATGATCCCGCATGTCTTTCATGCAAGAAACCAGAAGGATTTACATAATTATACTACAAACATTCATCATGCTCTTTAACTTGCCCAATAACTGAGATGATACACAATTACAATGACACTTCAGTTCAATGTACACTTCACGTCTCTTCAGTGGAAGTGTCCTACATTGATCAGCTTGGATATATGTTTGCTAAAATCTAGTACGTAATATTCATTATTTCTCACACTCGTGAGGTGTAATAATTTGACTAAATTTCTTGTATTCGCTAGTTGAGACTTCCAAAAGTTTCTTCATCCACTCATGGCAACAAAGGATAATATATTAGCCTCAATAAAAATATCATCAATTATCAATCTTGACATACTTCTACAAAGTAAAACTGTGACAAGCATTAGATATTAGTAAATTTTACATTAGGAATCACTCTAATATTCATTGAAAATGACCATTTTAGGAGTTAATTAGATTTCAACATAATTTTTGCTTCTAAAATAGTCTTCTTGAGAGTATCATGGTATTCTGTAAAGAGGTTTCATTAAATAGCTATTTTATCCAAGAGTTAGCTCCTTGAACAAGGAAGGCAATGTATTCATATTCAAGTTTATCTCATTTTTTGTAACTAAAATCAACAAAACGTGTATCTCTGATGCCGAATAGTAACAAAGAAGAGTAAGGAGTCACTGTGATTTATCCCAATTCTAGCATTGTTTCCCGCTCCAGTAGTTCCTGCAGCAGCGAAAATCAAATCTTCTTTAATATAAATACTGAAAATGCATCTGTAGTGAGTTCACACAGGTTTCCTCAGCAGAAAATCCAAAATTACATAAATAACTTCTTATTTTCCCTCCTTCCACCCTCACAATCCCTCTTCCTTGAGGAAAATAATTGCTACATCAGTGGTCTGGTTAGTTCTCATTCTACAGTGTTTATGGGGTATAAGGATCACTTTTCCCTCTGTTTATAGCAATACGATCTGATGCCTATAATATCTATTACTTCATCTCTTTCACCTTCCCCTCTTGATGGAAACATGCAGTAGAATTAAAGCAAAATTATTCTGTCCCCTGAACCCCTTATGTGTTGAACTGCTCTCCAATGGTTCTTCTTCCCAATTTCAATGTAGGGCAGTCTATAATCTTACTACTCAGATCATGGCCAAGGACCAGCAGCATCAGGGTCACCTGAGTACTTATTGAAATGAAGACTCTCCAGTGTGCTGAATCAGAACGTGCAGCTTTGATGAACTCCCCACTGATTTATTTGGGGAAGTGAATTTCTCTTCTCTCTTGATTGAATATCACATTAAATGTGTATTGTAAAATTACCTGTCCCAGATATTTGTCCATCCTTTATTTCTGTCGTTATATTTGAAACAGAATCTTTCTTGTCACTTGTAGCCTGAATGGGATTTGAAACAAAATAATCAATACATAGAGTATATTTCATAGACTATACAGTTAATAGTTCAAAATGCAAACGAGATTTTAATCACCTTCCAGGCCGGTTGTTTCTGAGAAGACACTGAAAAGCAAAAGGGATATATAATCAGTCATATGTACATATGATAAAGTTATTCAAACATTCATGCAGTGTTAGCATCAAGCTGCATCTTCCTGCCCATCTTAGTGAAGCCTTTGATGTTTTATATTTTGTATCTTGGGACAGGAACATGACAGAAATACACTGAAGAAAACAAGAATACAGGTTTCACGAAATATACACTAATCATTTCAAACATATTACGATCTGTCATATGACTAAAACTAAAATAAAACAGTGTCAATTTCAATAAGGATATGTCAAGTGATGAGGACAAATGTGGTCTAAAATCAGAGAAGCAACTCAATCACCTGGGAACCAATGTCAAAGGAGGTGGTACATGCACCCGCATGTCTTTCATGCAAGATACCTGAATGATGTAGACCATTGTACTGCAAACATTCATCATGCTCTTACTGTAAAATCTATACTTCATCTCTTTCTCCTTCCACCCTTAGTGAAAACATGCTGTAGAATTAAAACAAAATTATGCTGTCCCCTGAGCCCCTTATGTCTTGACCTGCTCTCCATATTTCTTCTTCCCAATTTCAACATGGGGAAATATATAATCTTACTGCAAAGATCATGTCCAAGACCAGCAGCATCAGTGTCACCCGAGAACTTATTACATATGAGGAATCTCAGGCCTGCTGAATCAGAATGTGCAGCATCGATGAGTCCCCCGCTGATTTATTCGGTGGAAGAGAAGTTATTTTCTATCTGGACTGAACATGACATTAAATGTGTTTTGCAAAATTACCTGTCGCAGATTCTTGTCCATCCTTTATTTCTGTGACTATATTAGAAATAGATACTTTCTTGTCACTTGCAGCCTGAATGGAATTTGAAACAAAATAATCAATTAAAAAAGTATATTTCATAAACTATACAGTTAATAGTTTAACGTATAAAAGACAGTTTAATTACCTTCAAGGGTGGTTGTTTCTGGGAAGACACTGAAAAGCAAAAGGGATACATAATCACTCACATGTACATATGATAATATTATTCATACACTCATGAAGTGTTAGCATCAAGCTGTATCCTCCTGCCTGTATTAGTGTAGGCTTTGATGTTTTCTACTTTGTGTATGGAGACTGGAACACGACAGAAGTAGATTGAAAAAAAAGGAACACAAGCTTCACGAAATATACCCTTACAACTGCAAACTTGGTATGATTTGTTCTATGTCTAAAACTAAAATAAAACAATGTTAATATCAATGTGGATATGCCGAGTGATGAGGACAAATGTGATCTAAAATCAGAGCAGCAATTCATACACCTGAGAATCAATGTCAAAGCAGGTGGTACATGATCCCACATGTTTTTCATGCAATACATCAGAAGGATTTACACTATTATACTACAAACATTCATCACGTTCTTTAACTTGCCTGATAACTGAGAAGGTACACAATTACAATGACACTTCAGTTGAACATACACTTCACATCTCTTAAGTGGAAGTGTCCTAAGTTGATCAGCATGGATATATGTTTCCTGAATTCGAGTAAATAATATTCATTATTTCTTAAACCCATGTGATGCAATAATTTGCCTAAGTTTCTTGTATTCTCTAGTTTAGCCTTTCGAACATTTCTTCATCCACTCATGGCAACAAAGTATAATACATAAACCTCAATTAAAAGCATCCTCAATTATGTTAATTTTGACATACTTCTACTAAATAAAACTGCTACAAGCACTGGATATTAATAAGTTTTTCCATTCCGAAATCACACCAATATTCATTAAAAATGACCAAGTAGTCAGTTTATCAATTCCACATTACTTTTGTTTCTAAAACAGTCTTGTTAGGAGTATCATGCTATTCTCTAAAGAATATTCATTAAATAGCGATTTTATCCAAGACTTTGCTCTTTGATCAAAGAAGCAAATGTATTCACGTTCAACTTTATCCAATTTTTACAACTAAAATCAAGAAAACATGTAAGTCTCATGCCTAATAGTAACAAAGAGCAGTAATTAGTCAATGTGGTTTGCACCAATTCTAGCATTCTTTCCTGCATCCTGTAGTTCCTGGTGTTTCCAAAATCAAATTTTCTTTATGCAAATATGCCAAATGCCTCTGAAGTGAGTTCATTCAGGTTTCCTCAGCAGAAAACCCAAAATTACATAAATAACTTTATTTATGTGGCTTTTCCCTCCTTCCTGCCTCACAATCCCTCTTCCTTGAGAAAACTAATTGCTATATCAGTGGACTCATTAGTTCTTGTTCTACACTGTGTACGAGTTATTACGATTACTTTACTGTCTGTTTTCAGCAGTAGGATGTGAATGTAAAATCTATACTTCATCTCTTTCTCCTTCTACCTTTGGTAAAAACATGCTGTAGAATTAAGGCAAAATTATTCTGTCCCCTAAGCCCCTTATGTCTTGACCTGCTCTTCAAGGTATCTTCTTCCCAATTTCAATGTGGGTAAGTCTATAATCTTATTGTGAAGATCATGTCTAAGACCAGTAGCATCAGCATCACCCAAGAACTTATTACAACTGAGGAATCTTAGGCCTGCTGATTCAGAATGTACATCTTCAACGAGTCCCCCGCTATGTATTCAGGGAAGAGAAGTTCTTCTACATTTGGACTGAACATGACATTAAATGTGTTCTGTAAAATTACCTGTACCAGATTTTTGTCCATCCATTATTTCTGTGGCTATATTCGAAACAGAATCTTTCTTGTCACTTGTAGCCTGAATGGAATTTGAATCAAAATAATCAATAAATAATGTATATTTCATAGACTCTGTAGTCACTAGTTCAAAATATAAATGAAAATTTAATTACCTTCAAGGCTGGTGGTTTCTGAGAAGACACTGAAAAGCAAAAGGGACACATAATCACTCACACGTAAATATAATAAAGTTATCCACACACGCATACAGTGTTAGCACCAAGCTGTATCCTCCTGCCTGTATTAGTGTAGGCTTTGATGTTTTCTACTTTGTGTCTGGGGACTGGAACATGACAGAAATACACTGACAAAAGTGAACACAGGCTTCATGAAATATACCCTTACAATTGCAAACACGGTATGATTTGTCATATGTCTAAAACTAAAATAAAACCATCTCAATATCAATGTGGATATGCAGAGTGATGAGGACAAATGTGACCTAAATCAGTGGAGCAACTCATACACCTGAGAATCAATGTCAAAGCAGGTGGTACACGATTCCGCATGTCTTTCATGCAGGAAATCAGAAGGATTTATATAACTATACTACAAACATTCATCACGCTCTTTAACTCATCCAATAACTAGGAAGGTACACAATTACAATGACACTTCACATCTCTTCAGTGGAAGTGTCCTAAATTGATCAGCTTGGATATATGTTTGTTGAAACCTAGTAGATAATTTCATTATTTCTCACTCCTGTGTGGTGAAATAATTTGGCTAACTTTCTTGTATCTGCTAGTTTAGCCTTCTGAAATTCTCTTCAAACATTCACAGTAACAAAAAATAATATATTAGCCTCAATAAAAAGATCATGAATTACCAATTTTGACATACTTCTACAAAGTTACACTGTTACCAGCATTAGATATTAATAAAATTAACATTCAGAAATCACTCCAATATTCATTGTAAATGACCATTTTAGGAGTTAATTCGAATTCAACATAATTTTTGTTACTAGACCGGGCGCGGTGGCTCACGCCTGTAATCCCAGCACTTTGGGAGGCCGAGACGGGCGGATCACGAGGTCAGGAGATCGAGACCATCCTGGCTAACACGGTGAAACCCCGTCTCTACTAAAAAATACAAAAAACTAGCCGGGCGCGGTGGCGGGCGCCTGTAGTCCCAACTACTCGGGAGGCTGAGGCAGGAGAATGGCGTGAACCCGGGAGGCGGAGCTTGCAGTGAGCTGAGATCCGGCCACTGCACTCCAGCCTGGGCGACAGAGCGAGACTCCGTCTCAAAAAAAAAAAAAAAAAAAAAAAAAATTTGTTACTAAAATAGTCTTGTGGGGAATATCACACTATTCTCTAAAGGAGTTTCACTGAGTAGCTATTTTATCCAAGAGTTAGCTCCTTGAATAACGAAAGCAATGTATTCATATTCAAGTTTATCTCACTTTTATAAGTAAAATCAACAAAACATGTATCTCTGATGCTTGATAGTAACAAAGAGGAATAACGAGTCACTGTGGTTTATCCCAATTCTAGCACTGTTTCCTGCTTCCAGTAGTTCCTGGAGCTGCCAAAATCAAATATTCTTTTATGCAAATATTCCAAATGTATCTGAAGTGAGTTCACTCAGGTTTCCTGGGCGGAAATCTCAAACTTTCATAAATAACCTCATCTTTTCCCTACTTCCTGCCTCACAATTCCTCTTGCTTGAGCAAAATAATTGCTACATCATTGGTCTTGTTAGTTCTCATTCTACAGTGTTTTTGGGGTATTAGGATCACTTTGCCTCTGTTCATAGCAATACGATCTGATGTCTATAATATCTATTACTTCATCTCTTTCTCCTTCCCCTCTTGATGGAAACATGCTGTAGAATTAAAGGAAAATGATGCTGTTTCCTGAGCCTGTTATGTGTTAAACCGCTTTCCAACGGTTCTTCTTCCCAATTTCAAAGTAGGGAAGTCTATAATCTTAGTACTCAGATCATGGCCAAAGACCAGCAGCATTAAGCTCACCCGAGAACTTAGGAAGAATCTCAGGCGTGCTGAAACAGAACGTGAACCTTCGACGAACCCCACGCTCACTTATTTGAGGAAGAGAAGTTCTCTTCTATCTTGATTGAACCTGACATTATATGCGAATTGTAAAATTACCTGTCCCAGATATTTGTGCATCCTTTATTTCTGTGGCTATATTCGAAACAGAATCTTCCTTGTCACTTGTAGCCTGAATGGAATTTGAAACAAAATAATCAATGCATAAAGCATAGTTCATAGACTAAACAGTTATTAGTTCAAAATATAAATGAGAGTTTAATTACCTTCAAGGCTGGTTGTTTCTGAGAAGACACTAAAAAGCAAAAGGGACACACAATCACTCATATGTACATAAGATAATGTTATTCATACATTCATGAGGTGTTAGCAACAAGCTGTATCCTCCTGCCTGTATTAGTGTAGGATTTGATGTTTTCTACTTTAGAAATACACTGAAGAAAAGGAATACAGGCTTCACGAAATATACCCTTACTATTTCAAACATGGTATGATTAGTCATACGTCTAAAACTAAAATAAAACCGGGTCTATATCATTATGGATATGCTGCGTGATTAATATAATGTAAAATCAGAGCAGCAATTCATACACCTGAGAATCAATGTTAAATAAGGTGGTACATGCTGCATGTCTTTCAGGCAAGAAAGCAGAAGGATTTATACCATTATACTACAAACATTCATCATGCTCTTTAACTTGCCTGATAACTGAGAACTTACACAATTACAATGACACTTTAGTTGAATGAACATCTCACGCCTTTTAAGTTAGAAGTGTCCTAAATTGAACAGCTTGGATATATGTTTCCGGAATCGGAGTAAATAATATTCATTATTTCTCACACCCGTGTGATGTCCTAATTGGCCTAAGTTTCTTGTATTCTCTAGTTTAGCCTTCCAAACATTTCTTCATCCACTCATGGCAACAAAGTATAATATATAAACCTCAATAAAGAGCATAATCAATTATTAATTTTGACATACTTCTACTAAATAAAACTTCTACAAGCATTGGATATTAGTAAGCTTTTCCATTCGGAAATCACGCCAACCTTCATTGAAAATGACCATTTTTAGGGTCAGTTGATGAATTCAACAGTATTTTTGTTTCTAAAATAGTCTTGCTAGGAGTATCATGCTATTCCCTAAAGAATATTCATTAAATTGCGATTTTATCCAAGAGTTACCTCTTTGATCAAAGAAGCCAATGTATTCATATTCAAGCGTATCCCATTTTTAAAACTAAAATCAACGAAACATGTAAGTCTGATGCCTAATAGTAACAAAGAGGAGTAATTAGTCATTGTGGTTTATCCTAATTCTAGCATTCCTTGCTGCATCCTGTAGTTTCAGAAGCTGCCAAAATCAAATCTTCTTTCTGCAAATATGCTACATGCATCTGAAGTGAGTTCACTTAGGTTTCCTCAGCAGAAATCACAAAATTACATAAATAACTTCTTCTTTTCCCTCTTTCCTGCCTCACAATCCCTCTATCTTGGGAAAATTAATTGCTATATCAGTGGACTCGTTACTTCTCGTTCTAGTGTCCGCGAGTTATTACGATCAAGTTTCCATCTGTCTTTAGCAGTACAGTGTAATGTCTGTAAAATCTATACTTCATCTCTTTCTCCTCCCACCCTTGGTGAAAACATGCTATAGAATTAAAGAAAAATTATGCAGCCCCCTGAGCCCCATATATCGTGATATGCTCTCCAATGTTTCTTCTTCCCAATTTCAGTGTGTGGAAGTCTTTAATCTTACTGGGAAGATCATGTCCAAGACCAGCAGCATCGGCGTCACCCGAGAACTTATTACATATGAGGAATCTCGGGCCTGCTGAATCAGAATGTGCAGCATTGAAGAGCCCCACGCTGATTTATTCAAGGAAGAGAAGTTATTTTCTATCTGGACTGAACATGACAGTAAATGTGTTTTGCAGAATTACCTGTCCCAGATTCTTGTGCATCCTTTATTTCTGTGGCTGTATTCGAAACAGGAACTTTCTTGTCACTTGTAACCTGAATGGAATTTGAATCAAATTAATCACCAAAAAAGTAGGTTTCATAGACTCTGTAGTCACTAGTTCAAAATATAAATGAAAATTTAATTACTTTCAACGCTGGTGGTTTCTGAGAAGGCACTGAAAAGCAAAAGGGATATATAATCACTCATACGTAAATATAATAAAGTTATGTATACACGTGTACAGTGTTAACATCAAGCTATATCCTCCTGCCTGCATTAGTGTAGGCTTTGATGTTTTCTACTTTGTGTCTGGGGACTGGAACATAAAAGAAATAAACTGACAAAAGGGAATATAGACTTCATGAAATATACCCTTACAATTGCAAACACGGTATGATTTGTCATATGTCTAAAACTAAAATAAAACCATCTCAATATCAATGTGGATATGCCGAGTGATGAGGACAAATGTGACCTAAATCAGTGGAGCAACTCATACACCTCAGAATCAATGTCAAAGCAGGGGGTACACGATCCCGCATGTCTTTCATGCAGGAAATCAGAAGGATTTACATAATTATACTACAAACATTCATCACGCTCTTTAACTCATCTGATAACTAGGAAGGTACACAATTACAATGACACTTCACATCTCTTCAGTGGAAGTGTCCTAAATTGATCAGCTTGGATATATGTTTGTTGAAACCTAGTAGATAATATTCATTATTTCTCACTCCTGTGTGGTGAAATAATTTGGCTAACTTTCTTGTATCTGCTAGTTTAGCCTTCTGAAATTCTCTTCAAACATTCACGGTAACAAAAAATAATATATTAGCCTCAATAAAAAGATCATGAATTACCAATTTTGACATACTTCTACAAAGTTACACTGTTACCAGCATTAGATATTAATAAAATTTACATTCAGAAATCACTCCAATATTCATTGTAAATGACCATTTTAGGAGTTAATTTGAATTCAACATAATTTTTGTTACTAAAATAGTCTTGTGGGGAATATCACACTATTGTCTAAAGGAGTTTCACTGAGTAGCTATTTTATCCAAGAGTTAGCTCCTTGAACAACGAAAGCAATGTATTCATATTCAAGTTTATCTCATTTTTATAAGTAAAATCAACAAAACATGCATCTCTGATGCCTAATAGTAACAAAGAGGAATAACGAGTCACTGTGGTTTATCCCAATTCTAACAGTTTCCTGCGTCCAGTAGTTCCTGGAGCTGCCAAAATCAAATATTCTTTTATGCAAATATTCCAAATGTATCTGAAGTGAGTTCACTCAGGTTTCCTGGGCGGAAACCTCAAACTTTCATAAATAACCTCATCTTTTCCCTACTTCCTGCCTCACAATTCCTCTTGCTTGAGCAAAATAATTGCTACATCATTGGTCTTGTTAGTTCTCATTCTACAGTGTTTTTGGGGTATTAGGATCACTTTGCCTCTGTTCATAGCAATACGATCTGATGTCTATAATATCTATTACTTCATCTCTTTCTCCTTCCCCTCTTGATGGAAACATGCCATAGAATTAAAAAAAATCATGCTGTCTCCTGAGCCTGTTATGTGTTAAACCGCTTTCCAATGGTTCTTCTTCCCAATTTCAAAATAGGGAAGTCTGTAATCTTAGTACTCAGATCATGGCCAAAGACCAGCAGCATTAAGCTCACCCAAGAACTGATTACAAAAGAAGAATCTCAGGCGTTCTGAAACAGAACGTGAACCTTCAACGAACCCCACGCTAACTTATTTGGGGAAGAGAAGTTCCCTTCTATCTTGATTGAACCTGACATTATATGCGAATTGTAAAATTACCTGTTCCAGATATTTGTGCATCCTTTATTTTTGTGGTTATATTCGAAACAGAATCTTCCTTGTCACTTGTACCCTGAATGGAATTTGAAACAAAATAATCAATGCATAAAGCATAGTTCATAGACTATACAGTTACTAGTTCAAAATATAAATGAGAATTTAATTACCTTCAAGGCTGGTTGTTTCTGAGAAGACACTAAAAAGCAAAAGGGACACACAATCACTCATATGTACATAAGATAATGTTATTCATACATTCATGAGGTGTTAGCATCAAGCTGTATCCTCCTGCCTGTATTAGTGTAGGATTTGATGTTTTCTACTTTAGAAATACACTGAAGAAAAGGAATACAGGCTTCACGAAATATACCCTTACTATTTCAAACATGGTATGATTAGTCATACGTCTAAAACTAAAATAAAACCGGGTCTATATCATTATGGATATGCTGAGTGATGAGGAGAAATACGATGTAAAATCAGAGCAGCAATTCATACACCTGAAAATCAATGTTAAAGCAGGTGGTACATGCTGCATGTCTTTCAGGCAAGAAAGCAGGAGGATTATTACACCATTATACTACAAACATTCATCATGCTCTTTCACTAGCCTGATAACTGAGAACTTACACAATTACAATGACACTTTAGTTGAATGGACATCTCACGCCTTTTAAGTTGGAAGTGTCCTAAATTGATCAGCTTGGATATATGTTTCCGGAATCGGAGTAAATAATATTCATTATTTCTCACACCCGTGTGATGTCCTAATTGGCCTAAGTTTCTTGTATTCTCTAGTTTAGCCTTCCAAACATTTCTTCATCCACTCATGGCAACAAAGTATAATATATAAACCTCAATAAAGAGCATAATCAATTATTAATTTTGACATACTTCTACTAAATAAAACTTCTACAAGCATTGGATATTAGTAAGCTTTTCCATTCGGAAATCACGCCAACATTCATTGAAAATGACCATTTTGGCCGGGCGCGGTGGCTCAAGCCTGTAATCCCAGCACTTTGGGAGGCCGAGATGGGCGGATCACGAGGTCAGGAGATCGAGACCATCCTGGCTAACACGGTGAAACCCCGTCTCTACTAAAAAATACAAAAAACTAGCCGGGCGCGGTGGCGGGGGCCCATAGTCCCAGCTACTCCGGAGGCTGAGGCAGGAGAATGGCGTGAACCCAGGAGGCGGAGCTTGCAGTGAGCTGAGATCCGGCCACTGCACTCCAGCCTGGGCGGCAGAGCAAGACTCCGTCTCAAAAAAAAAAAAAAAAAAGAAAATGACCATTTTTAGGGTCAGTTGATGAATTCAACAGTATTTTTGTTTCTAAAATAGTCTTGCTAGGAGTATCATGCTATTCCCTAAAGAATATTCATTAAATCGCGATTTTATCCAAGAGTTACCTCTTTGATCAAAGAAGCCAATGTATTCATATTCAAGCGTATCTCATTTTCAAAACTAAAATCAACGAAACATGTAAGTCTTATGCCTAATAGTAACAAAGAGGAGTAATTAGTCATTGTGGTTTATCCTAATTCTAGCATTCCTTGCTGCATCCTGTAGTTTCAGAAGCTGCCAAAATCAAATCTTCTTTCTGCAAATATGCTACATGCATCTGAAGTGAGTTAACTCAGGTTTCCTCAGCAGAAATCACAAAATTACATAAATAACTTCTTCTTTTCCCTCCTTCCTGCCTCACAATCCCTCTATCTTGGGAAAATTAATTGCTATATCAGTGGACTCGTTACTTCTCGTTCTAGTGTCCGCGAGTCATTACGATCAAGTTTCCATCTGTCTTTAGCAGTACGGTGTGATGTTTGTAAAATCTATACTTCATCTCTTTCTCCTCCCACCCTTGGTGAAAACATGCCTTAGAATTAAAGCATAATTATGCTGTCCCCTGTGCCCCATACGTCATGATCTGCTCTCCAATGTTTCTTCTTCCCAATTTCAGTGTGTGGAAGTCTTTAATCTTACTGGGAAGATCATGTCCAAGACCAGCAGCATCGGCGTCACCCGAGAACTTATTACATATGAGGAATCTCGGGCCTGCTGAATCAGAATGTGCAGCATTGAAGAGCCCCACGCTGATTTATTCAAGGAAGAGAAGTTATTTTCTATCTGGACTGAACATGACAGTAAATGTGTTTTGCAGAATTACCTGTCCCAGATTCTTGTGCATCCTTTATTTCTGTGGCTGTATTCGAAACAGAAACTTTCTTGTCACTTGTAACCTGAATGGAATTTGAATCAAAATAATCACCAAAAAAGTAGGTTTCATAGACTCTGCAGTTACTAGTTCAAAATATAAATGAAAATTTAATTACTTTCAACGCTGCTGGTTTCTGAGAAGGCACTGAAAAGCAAAAGGGATACATAATCACTCACACGTAAATATGATAAAGTTATCCATACATGAGTACAGTGTTAGCATCAACCTGTATCCTCCTGCCTGTATTAGTGTAGGCTTTGATGTTTTCTACTTTGTGTCTGGGGACTGGAACATGACAGAGATACACTGACAAAAGGGAACACAGGCTTCATGAAATATACCCTTACAATTGCAAACACGGTATGATTTGTCATATATCTAAAACTAAAATAAAACCGTGTCATTATCAATGTGGATATGCCCAGTGATGAGGACAAATGTGACCTAAATCAGTGAAGCAACTCATACACCTGAGAATCAATGTCAAAGCAGTTGGTACACGATCCCGCATGTCTTTCATGCAGGAAATCAGAAGGATTTACATAATTATACTACAAACATTCATCACGCTCTTTAACTCATCCGATAACTGGGAAGGCACACAATTACAATGATACTTCACGTCTCTTCAGTGGAAGTGTCCTAAATTGATCAGCTTGGATATATGTTTGTTGAAACCTAGTAGATAATATTCATTATTTCTCACTCCCGTGCGGTGTAATAATTTGAATAAGTGTCTTGTATCTGCTAGTTTAGCCTTCTGAAAGTTTCTTCAAACATTCACGGTAACAAAAAATAATATATTAGCCTCAATAAAAATATCATGAATTACCAATTTTGACATACGTCTACAAAGCCACATTGTTACCAGCATTAAATACTAATAGAATTTACACTGAGAAATCACTCCAATATTCATTGAAAATGACCATTTTGGAGTTAATTCGAATTCAACATAATTTTTGTTACTAAAATAGTCTTGGTGGGAATATCACACTATTCTCTAAAGATGTCTCACTGAATATCTATTTTATCCAAGAGTTAGCTCCTTGAACAACAAAGCCAATGTATTTACATTCCAGTTTATCTCATTATTATAAGTAAAATCAACAAAACATGTATCCCTGATGCCTAATAGTAACAAAGAAGAGTAAGGAGTCACTGTGGTTTATCCCAATTCTAGCACTGTTTCCTGCTTCCAGTAGTTCCTGGAGCTGCCAAAATCAAATATTCTTTTATGCAAATATTCCAAAAATACCTGAAGGGAGTTCACTCAGGTTTCCTCGGCGGAAAACCCAAAATTTCATAACTAACCTCTTCTTTCCCTACTTCCTGCCTCACAATTCCTCTTGCTTGAGCAAAATAATTGCTACATCATTGGTCTTGTTAGTTCTCATTCTACAGTGTTTTTGGGGTATTAGGATTACTTTTGCCTATGTTCATAGCAATACGATCTGATGTCTATAATATCTATTACTTCATCTCTTTCTCCTTCCCCTCTTGATGGAAACATGCTGTAGAATTAAAGGAAAATGATGCTGTCTCCTGAGCCTCTTATGTGTTAAACTGCTCTCCAATGGTTCTTCTTCCCTGTTTCAAAGTAGGGAAGTCTGTAATCTTAGTACTCAGATCACGTCAAAGACCAGCAGCATGAGGCTCACCCGAGAACTTATTACAAAGGAAGAATCTCAGGCGTGCTGAAACAGAACATGAACCTTCGACGAACCGCACGCTCACTTATTTGGGGAAGAGAAGTTCTCCTCTGTCTTGATTGAACCTCATATTAGATGCGTATTGCAAAATTACCTGTTCCAGATATTTGTGCATCCTTTATTTCTGTGGTTATATTCGAAACAGAATCTTCCTTGTCACTTGTAGCCTGAATGGAATTTGAAACAAAATAATCAATACATAAAGTACAGTTCATAGACTATACAGTTACTAGTTCTAAATATAAATGAGAGTTTAATTACCTTCAAGGCTGGTTGTTTCTGAGAAGACACTAAAAAGCAAAAGGGACACATAATCACTCATATGTACATAAGATAATGTTATTCATACATTCATGAGGTGTTAGCATTAAGCTGTATCCTCCAGCCTGTATTAGTGTAGGATTTGATGTTTTCTACTTTAGAAATACACTGAAGAAAAGGAATACAGGCTTCATGAAATATACCCTTACTATTTCAAACATGGTATGATTAGTCGTATGTCTAAAACTAAAATAAAACCGTGTCTATATCAATATGGATATGTCGATTGATGAGGAGACACATGATGTAAAATCCTCAGCAATTCACACACCTGAGAAACAATGTCAAAGCAGGTGGTACATGATCGTGCATGTCTTTCAGACAAGAAAGCAGGAGGATTATTACACCATTATACTACAAACATTCATCATGCTCTTTCACTAGCCTGATAACTGAGAACTTACACAATTACAATGACACTTTAGTTGAATGAACATCTCACGTCTTTTAAATGGAAGTGACCTAAATTGATCAGCTTGGATATATGTTTCCAGAATTGGAGTAATAATATTCATTATTTCTCACACCCGTGTGGTGTCATAATTTGCCTAAGTTTCTTGTATTCTCTAGTTTAGCCTTCTGAACATTTCTTCATCCACTCATGGCAACAAAGTATAATATATAAACCTCAATAAAGAGCATAATCAATTATTAATTTTGACATACTTCTACTAAATAAAACTCCTACAAGCATTGGATAGCAGTAAGCTTTTCCATTCAGAAATCACGCCAACATTCATTGAAAATGACCATTTAAAGGTTAGTTGATGAATCCAACATTATTTTTGTTTCTAAAATAGTCTTGTTGGGAGTATCATGCTATTCTCTAAAAAATATTCATTAAATCGCGATTTTTTCCAAGAGTTACCTCTTTGATCAAAGAAGCCAATGTATTCATATTGAAGCATATCTCGTTTTTGTAACTAAAGTCAACAAAACATGCAAGTCTGATGCCTAATAGTAACAAAGAGGAGTAATTAGTCATTGTGGTGTATCCCAATTCTAGCATTCTTTCCTGCATCCTGTAGTTCCAGGAGCTGCCTAAATCAAATCTTCTTTCTGCAAATATGCTACATGCATCTAAAGTGACTTCACTCAGGTTTCCTCAGCAGAAATCACAAAATTACATAAATAACTTCTTTTTTTCCCTCCTTCCTGCCACACAATCCCACTTCCTTCGGAAAACTAATTGCTACATCAGTGGTCTCGTTACTTGTCATTCTAGTGTCCGCAAGTTTTTACGATCAAGTTTCCCTCTGTCTTTAGCAGTACGGTGTGATGTCTGTAAAATCTATACTTCATCTCTTTCTCCTTCCATCCTTGGTGAAAACATGCTGTAGAATTAAAGCAAAATTATGCTGTCCCCTGAGCCCCTTACGTCTTGATCTGCTCTCCAATGTTTCTTCTTCCCAATTTCAGTGTGTGGAAGTCTATAATCTTACTGCAAAGATCATATCCAAGACCTGCAGCATTGGCGTCACCAGAGAACTTATAACACTTGAAGAATTTCAGGCCTGCTGAATCAGAATGTGCAGCTTTGACGAGCCCCAGGATGATTTATTCAGGGAAAAGAAGTTCTTTACTATCTGGACTGAACATGACATTAAATGTGTTTTGCAAAATTACCTGTCCCAGATTGTTGTCCATCCTGTATTTCTGTGGCTATATTCAAAACAGAATCTTCCTTGTCACTTGTAGCCTGAATGGAATTTGAAACAAAATAATCAATACATAAAGTATAGTTCATAGACTAAACAGTTACTGGTTCAAAATATATGTGAGAGTTTAATTACCTTCAAGGTTGGTCGTTTCTGCGAAGACACTGAAAAGCAAAAGGGACACATAATGACTCATGTGTACATAAGATAATGTTATTCATACATTCATGAGGTGTTAGCATCAAGCTGTATCCTCCTGCCTGTATTAGTGTAGGATTTGATGTTTTCTACTTTAGAAATACACTGAAGAAAAGGAATACAGGCTTCACGAAATATACCTTTAAAATTTCAGACATGGTATAACTCGTCATATGTCTAAAACTAAAATAAAACCATGTCTATATCCGTATGGATATGCCGAGTGATGAGAAGAAATGTGATGTCAAATCAGTGCAGCAATTCATACACCTGTAAATCAATGTCAAAGCAGGTGGTACATGATCTTGCATGTCTTTCAGGCAACAAAGCAGAAGGATTTATACCATTATACTACAAACATTCATCATGCTCTTTAACTTGCCTGATAACTGAGAACTTACACAATTACAATGACACTTTAGTTGAATGGACATTTCACGTCTTTTAAGTGGAAGTGTCCTAAATTGATCAGCTTGGATATATGTTTCCGGAATCTGAGTAAATAATATTCACTATTTCTCACACCTGTGTGGTGTCACAATCGCCTAAATTTCTTGGATTCTCTAGTTTAGCCTTCCGAACATTTCTTTATCCACTCATGGCAACAAAGTATAATATATAAACCTCAATAAAGAGCATAATCAATTATTAATTTTAACATACTTCTACTAAATAAAACTTCTACAAGCATTGGCTATTAGTTAGCTTTTCCATTTGGAAATCATGCCAACATTCATTGAAAATGACCATTTTAAGGGTCAGTTCATGAATTCAACAGTATTTTTGTTTCTAAAATAGTCTTGTTAGGAGTATCATGCTATTCTCTAAAGAATATTCATTAAATCGCGATTTTTTTCCAAGAGTTGCCTCTTTGATCAAAGAAGCCAATGTATTCATATTCAAGCGTATCTCATTTTTAAAACTAAAATCAAAGAAACATGTAAGTCTGATGACTAATAGCAACAATAGTCATTGTGGTTTATCCCAATTCTAGCATTCTTTGCTGCATCCTGTAGTTCCAGGAGCTGCCAAAATCAAATCTTCTTTCTGCATATATGCTACATGCATCTGAAGTGAGTTAACTCAGGTTTCCGCAGGAGAAAACCCAAAATTACATAAATAACTTCTTTTCCCTCCTTCCTGCCTCACAATCCCTCTTCCTTGGGAAAACTAATTGCTACATCAGTGGTCTCGTTACTTCTCGTTCTAGTGTCCGCAAGTTATTACGATCCAGTTTCCGTCTGTCTTTAGCAGTACGGTGTGATGTCTACAAAATCTATACTTCATCTCTTTCTCCTTCCACCCTTGGTGAAAACAAGCTGTAGAATTAAAGCAAAATTATGCTGTCCCTTGAGCCCCTTACGTCTTGATCTGCTCTCCAATGTTTCTTCTTCCCAATTTCAATGTGTGGAAGTCTATAATCTTACCGGGAAGGTCATGTCCAAGACCAGCAGCATTGGCGTCACCAGAGAACTTATTAAATATGAAGAATCTCAGGTCTGCTGAATCAGAATGTGCAGCTTCGACGAGCCCCACGATGATTTACTCAGGGAAGAGAAGTTCTTTTCTATGTGGACTGAACATGACGTTAAATGTGTATTGCAGAATTACCTGTCCCAGATTGTTGTCCATCCTTTATTTCTGTGGCTATATTCGAAACAGAATCTTCCTTGTCACTTGTAGCCTGAATGGAATTTGAAACAAAATAATCAATACATAAAGTATAGATTATAGACTATACAGTTACGAGTTCAAAATATAAATGAGTGTTTAATTACCTTCAAGGTTGGTTGTTTCTGAGAAGACACTAAAAAGCAAAAGGGACACATAATCAATCATATGAACATAAGATAATGTTATTTGTACATTCATGAGGTGTTAGCAACAAGCTGTATCCTCCTGCCTGTATTAGCGTAGGATTACATGTTTTCTACTTCAGAAATACACTGAAGAAGAAGAATACAGGCTTCACCAAATATACCCTTACAATTTTAAACATGGTACGATTAGTCGTAGGTCTAAGACTAAAATAAAACCGGGTCTATATCAATATGGATATGGCGAGTGATGAGGAGAAATGTGATGTAAAATCAGAGCAGCAATTCATACACCTGAGAATCAGTGTCAAAGCAGGTGGTACATGATCCTGCATGTCTTTCAGGCAACAAAGCAGAAGGATTTACACCATTATACTACAAACATTCATCATGCTGTTTAACTTGCCTGATAATTGAAAACTTACACAATTACAATGACACTTTAGTTGAATGGACATTTCCCATCTTTTAAGTGGAAGTGTCCTAAGTTCATCAGCTTGGATATATGTTTCCAGAATCTGACTAAATAATATTCACTATTTCTCACACCCGTGTGGTGTCATAATTCGCCTAAGATTCTTGCATTCTCTAGTTTAGCCTTCTGAACATTTCTTCACCCACTCATGGCCACAAAGTATAATATATAAACCTCAATAAAGAGCATAATCAATTATTAATTTTAACATACTTCTGCTAAATAAAACTCCTACAAGAATTGGATATTAGTGAGCTTTTCCATTCGGAAATCACGCCAACATTCATTGAAAATGACCATTTTAAGGGTCAGTTGATGAATTCAACAATATTTTTGTTTCTAAAATAGTCTTGTTAGGAGTATCATGCTATTCTCTAAAGAATATTCATTAAATCGCGATTTTTTTGCAAGAGTTACCTCTTTGATCAAAGAAGCCAATGTATTCATATTTAAGGGTATCTCATTTTTAAAACTAAAATCAACGAAACAGGTAAGTCTGATGACTAACAGTAAAAAGAGGAGTAATTAGTCATTGTGGTTTATCCCAATTCTAGCATTCTTTCCTGCAACCGGTAGTTCCAGGAGCTGCCAAAATCATATCTTCTTTCTGCAAATATGCTACATGCATCTGAAGTGAATTCACTCAGGTTTCCTCAGCAGAAATCACAAAATTACATAAATAACTACTTTTCCCTCCTTCCTGCCTCACAAACCCACTTCCTTGGGAAAACTAATTGCTATATCAGTGGTCTGGATACTTCTCGTTCTAGTGTCCACGAGTTACTACGATCAAGTTTCCGTCTGTCTTCAGCAGTACGGTGTGATGTCTATGAAATCTATACTTCATCTCTTTCTCCTTCCACCCTTGGTGAAAACATGCTGTAGAATTAAAGCAAAATTATGCTGTCGCCTGAGCCCCTTACATCTTTATCTGCTCTCCAATGTTTCTTCTTCCCAATTGCAATGTGTGGAAGTCTATAATCTTACTGCGAAGATCATGTTCAAGACCAGCAGCATGGGCGTCACCCGAGAACTTATTACATATGAAGAATGTCAGGCCTGCTGAATCAGAATGTGTAGCTTCGACTAGCCCCACGCTGATTTATTCAGGGAAGAGAAGTTATTTTCTATCTGGACTGAACATGACATTAAATGTGTTTTGCAAAATTACCTGTCCCAGATTCTTGTCCATCCTTTATTTCTGTAGCTATATTCAAAATAGAATCTTTCTCGTCACTTATAACCTGAATGGAATTTGAAACAAAATAATTAATAAATAAAGTAGGTTCATAGACTCTACAGTTAGTAGTTCAAAATATAAATGAAAATTTAATTACCTTCAAGGCTGGTGGTTTCTGAGAAGGCACTGAAAAGCAAAAGGGATACATAGTCACTCGTACGTAAATATGATAAAGTTATCCACACACGCATACAATGTTAGCACCAAGCTGTATCCACCTGCCTGTATTAGTGTAGGCTTTGATGTTTTCTACTTTGTTTCTGGGGACTGGAACGTGACAGAAATACACTGACAAAAGTGAACACAGGCTTCATGAAATATACCCTTACAATTGCAAACACGGTATGATTTGTCGTATGCCTAAAACTAAAATAAAACTGTGTCAATATCAATGTGGATATGCCCAGTGATGAGGACAAATGTGACCTAAATCAGTGAAGCAACTCATACACCTGAGAATCAATGTCAAAGCAGGTGGTACACGATCCCGCATGTCTTTCATGCAGGAAATCAGAAGGATTTATATAATTATACTACAAACATTCATCACGCTCATTAACTCGTCCGATAACTGGGAAGGCACACAATTACAATGACACTTCATGTCTCTTCAGTGGAAGTGTCCTAAATTGATCAGCTTGGATATATGTTTGTTGAAACCTAGTAGATAATATTCATTTTTTCTCACTCCCGTGTGGTGTAGTAATTTGACTAAGTTTCTTGTATCTGCTAGTTTAGCGTTCTGAAAGTTTCTTTAAACATTCACAGTAACAAAAAATAATATATTAGCCTCAATAAAAACATCATGAATTACCAATTTTGACATACGTCTACAAAGTTACACCATTACCAGCATTAGATATTAATAAAATTTACATTCAGAAAACACTCCAATATTCATTGAAAATGACCATTTGAGGAGTTAACTTGAATTCAATGTAATTTTTGTTACTAAAATAGTCTTGTTGGGAATATCACACTATTCTCTAAAGAAGTTTCACTAACTACCTATTTTATCCAAGAGTTAGCTCCTTGAACAACCAAGTCAATGTATTCATATTGAAGTTTATCTCATTATTATAAGTAAAGTCACCAAAACATGTATCTCTGATGCCTAATAGTAACAAAGAAGAGTAAGGAGTCACTGTGGTTTATCCCAATTCTAGCACTGTTTCCTGCTTCCAGTAGTTCCTGGAGCTGCCAAAATCAAATATTCTTTTATGCAAATATTCCAAATGTATCTGATGTGAGCTCACTCACGTTTCCTCAGCGGAAACCCCAAAATTTCATAAATAACCTCTTCTTTTCCCTACTTCCTGCCTCACAATTCCTCTTGCTTGAGTAAAATAATTGCTACATCATTGATCTTGTTAGTTCTCATTCTACAGTGTTTTTGGGGTATTAGGATTACTTTTGCCTATGTTCATAGCAATGCAATCTGATGTCTGTAATATCTATTACTTCATCTCTTTCTCCTTCCCCTCTTGATGGAAACATGCTGTAGAATTAAAGGAAAATGATGCTGTCTCCTGAGCCTGTTATGTGTTAAACTGCTCTCCAATGGTTCTTCTTTCCAATTTCAAAGTAGGGAAGTCTGTAATCTTAGTACTCAGATCATGGCCAAAGACCAGCAGCATGAGGCTCACCTGAGAACTTATTACAAAGGAAGAATCTTAGGCATGCTGAAACAGAATGTGAACCTTCGACGAACCCCACGCTGATTTATTTGGGGAAGGGAAGTTCTCTTCTATCTTGATTGAACATGACATTATATGCGTATTGCAAAATTACCTGTTCCAGATATTTGTGCATCCTTTATTTCTGTGGCTATATTCGAAACAGAATCTTCCTTGTCACTTGTAGCCTGAATGGAATTTGAAACAAATAATCAATACATAAAGTATAGTTCATAGACTAAACAGTTACTAGTTCAAAATATAAATGAGAGTTTAATTACCTTCAAGTCTGGTTGTTTCTGAGAAGACACTAAAAAGCAAAAGGGACACACAATCACTCATACGTACATAAGATAATGTTATTCATAGATTCATGAGGTGTTAGCATCAAGCTGTATCCTCCTGCCTAAAATAAAACCGTGTCTGTATCAATAAGGATATGTCGAGTGAATAGGAGAAATGTGATGTAAAATCAGAGCAGCAATTCATACACCTGAGAAACAATGTCAAAGCAGGTGGTACATGATCCTGCATCTTTCAGGCAAGAAAGCAGAAGGATTTACACCATTATACTACAAACATTCACGATGCTCTTTAATTTGCCTGATAACTGAGAACTTACACAATTACAATGACACTTTAGTTGAATGAACATTTCACGTCTTTTAAGTGGTAGTGTCCTAAATTGATCAGCTTGGATATATGTTTCCGGAATCGGAGTAAATAATATTCATTATTTCTCACACCCATGTGGTATAATAATTCCCCTAAGTTTCTTCTATTCTCTAGTTTAGCCTTCCAAACATTTCTTTATCCACTCATGGCAACAAAGTATAATATATAATCCACAATAAAGAGCATAATCAATTATTAATTTTGACATACTTCTGCTAAATAAAACTCCTACAAGAATTGGATATTAGTGAGCTTTTCCATTTGGAAATTATGCCAACATTCCTTAAAAATGACCATTTAAGGGTTAGTTGATGAATTCAACAGTATTTTTGTTTCTAAAATAGTCTTGTTAGGAGTATCATGCTATTTTATAAAGAATATTCATTAAATCGCGATTTTTTCCAAGAGTTACCTCTTTGATCAAAGAAGCCAATGTAGACATAATCAGGCATATCTCATTTTTATAACTAAAATCAATGAAACATGCAAGTCTGATGCGTAATAGTTACAAAGAGGAGTAATTAGTCATTGCGGTGTATCCCAATTCTAGCATTCTTCCTGCATCCTGTATTTCCAGGAGCTGCCAAAATCAAATTTTCTTTCTGCAAATATGTTACATGCATCTGAAGTGAGTTCACTCAGGTTTCCTCAGCAGATATCACAAAATTACATAAGTAACTTCTTCTTTTCCTCCTTCCTGCCTCACTATCCCTCTTCCTTGGGAAAACTAATTGCTATATCAGTGGTCTTGTTACTTGTCACTCTAGTGTCTGCGAGTTATTACCATCAAGTTTCCGTCTGTCTTTAGCAGTACGGTGTGATGGTTGTAAAATCTATACTTCATCTCTTTCTCCTTCCACCCTTGGTGAAAACATGCTGCAGAATTAAAGCAAAATTATGCTGTCCCCTGAACCCCTTACGTCTTGATCTGCTCTCCAATGTTTCTTCTTCCCAATTTCAATGTGTGGAAGTCTATAATCTTACTGGGAAGATCATGTCCAAGACCAGCAGCATCGGCGTCACCCGAGAACCTATTACATATGAAGAATTTCAGGCCTGCTGAATCAGAATGTGCAGCATCAACGAGTCCCACGCTGATTTATTCAGGGAAGAGAAGTTATTTTCTATCTGGACTGAACATGACAGTAAATGTGTTTTGCAAAATTACCTGTAGCAGATTCTTGTCCATCCTTTATTTCTGAGGCTGTATTCGAAACAGAATCTTTCTCGTCACTTGTAACCTGAATGGAATTTGAAATAAAATAATCAACAAATAAAGTAGGTTTCACAGACTCTGCAGTTACTAGTTCCAAATTTAAATGGAAATTTATTTACCTTCAAGACTGGTTGTTTCTGAGAAGACACTGAAAAGCAAAAGGGATACATAATCACTCATACGTAAATATGATAAAGTTATCCATACATGCATACAGTGTTAGCACCAAGCTGTATCCTCCTGCCTGTATTAGTGTAGGCTTTGATGTTTTCTACTTTGTGTCTGGGGACTGCAACATGACAGAAATACACTGAAAAAAGGAAATACAGGCTTCATGAAATATACCCTTACAATTGCAAACACGGTATGATCTGTCATATGTCTAAAACTAAAATTAAACCCTATCAATATCAATGTGGATATGCCAAGTGATGAGGAGAAATGTGACTTAAGTCAGTGGAACAACTCATACACCTATGAATCAATGTCAAAGGAGGTGGTACATGATTCCCAATGTCTTTCATGCAGGAAATCAGAAGGTTTTACGTAATTATACTACAAACATTCATCATGCTCTTTAACTTGTCCGGCAACTAGGAACGTACATAATTACAATGACACTTCAGTTGAATGTACACTTCACGTCCCTTCAGCTTGGATATATTTTTGCAGAAACCTAGTAGATAACATTCATTATTTCTGACACCAATGTGATGTAATAATTTGCCTAACTTTCTTGTATCCACTAGTTGAGCCTTTCGAAAGTTTCTTCATCTAGTCATGGTCACAAAGGTTCATATATATTAGCCTCAACAAAAATATCATCAACTGTCATTTTTGACATATATCTCTAAAGTAAAAATGCTACAAGCATTAGATATTAATAAGGTTTCTATGCAGAAATCATTCCAATATTCATTGAAAATGAAAATCTTAGGAGTTAATTTGATTTCATCATAATTTTTGTTTCTAAAATAGTCTTGTTAGGAGTATCATACTATTCTCTAAAGAAGATTAAATAGTTATTTTATCCAAGAGTAAACAAAGCCTTGAACAACAAAGGCAAAGCATTCGTAATCATGTTTATCTCATTTTTATAACTAAAATCAACAAAACATGTATCTCTGATGCCTAATCGTCACAAAGAAGAGTAATGAGTCATTCTGGTTTATCCCAATTCTAGCATTCTTTCATGCATCCTGTAGTTCCTGGTGCTGCCAAAATTAAATCTTCTTTATGCAAATATTCCAAATGCATCTAAAGTCAGTTCACTCAGGTTTCCTCAGCAGAAACCCCAAAATTATATAAATATCTTCTTCTTTTCCCTCCTTCTTCTCTCACAATCCCTTTTCCTTGAGGAAAATCACTGATACATCAGTTGTCTCATTAGTTCTCGTTCTACAGTGTCTAGGGGTTATTACGATCACTTTTCCATCTGTTTTTAGCAGTAAGATATGACGACTGTAAAATCTAAACTTCATCCTTTTCTCCTTCCACCTTGGGGAAAACATGCTGTAGAACTGAAGCAAAATTATGCTGTCCCCTGAGCCCTTATGTCCTGGGCTGCTCTCCAATGTTTCTTCTTCCCAATTTCAGTGTAAGGAAGTCTATAATCTTACTGCGAAGATCATGTCCAAGACCAGCACCAACAGCATCACCCGAGAACTTATTACAAATGAATCTCAGGCCTGCTGAATCAGAATGTGCAGCTTTGACGGGCACCCCGCTGATTTATTTGGAGAAAAGAAGTTCTTTTCTATCTTGATTGAACATGACATTAAATATGTTGTGCAATATTACCTGTCCCAGATTGTTGTTCATCCTTTATTTCTGTGACTATATTCGAAACAGAATCTTTCTTCTCACTTGTAGCCTGAATGGAATTTGAAACAAAATAATCCATAAATAAAGTAAGCTTCATAGAATATACACCTACTACTACAAAACATAAATGAAAATTTAATTACCTTCAAGGGTGGTTGTTTCTGAGAAGACACTGAAAAGAAAAATGGATACATAATCACTCATATCTGAATATGATAAATTTATCAATACATTCATGCACTGTTAGCAACAAACTGTATCCTCCTGCCAGTATTAGTGTAGGCTTTCGTATTTTCTACTTTGTGGACGGGGACTGGAACGTGACAGAAATACACTGAAAAAAGGGAATACAGGCTTCATGAAATGTACACTTAGAATTTCAAACATGGTATGATTTGTCATATGTCAAAAACTAAAATAAAACCGTGTCAGTATCAATGTGGATATGCCAAATGATGAGGACAAACGTGACCTAAAATCAGTGGAGCAACTCATACACCTGAGAATCAATGTCAAAGCAGGTGGTACATGATTCCGCACGTCTTTCATACAAGAAATCAGAAAGATTTACACCATTATAGTACAACATTCATCATGATCTTTAACTTGCCCAATAACTGGGAAGGTACGTAACTACAACGACACTTTGGTTGAATGTACACTTCACGTCTCTTCAGTGGAAGTGTCCTAAATTGATCAGCTTGGATATATGTTTGCTGAAACCTAGTAGATAATTTTCATTATTACTCACTCCCGTGTCGTGTAATAATTGGCCTAAGTTTCTTGTATCTGCTAGTTTAGCTAGTTCCAAAAGCTTCTTCATCCACTCATGGCAACAAAGGATAATATATAAGCCTTAATAGATATATCATCAATTATCATTTTTGACATGCTTCTACAAAGTAAAATGGCTACAAGCATTAGATATTAATAAGGTTGACATTCAGAAATCACTCCAATATTCATTGAAAATGATAATTTTAGGAGTTAATTTGAATTCATCATAATTTTTGTGTCTAAAATATTATTGTTGGGAGTATCATGCTATTCTCTAAAGAAGTTTCATTAAATAGCTATTTTATCCAAGAGTTAGCTCCCTGAACAGCGAAGCCAATGTATGCATATTCAAGTTGATCTCATTTCTACGACTAAAATCAACAAAACATGTATCTCCGATGCCTAATAGTACCAAAGAGGAGTAACAAGTCAATGTGGTTTATCCCAATTCTAGCATTATTTCCTGCTTCCAGTAGCTCCTGCAGCAGCCAAAATCAAATCTTCTTTTATGCAAATATTCCAAATGCATCTGAAGTAAGTTTACTCAGGTTTCCTCAGCAGAAACTCCAAAATTACATCAATAACTTCTTCCTTTCCCTCCTTCCTGCCTCACAAGCCCTCATCCTTGAGGAAAATAATTGCTACATCAGTGGTCTGGTTAGTTCTCATTCTACAGTGTTTATGGGGTATTTGGATCACTTTTCCCTCTGTTTATAGCAATACGATCTGATGCCTATCATATCTATTACTTCCTCTCTTTCTCCTTCCCCTCTTGATGGAAAACATGCTGTAGAATTAAAGCAAAATGATGCTGTCCCCTGAGCCTGGTATGAGTTCAACTGCTCTCCAATGGTTCTTCTTCACAATTTCCAAGTAGAGACATCTATAATCTTAGCACTCAGATCATGGCCGAAGACCAGCAGCATCGGGGTCATCTGATAACTTATTATAAATGAAGAATCTCAGGCATGCTGAATCCGAACGTGAAGCTTCGACGAACCCCCGGATGATTTATTGGGGGAAGGGAAATTCTCCTCTGTCTTTATAGAACATCACATTGAATGTGTTTTGCAAAATTACCTGTCCCAGATATTTGTGCATCCTTTATTTCTGTGGCTATATTTGAAACAGAATCTTCCTTGTCACTTGTAGCCTGAATGGAATTTGAAACAAAATAATCAATAAAGTATATCTCATAGACTATCCAGTTACTAGTTCAAAATATAAATGAGAGTTTAATTACCTTCAAGGCTGGTTGTTTCTGACAAGACACTGAAAAGCAAAACGGACACAAAATCACTCACAAGTACACATGATAATGTTATTCATATATTCATGAAGTGTTAGCATCAAGCTGTATCCTCCTGCCTGTATTAGTCTAGGACTTATGTTTCCTACTTTGTGTCTGGGGGCTGGAACACGATAGAAATACACTGAAGAAAAGGAATACAGGCTTCACAAATATACCCTTCCAATTTCAAACATGGTTTGATTTCTCATATGTCTAAAACTAAAAATCGTGTCAACATCAGTGCCGATATGTCGAGTGATGAGGACAAATGTGATCTAAGAGCACAGCAGCAATTCATACACCTGAGAATCAATGTCAAAGCAGGTGGTACATGATCCCGCATGTCTTTCACGCAAGAAATCAGAACGATTTACACCATTATACTACAAACATTCATCATGCTCTTTAACTTGCCCGATAACTGAGAACTTACACAATTACAATGACACTTCAGTTTAATGTACACTTCACGTCCCTTAAGTGGAAGTGTCCTAAATTGATCAGCTGGGACATGTGCTTCCGGAATCCGAGTAAATAATATTCATTACTTCTCACACCCATGTGGTGTAATAATTTGCCAGTTTCTTGTATTTTCCAGTTTAGCCTTCCAAACATTTCTTCATCCACTCATGGCAACAAAGTATAAAATATACACCTCAATAAAAAGCATCATAAATTGTTACTTTTGACATACTTCTACCAAATAAAACTGCTACAAGCATTGGATATTAATAAGCTGTTCCACTCAGAAATAACTTCAATATTCATTGAAAATGACCATTTTAAGAGTCGGTTGAAGAATTCAACATACTTTTGTTTCTAAAATAGTCTTGTTAGGAGTATCATGCTATTCTCTGAAGAATATTCATCAAATAGCTATTTTATCCAAGACTTCGCTCTTTGATGAAAGAAGCAAATGTATTCACATTCAAGTTTATCCAATTTTTATAACAAAAATCAACAAAACACGTAAGTCTGATACCTAATAGTAACAAAGAGGAGTAAGTAGTCATTGCGGTTTATCCCAATTCTAGCATTCTTTCCTGCATCCTGTAGTTCCTGGTGCTGCCAAAATTAAATCTTCTTCATGCAAATATTCCAAATGCATCTGAAGTCAGTTCACTCAGGTTTCCTCAGCAGATACCCCAAAATTATATAAATATCTTCTTCTTTTCCCTCCTTCTTCTCTCACAATCCCTTTTCCTTGAGGAAAATCACTGATACATCATTCGTCTCATTAGTTCTTGTTCTACAGTGTCTAGGGGTTATTACGATCACTTTTCCATCTGTTTTTAGCAGTAAGATATGACGACTGTAAAATCTAAACTTCATCCTTTTCTCCTTCCACCTTGGGGAAAACATGCTGTAGAACTGAAGCAAAATTATGCTGTCCCCTGAGCCCTTATGTCCTGGGCTGCTCTCCAATGTTTCTTCTTCCCAATTTCAGTGTAAGGAAGTCTATAATCTTACTGCGAAGATCATGTCCAAGACCAGCACCAACAGCATCACCCGAGAACTTATTACAAATGAATCTCAGGCCTGCTGAATCAGAATGTGCAGCTTTGACGAGCACCCCGCTGATTTATTTGGGGAAAAGAAGTTCTTTTCTATCTTGATTGAACATGACATTAAATATGTTGTGCAATATTACCTGTCCCAGATTGTTGTTCATCCTTTATTTCTGTGACTATATTCGAAACAGAATCTTTCTTGTCACTTGTAGCCTGAATGGAATGTGAAACAAAATAATCCATAAATAAAGTAAGCTTCATAGAATATACACCTACTACTACAAAATATAAATGAAAATTTAATTACCTTCAAGGGTGGTTGTTTCTGAGAAGACACTGAAAAGAAAAATGGATACATAATCACTCATATCTGAATATGATAAATTTATCAATACATTCATGCACTGTTAGCAACAAACTGTATCCTCCTGCCAGTATTAGTGTAGGCTTTCGTATTTTCTACTTTGTGGACGGGGACTGGAACGTGACAGAAATACACTGAAAAAAGGGAATACAGGCTTCATGAAATGTACACTTAGAATTTCAAACATGGTATGATTTGTCATATGTCAAAAACTAAAATAAAACCGTGTCAGTATCAATGTGGATATGCCAAATGATGAGGACAAACGTGACCTAAAATCAGTGGAGCAACTCATACACCTGAGAATCAATGTCAAAGCAGGTGGTACATGATTCCGCACGTCTTTCATACAAGAAATCAGAAAGATTTACACCATTATAGTACAACATTCATCATGATCTTTAACTTGCCCAATAACTGGGAAGGTACGTAACTACAACGACACTTTGGTTGAATGTACACTTCACGTCTCTTCAGTGGAAGTGTCCTAAATTGATCAGCTTGGATATATGTTTGCTGAAACCTAGTAGATAATTTTCATTATTACTCACTCCCGTGTCGTGTAATAATTGGCCTAAGTTTCTTGTATCTGCTAGTTTAGCTAGTTCCAAAAGCTTCTTCATCCACTCATGGCAACAAAGGATAATATATTAGCCTTAATAGAAATATCATCAATTATCATTTTTGACATGCTTCTACAAAGTAAAATGGCTACAAGCATTAGATATTAATAAGGTTTACATTCAGAAATCACTCCAATATTCATTGAAAATGATAATTTTAGGAGTTAATTTGAATTCATCATAATTTTTGTGTCTAAAATATTATTGTTGGGAGTATCATGCTATTCTCTAAAGAAGTTTCATTAAATAGCTATTTTATCCAAGAGTTAGCTCCCTGAACAGCGAAGCCAATGTATGCATATCCAAGTTGATCTCATTTCTACGACTAAAATCAACAAAACATGTATCTCCGATGCCTAATAGTACCAAAGAGGAGTAACAAGTCAATGTGGTTTATCCCAATTCTAGCATTATTTCCTGCTTCCAGTAGCTCCTGCAGCAGCCAAAATCAAATCTTCTTTTATGCAAATATTCCAAATGCATCTGACGTAAGATTACTCAGGTTTCCTCAGCAGAAACTCCAAAATTACATCAATAACTTCTTCCTTTCCCTCCTTCCTGCCTCACAAGCCCTCATCCTTGAGGAAAATAATTGCTACATCAGTGGTCTGGTTAGTTCTCATTCTACAGTGTTTATGGGGTATTTGGATCACTTTTCCCTCTGTTTATAGCAATACGATCTGATGCCTATCATATCTATTACTTCATCTCTTTCTCCTTCCCCTCTTGATGGAAAACATGCTGTAGAATTAAAGCAAAATGATGCTGTCCCCTGAGCCTGGTATGAGTTCAACTGCTCTCCAATGGTTCTTCTTCACAATTTCCAAGTAGAGACATCTATAATCTTAGCACTCAGATCATGGCCGAAGAACAGCAGCATTGGGGTCATCTGATAACTTATTATAAATGAAGAATCTCAGGCATGCTGAATCCGAACGTGAAGCTTCGACGAACCACCGGATGATTTATTTGGGGAAGGGAAATTCTCCTCTGTCTTTATAGAACATCACATTGAATGTGTTTTGCAAAATTACCTGTCCCAGATATTTGTGCATCCTTTATTTCTGTGGCTATATTTGAAACAGAATCTTCCTTGTCACTTGTAGCCTGAATGGAATTTGAAACAAAATAATCAATAAAGTATATCTCATAGACTATCCAGTTACTAGTTCAAAATGTAAATGAGAGTTTAATTACCTTCAAGGCTGGTTGTTTCTGACAAGACACTGAAAAGCAAAACGGACACAAAATCACTCACGAGTACACATGATAATGTTATTCATATATTCATGAAGTGTTAGCATCAAGCTGTATCCTCCTGCCTGTATTAGTCTAGGACTTATGTTTCCTACTTTGTGTCTGGGGGCTGGAACACAATAGAAATACACTGAAGAAAAGGAATACAGGCTTCACAAATATACCCTTCCAATTTCAAACACGGTTTGATTTCTCATATGTCTAAAACTAAAAATCGTGTCAACATCAGTGCCGATATGTCGAGTGATGAGGACAAATGTGATTGACCTAAGATCACAGCAGCAATTCATACACCTGAGAATCAATGTCAAAGCAGGTGGTACATGATCCCGCATGTCTTTCATGCAAGAAATCAGAACGATTTACACCATTATACTACAAACATTCATCATGCTCTTTAACTTGCCCGATAACTGAGAACTTACACAATTACAATGACACTTCAGTTTAATGTACACTTCACGTCCCTTAAGTGGAAGTGTCCTAAATTGATCAGCTTGGACATGTGCTTCCGGAATCCGAGTAAAAAATATTCATTACTTCTCACACCCATGTGGTGTAATAATTTGCCAGTTTCCTGTATTTTCCAGTTTAGCCTTCCAAACATTTCTTCATCCACTCATGGCAACAAAGTATAAAATATACACCTCAATAAAAAGCATCATAAATTGTTACTTTTGACATACTTCTACCAAATAAAACTGCTACAAGCATTGGATATTAATAAGCTGTTCCACTCAGAAATAACTTCAATATTCATTGAAAATGACCATTTTAAGAGTCGGTTGAAGAATTCAACATACTTTTTTTCTAAAATAGTCTTGTTAGGAGTATCATGCTATTCTCTGAAGAATATTCATCAAATAGCTATTTTATCCAAGACTTCGCTCTTTGATGAAAGAAGCAAATGTATTCACATTCAACTTTATCCAATTTTTATAACAAAAATCAACAAAACACGTAAGTCTGATACCTAATAGTAACAAAGAGGAGTAACTAGTCATTGCGGTTTATCCCAATTCTAGCATTCTTTCCTGCATCCTGTAGTTCCTGCTGCTGCCAAAATTAAATCTTCCTTATGCAAATATTCCAAATGCATCTGAAGTCAGTTCACTCCGGTTTCCTCAGCAGATACCCCAAAATTATATAAATATCTTCTTCTTTTCCCTCCTTCTTCTCTCACAATCCCTTTTCCTTGAGGAAAATCACTGATACATCAGTTGTCTCATTAGTTCTCGTTCTACAGTGTCTAGGGGTTATTACGATCACTTTTCCATCTGTTTTTAGCAGTAAGATATGACGACTGTAAAATCTAAACTTCATCCTTTTCTCCTTCCACCTTGGGGAAAACATGCTGTAGAACTGAAGCAAAATTATGCTGTCCCCTGAGCCCTTATGTCCTGGGCTGCTCTCCAATGTTTCTTCTTCCCAATTTCAGTGTAAGGAAGTCTATAATCTTACTGCGAAGATCATGTCCAAGACCAGCACCAACAGCATCACCCGAGAACTTATTACAAATGAATCTCAGGCCTGCTGAATCAGAATGTGCAGCTTTGACGAGCACCCCGCTGATTTATTTGGGGAAAAGAAGTTCTTTTCTATCTTGATTGAACATGACATTAAATATGTTGTGCAATATTACCTGTCCCAGATTGTTGTTCATCCTTTATTTCTGTGACTATATTCGAAACAGAATCTTTCTTGTCACTTGTAGCCTGAATGGAATGTGAAACAAAATAATCCATAAATAAAGTAAGCTTCATAGAATATACACCTACTACTACAAAATATAAATGAAAATTTAATTACCTTCAAGGGTGGTTGTTTCTGAGAAGACACTGAAAAGAAAAATGGATACATAATCACTCATATCTGAATATGATAAATTTATCAATACATTCATGCACTGTTAGCAACAAACTGTATCCTCCTGCCAGTATTAGTGTAGGCTTTCGTATTTTCTACTTTGTGGACGGGGACTGGAACGTGACAGAAATACACTGAAAAAAGGGAATACAGGCTTCATGAAATGTACACTTAGAATTTCAAACATGGTATGATTTGTCAAATGTCAAAAACTAAAATAAAACCGTGTCAGTATCAATGTGGATATGCCAAATGATGAGGACAAACGTGACCTAAAATCAGTGGAGCAACTCATACACCTGAGAATCAATGTCAAAGCAGGTGGTACATGATTCCGCACGTCTTTCATACAAGAAATCAGAAAGATTTACACCATTATAGTACAACATTCATCATGATCTTTAACTTGCCCAATAACTGGGAAGGTACGTAACTACAACGACACTTTGGTTGAATGTACACTTCACGTCTCTTCAGTGGAAGTGTCCTAAATTGATCAGCTTGGATATATGTTTGCTGAAACCTAGTAGATAATTTTCATTATTACTCACTCCCGTGTCGTGTAATAATTGGCCTAAGTTTCTTGTATCTGCTAGTTTAGCTAGTTCCAAAAGCTTCTTCATCCACTCATGGCAACAAAGGATAATATATTAGCCTTAATAGAAATATCATCAATTATCATTTTTGACATGCTTCCACAAAGTAAAATGGCTATAAGCATTAGATATTAATAAGGTTGACATTCAGAAATCACTCCAATATTCATTGAAAATGATAATTTTAGCAGTTAATTTGAATTCATCATAATTTTTGTGTCTAAAATATTACTGTTGGGAGTATCACGCTATTCTCTAAAGAAGTTTCATTAAATAGCTATTTTATCCAAGAGTTAGCTCCCTGAACAGCGAAGCCAATGTATGCATATTCAAGTTGATCTCATTTCTACGAATAAAATCTACAAAACATGTATCTCCGATGCCTAATAGTACCAAAGAGGAGTAACAAGTCAATGTGGTTTATCCCAATTCTAGCATTATTTCCTGCTTCCAGTAGCTCCTGCAGCAGCCAAAATCAAATCTTCTTTTATGCAAATATTCCAAATGCATCTGAAGTAAGTTCACTCAGGTTTCCTCAGCAGAAACTCCAAAATTACATCAATAACTTCTTCTTCTCCCTCCTTCCTGCCTCACAACCCCTCATCCTTGAGGAAAATAATTGCTATATCAGTGGTCTGGTTAGTTCTCATTCTACAGTGTTTATGGGGTATTTGGATCACTTTTCCCTCTGTTTATAGCAATACGATCTGATGCCTATAATATCTATTACTTCCTCTCTTTCTCCTTCCCCTCTTGATGGAAAACATGCTGTAGAATTAAAGCAAAATGATGCTGTCCCCTGAGCCTGGTATGAGTTCAACTGCTCTCCAATGGTTCTTCTTCACAATTTCCAAGTAGAGACATCTATAATCTTAGCACTCAGATCATGGCCGAAGAACAGCAGCATTGGGGTCATCTGATAACTTATTATAAATGAAGAATCTCAGGCATGCTGAATCCGAACGTGAAGCTTCGACGAACCACCGGATGATTTATTTGGGGAAGGGAAATTCTCCTCTGTCTTTATAGAACATCACATTGAATGTGTTTTGCAAAATTACCTGTCCCAGATATTTGTGCATCCTTTATTTCTGTGGCTATATTTGAAACAGAATCTTCCTTGTCACTTGTAGCCTGAATGGAATTTGAAACAAAATAATCAATAAAGTATATCTCATAGACTATCCAGTTACTAGTTCAAAATGTAAATGAGAGTTTAATTACCTTCAAGGCTGGTTGTTTCTGACAAGACACTGAAAAGCAAAACGGACACAAAATCACTCACGAGTACACATGATAATGTTATTCATATATTCATGAAGTGTTAGCATCAAGCTGTATCCTCCTGCCTGTATTAGTCTAGGACTTATGTTTCCTACTTTGTGTCTGGGGGCTGGAACACGATAGAAATACACTGAAGAAAAGGAATACAGGCTTCACAAATATACCCTTCCAATATCAAACACGGTTTGATTTCTCATATATCTAAAACTAAAAATCGTGTCAACATCAGTGCCGATATGTCGAGTGATGAGGACAAATGTGATTGACCTAAGATCACAGCAGCAATTCATACACCTGAGAATCAATGTCAAAGCAGGTGGTACATGATCCCGCATGTCTTTCACGCAAGAAATCAGAACGATTTACACCATTATACTACAAACATTCATCATGCTCTTTAACTTGCCCGATAACTGAGAACTTACACAATTACAATGACACTTCAGTTTAATGTACACTTCACGTCCCTTAAGTGGAAGTGTCCTAAATTGATCAGCTGGGACATGTGCTTCCGGAATCCGAGTAAATAATAATTCATTACTTCTCACACCCATGTGGTGTAATAATTTGCCAGTTTCTTGTATTTTCCAGTTTAGCCTTCCAAACATTTCTTCATCCACTCATGGCAACAAAGTATAAAATATACACCTCAATAAAAAGCATCATAAATTGTTACTTTTGACATACTTCTACCAAATAAAACTGCTACAAGCATTGGATATTAATAAGCTGTTCCACTCAGAAATAACTTCAATATTCATTGAAAATGACCATTTTAAGAGTCGGTTGAAGAATTCAACATACTTTTGTTTCTAAAATAGTCTTGTTAGGAGTATCATGCTATTCTCTGAAGAATATTCATCAAATAGCTATTTTATCCAAGACTTCGCTCTTTGATGAAAGAAGCAAATGTATTCACATTCAACTTTATCCAATTTTTATAACAAAAATCAACAAAACACGTAAGTCTGATACCTAATAGTAACAAAGAGGAGTAACTAGTCATTGCGGTTTATCCCAATTCTAGCATTCTTTCCTGCATCCTGTAGTTCCTGCTGCTGCCAAAATTAAATCTTCCTTATGCAAATATTCCAAATGCATCTGAAGTCAGTTCACTCCGGTTTCCTCAGCAGATACCCCAAAATTATATAAATATCTTCTTCTTTTCCCTCCTTCTTCTCTCACAATCCCTTTTCCTTGAGGAAAATCACTGATACATCAGTTGTCTCATTAGTTCTCGTTCTACAGTGTCTAGGGGTTATTACGATCACTTTTCCATCTGTTTTTAGCAGTAAGATATGACGACTGTAAAATCTAAACTTCATCCTTTTCTCCTTCCACCTTGGGGAAAACATGCTGTAGAACTGAAGCAAAATTATGCTGTCCCCTGAGCCCTTATGTCCTGGGCTGCTCTCCAATGTTTCTTCTTCCCAATTTCAGTGTAAGGAAGTCTATAATCTTACTGCGAAGATCATGTCCAAGACCAGCACCAACAGCATCACCCGAGAACTTATTACAAATGAATCTCAGGCCTGCTGAATCAGAATGTGCAGCTTTGACGAGCACCCCGCTGATTTATTTGGGGAAAAGAAGTTCTTTTCTATCTTGATTGAACATGACATTAAATATGTTGTGCAATATTACCTGTCCCAGATTGTTGTTCATCCTTTATTTCTGTGACTATATTCGAAACAGAATCTTTCTTGTCACTTGTAGCCTGAATGGAATGTGAAACAAAATAATCCATAAATAAAGTAAGCTTCATAGAATATACACCTACTACTACAAAATATAAATGAAAATTTAATTACCTTCAAGGGTGGTTGTTTCTGAGAAGACACTGAAAAGAAAAATGGATACATAATCACTCATATCTGAATATGATAAATTTATCAATACATTCATGCACTGTTAGCAACAAACTGTATCCTCCTGCCAGTATTAGTGTAGGCTTTCGTATTTTCTACTTTGTGGACGGGGACTGGAACGTGACAGAAATACACTGAAAAAAGGGAATACAGGCTTCATGAAATGTACACTTAGAATTTCAAACATGGTATGATTTGTCAAATGTCAAAAACTAAAATAAAACCGTGTCAGTATCAATGTGGATATGCCAAATGATGAGGACAAACGTGACCTAAAATCAGTGGAGCAACTCATACACCTGAGAATCAATGTCAAAGCAGGTGGTACATGATTCCGCACGTCTTTCATACAAGAAATCAGAAAGATTTACACCATTATAGTACAACATTCATCATGATCTTTAACTTGCCCAATAACTGGGAAGGTACGTAACTACAACGACACTTTGGTTGAATGTACACTTCACGTCTCTTCAGTGGAAGTGTCCTAAATTGATCAGCTTGGATATATGTTTGCTGAAACCTAGTAGATAATTTTCATTATTACTCACTCCCGTGTCGTGTAATAATTGGCCTAAGTTTCTTGTATCTGCTAGTTTAGCTAGTTCCAAAAGCTTCTTCATCCACTCATGGCAACAAAGGATAATATATTAGCCTTAATAGAAATATCATCAATTATCATTTTTGACATGCTTCCACAAAGTAAAATGGCTATAAGCATTAGATATTAATAAGGTTGACATTCAGAAATCACTCCAATATTCATTGAAAATGATAATTTTAGCAGTTAATTTGAATTCATCATAATTTTTGTGTCTAAAATATTACTGTTGGGAGTATCACGCTATTCTCTAAAGAAGTTTCATTAAATAGCTATTTTATCCAAGAGTTAGCTCCCTGAACAGCGAAGCCAATGTATGCATATTCAAGTTGATCTCATTTCTACGAATAAAATCTACAAAACATGTATCTCCGATGCCTAATAGTACCAAAGAGGAGTAACAAGTCAATGTGGTTTATCCCAATTCTAGCATTATTTCCTGCTTCCAGTAGCTCCTGCAGCAGCCAAAATCAAATCTTCTTTTATGCAAATATTCCAAATGCATCTGAAGTAAGTTCACTCAGGTTTCCTCAGCAGAAACTCCAAAATTACATCAATAACTTCTTCTTCTCCCTCCTTCCTGCCTCACAACCCCTCATCCTTGAGGAAAATAATTGCTATATCAGTGGTCTGGTTAGTTCTCATTCTACAGTGTTTATGGGGTATTTGGATCACTTTTCCCTCTGTTTATAGCAATACGATCTGATGCCTATAATATCTATTACTTCCTTTCTTTCTCCTTCCCCTCTTGATGGAAAACATCTGTAGAATTAAAGCAAAATGATGCTGTCCCTGAGCCTGGTATGAGTTCAACTGCTCTCCAATGGTTCTTCTTCACAATTTCCAAGTAGAGACATCTATAATCTTAGCACTCAGATCATGGCGAAGAACAGCAGCTTGGGGTCATCTGATAACTTATTATAAATGAGAATCTCAGGCATGCTGAATCCGAACGTGAAGCTTCGACGAACCACCGGATGATTTATTTGGGGAAGGGAAATTCTCCTTGTCTTTATAGAACATCACATTGAATGTGTTTTGCAAATTACTGTCCCAGATATTTGTGCATCCTTTATTTCTGTGGCTATATTGAAACAGAATCTTCCTTGTCACTTGTAGCCTGAATGGAATTTGAAAACAAAATAATCAATAAAGTATATCTCATAGACTATCCAGTTACTAGTTCAAATGTAAATGAGAGTTTAATTACCTTCAAGGCTGGTTGTTTCTGACAAGACACTGAAAAGCAAAACGGACACAAAATCACTCACGAGTACACATGATAATGTTATTCATATATTCATGAAGTGTTAGCATCAAGCTGTATCCTCCTGCCTGTATTAGTCTAGGACTTATGTTTCCTACTTTGTGTCTGGGGGCTGGAACACGATAGAAATACACTGAAGAAAAGGAATACAGGCTTCACAATATACCCTTCCAATATCAAACACGGTTTGATTTCTCATATATCTAAAAACTAAAAATCGTGTCAACATCAGTGCCGATATGTCGAGTGATGAGGACAAATGTGATTGACCTAAGATCACAGCAGCATTCATACACCTGAGAATCAATGTAAAGCAGGTGGTACATGATCCCGCATGTCTTTCACGCAAGAATCAGAACGATTTACACCATTATACTACAAACATTCATCATGCTCTTTAACTTGCCCGATAACTGAGAACTTACACAATTACAATGACACTTCAGTTTAATGTACACTTCACGTCCCTTAAGTGGAAGTGTCCTAATTGATCAGCTGGGACATGTGCTTCCGGAATCCGAGTAAATAATAATTCATTACTTCTCACACCCATGTGGTGTAATAATTTGCCAGTTTCTTGTATTTTCCAGTTTAGCCTTCCAAAATTTCTTCATCCACTCATGGCACAAAGTATAAAATATACCCTCAATAAAAGCATCATAAATTGTTACTTTTGACATACTTCTACCAAATAAAACTGCTACAAGCATTGGATATTAATAAGCTGTTCCACTCAGAAATAACTTCAATATTCATTGAAAATGACCATTTTAAGAGTCGGTTGAAGAATTCAACATACTTTTGTTTCTAAAATAGTCTTGTTAGGAGTATCATGCTATTCTCTGAAGAATATTCATCAAATAGCTATTTTATCCAAGACTTCGCTCTTTGATGAAAGAAGCAAATGTATTCACATTCAACTTTATCCAATTTTTATAACAAAAATCAACAAAACACGTAAGTCTGATACCTAATAGTAACAAAGAGGAGTAACTAGTCATTGCGGTTTATCCCAATTCTAGCATTCTTTCCTGCATCCTGTAGTTCCTGCTGCTGCCAAAATTAAATCTTCCTTATGCAAATATTCCAAATGCATCTGAAGTCAGTTCACTCCGGTTTCCTCAGCAGATACCCCAAAATTATATAAATATCTTCTTCTTTTCCCTCCTTCTTCTCTCACAATCCCTTTTCCTTGAGGAAAATCACTGATACATCAGTTGTCTCATTAGTTCTCGTTCTACAGTGTCTAGGGGTTATTACGATCACTTTTCCATCTGTTTTTAGCAGTAAGATATGACGACTGTAAAATCTAAACTTCATCCTTTTCTCCTTCCACCTTGGGGAAAACATGCTGTAGAACTGAAGCAAAATTATGCTGTCCCCTGAGCCCTTATGTCCTGGGCTGCTCTCCAATGTTTCTTCTTCCCAATTTCAGTGTAAGGAAGTCTATAATCTTACTGCGAAGATCATGTCCAAGACCAGCACCAACAGCATCACCCGAGAACTTATTACAAATGAATCTCAGGCCTGCTGAATCAGAATGTGCAGCTTTGACGAGCACCCCCGCTGATTTATTTGGGGAAAAGAAGTTCTTTTCTATCTTGATTGAACATGAATTAAATATGTTGTGCAATATTACCTGTCCCAGATTGTTGTTCATCCTTTATTTCTGTGACTATATTCGAAACAGAATCTTTCTTGTCACTTGTAGCCTGAATGGAATGTGAAACAAAATAATCCATAAATAAAGTAAGCTTCATAGAATATACACCTACTACTACAAAATATAATGAAATTTAATTACCTTCAAGGGTGGTTGTTTCTGAGAAGACCTGAAAAGAAAAATGGATACATAATCACTCATATCTGAATATGATAAATTTATCAATACATTCATGCACTGTTAGCAACAAACTGTATCCTCCTGCCAGTATTAGTGTAGCTTTCGTATTTTCTACTTTGTGGACGGGGACTGGAACGTGACAGAAATACACTGAAAAAAGGGAATACAGGCTTCATGAAATGTACACTTAGAATTTCAACATGGTATGATTTGTCATATGTCAAAAACTAAAATAAACCGTGTCAGTATCAATGTGGATATGCCAAATGATGAGGACAAACGTGACCTAAAATCAGTGGAGCAACTCATACACCTGAGAATCAATGTCAAAGCAGGTGGTACATGATTCCGCACGTCTTTCATACAAGAAATCAGAAAGATTTACACCATTATAGTACAACATTCATCATGATCTTTAACTTGCCCAATAACTGGGAAGGTACGTAACTACAACGACACTTTGGTTGAATGTACACTTCACGTCTCTTCAGTGGAAGTGTCCTAAATTGATCAGCTTGGATATATGTTTGCTGAAACCTAGTAGATAATTTTCATTATTACTCACTCCCGTGTCGTGTAATAATTGGCCTAAGTTTCTTGTATCTGCTAGTTTAGCTAGTTGCAAAAGCTTCTTCATCCACTCATGGCAACAAAGGATAATATATTAGCCTTAATAGAAATATCATCAATTATCATTTTTGACATGCTTCTACAAAGTAAAATGGCTACAAGCATTAGATATTAATAAGGTTGACATTCAGAAATCACTCCAATATTCATTGAAAATGATAATTTTAGGAGTTAATTTGAATTCATCATAATTTTTGTGTCTAAAATATTATTGTTGGGAGTATCACGCTATTCTCTAAAGAAGTTTCATTAAATAGCTATTTTATCCAAGAGTTAGCTCCCTGAACAGCGAAGCCAATGTATGCATATTCAAGTTGATCTCATTTCTACGACTAAAATCAACAAAACATGTATCTCCGATGCCTAATAGTACCAAAGAGGAGTAACAAGTCAATGTGGTTTATCCCAATTCTAGCATTATTTCCTGCTTCCAGTAGCTCCTGCAGCAGCCAAAATCAAATCTTCTTTTATACAAATATTCCAAATGCATCTGAAGTAATTTACTCAGGTTTCCTCAGCAGAAACTCCAAAATTACATCAATAACTTCTTCTTTTCCCTCCTTCCTGCCTCACAAGCCCTCATCCTTGAGGAAAATAATTGCTACATCAGTGGTCTGGTTAGTTCTCATTCTACAGTGTTTATGGGGTATTTGGATCACTTTTCCCTCTGTTTATAGCAATACGATCTGATGCCTATAATATCTATTACTTCCTCTCTTTCTCCTTCCCCTCTTGATGGAAAACATGCTGTAGAATTAAAGCAAAATGATGCTGTCCCCTGAGCCTGGTATGAGTTCAACTGCTCTCCAATGGTTCTTCTTCACAATTTTCAAGTAGAGACATCTATAATCTTAGCACTCAGATCATGGCCGAAGACCAGCAGCATCGGGGTCATCTGATAACTTATTATAAATGAAGAATCTCAGGCATGCTGAATCCGAACGTGAAGCTTCGACGAACCCCCGGATGATTTATTGGGGGAAGGGAAATTCTCCTCTGTCTTTATAGAACATCACATTGAATGTGTTTTGCAAAATTACCTGTCCCAGATATTTGTGCATCCTTTATTTCTGTGGCTATATTTGAAACAGAATCTTCCTTGTCACTTGTAGCCTGAATGGAATTTGAAACAAAATAATCAATAAAGTATATCTCATAGACTATCCAGTTACTAGTTCAAAATGTAAATGAGAGTTTAATTACCTTCAAGGCTGGTTGTTTCTGACAAGACACTGAAAAGCAAAAGAGACACATAATCACTCACAAGTACATATAATAATGTTATTCATATATTCATGAAGTGTTAGCATCAAGCTGTATCCTCCTGCCTGTATTAGTCTAGGATTTGATGTCTTATACTTTGTATCCCAGGGGGACTGGAACGTGACAGAAATACACTGAAGAAAAGGAATACAGGCTTCACAAAATATACCCTTTCATTTTCAAACATGGTTTGATTTCTCATATGTCTAAAACTAAAATACAACCGTTTCAACATCAGTGCAGATATGTCCAGTGATGAGGATAAATATGATCTAATATCAGAGCAGCAATTCATACACGTGAGAATCAATGTCGAAACAGGAGGTACATGATCCCCCGTGTCTTTCATGCAGGAAATCAGAACGATTTACACCATTATACTACAAACATTCATCATGCTCTTTAACTTGCCCTATAACTGAGAACTTACACAATTACAATGACACTTCAGTTGAATATTCACTTCACGTCCCTTAAGTGGAAGTATCCTAAATTGATCAGCTTGGATATATGTCTCCTGAATCCGAGTAAATAATATTCATTATTTCTCACACCCATGTGGTGTAATAATTTGCCTAAGTTTCTTGTATTCTCTAGCTTAGCCTTCCGAACATTTCTTCATCCACTCATGGCAGCAAAGTATAACACATACACCTCAATAAAAAGTATCACCAATTATTAATTTTGACATGCTTCTAGTAAATAAAACTCCTACAGCCATTGGATATTAATAAGTGTTTACATTCAGAAATCACTCCAACATTCTTTGAAAATGATGCTTTTAAGAGTCAGTTGATGAATTCAACATTATTTTTGTTTCTAAAATAGTCTTATTAGGAGTATCATACTATTCTCTAAAGAATATTCATTAAATAATTATTTTATCCAAGACTTTGCTCTTTGATCAAAGAAGCCAATGTATTCATATTCAAGTATCTCTAATTTTTATAACTAAAATCAACAGAACATGTAAGTCTGATGCCTAATATTAACAAAGAGGAGTAATTAGTCAATGTGGTTTATCCCATTTCTAGCATTCTTTCCTGCATCCGGTAGTTACTGGTGCTGCCAAAATCAAATCTTCTTTATGCAAATATTCCAAAAACATCTGAAGTGAGTTCACTCAGGTTTCCTCTGCAGAAACCCGAAAGTTACATAAATAATTCTTTCTTTTGCCAGCTTCCTGCCTCACAATCTCTCCTCCTTAGGAAAAATAATTGCTACATCAGTTGTCTCGTTAGTTCTCCTTCTATAGTGTCTGTGAGTTATTACGTTCACTTTTCTGTCTGTTTTTAGCAGTACGATGTGACTTATGTAAAATCTATACTTCATCTCTTTCTCCTTCCACCCTTGGTGAAAATATGCTGCAGAATTAAAGCAAAATTATGCTGTTCCCTGAGCCCCTTATGTCTTGACCTGCTCTCCAATGTTTCTTCTTCCCAGTTTCAATGTGAGAAAGTTTATAATCTTACTGCGAAGATCATGTCCAAGACCAGCAGCATCAGCATCACCCGAGAACTTACTACGAATGAAGAATCTCAGGCCTGCTGAATCAGAATGTGCAGCATCAACGAGTCCCTCGCTGATTTATTTGGGGAAGAGAAGTTCTTTTCTGTCTTGACTGAACATGACGTTAAATGTGTTTTGCAAAATTACCTGTCCCAGATTGTTGTTCATCCTTTATTTCTGTGGCTGTATTCGAAACAGAATCTTCCTTGTCACTTGTCGTCTGAATGGAATTTGAAACAAAATAATCAATAAATAAAGTGTGTTTCATAGATTATACATTTACTAGTTCAAAATATAAATGAGATTTTAATCACCTTCAAGGCTTTTTTTTTCTGAGAAGACACTGAAAAGCAAAAGGGATACACAATCACTCATATGTACATATGATAAAGTTATCCATACATAATGCAGTGTTAGCATCAAGCCGTATCTTCCTGCCTGTATTAGTATAGGCTTTGATGATTTCTACTTTGTGTCTAGGGACCAGAACACGATAGAAATACACTGAAAAAAAAATAAGGAACACAGACTTCACAAAATATACCCTTACAGTTTCAAACATGGTATGATATGTCATATATCTAAAACTAAAATAAAACCGTGTCAATATCAATGTGGATATGCCGAATGATGAGGATAAATGTGATCTAAAATCAGAGGAGCAACTCATACATCTGAGAAACAATGTCAAAGCAGGTGGTACATGATCCCGCATGTCTTTCATGCAAGAAATCAAAAGGTTTTACACCATTATACTACAAACATTCATCATGCTCTTTGACTTATCTGATAACTGAGAAGGTACACAATTACAATGACACTTCAGTTGAATGTACACTTCACGTCTCTTCAGTGGAAGTGTGCTACATTGATCAGCTTGGATATATGTTTGGTGAATCCTAGTAGATAACATTCATTATTTATCATACCCATATGGTGTAATAATCCGCCTACATTTCTTGTATTCTCTAGTTTAGCCTTCAGAAAGTTTCTTCATCCACTAATGGCAAGAAGGTATAATATATGAACCCCATCAAAAACTACAAAAAATTATACATATTTATACAAAATGGAATTGCAGCAGGCATTAGATATTAATAAATTTTACATTTGGATATCAGTCCAATGTTCATTGAAAATAACCATTTTAGGATTCAATTAATGCATTCACACATTATTTCTGTCTCTAAAATTAGTCTGCTCTGCAATATCACTTTATTATAAAGAATTTTCACTAAATAGCTATGTTAACAAAAAAGTCAGCACTTTGGAAAAGAGCTAATGTATTCATATTAAATTTTAACTCATTCGAATAACTAATAAAACTATATCTCTGATATCTGATAGTAATAAACAGGAATAATGAGACACTGAGGTTTATCCCAATTCTAGCACTCCTTCCTGATTCCAGTAGACATTGGAGCAGCCAGAAGTCAGATCTTCTCGTATGTAAATATTCCAAATGTATTTGAAGTGAGCTCGCTCAGGTTTCCTCAGCAGAAACCCCAAAATTACCTAACTAACTTCTTCCTTTCCCTCTTTCTTGCCTTGCAATCCCTCTTTCTTGATGAAAATAATTACTACATCAGTGGTCACTTTGCTTCTCATTCTCCAGTGTTTATGGGTTATTATGACAACTTCTTCCCTCTGGTTGTAGTAGAACCATCTGACATCTATAACTTCTATTACTTCTTCTCTTTCTCCTTCTCCTCTCCTTAGAAACATGCTCTGAAATAACAGCAAAATTATGCTATACCCTGATCCTCTTATGTTTTGGACTGTTTTCCAACGGTTCTTCTACATGATTTCAATGTAGGGAAGTCTATAACCTTGTTACTAAGATCATGGCCGAGGAAGAGCAGCATCAAAATCACCTGAGAACTTACTAGAAATGCACAATCTCAGGACTGCTGAATCAGAAAGTGCATTTTCAATGATCCATCCACTGATTTATTCAGGGGTGGGATGTTCTCTTCTATCTTGAGTGCACATGACATTAAATGTGTATTGCCAAATTACCTGTTCCAGATTTCCGACCAGCCATTATTCTTGTGGCAATATTCAAAACAGGAGCTTTCTTTTTAAATATAACCTGAGTGGAATGAGAAGCAAAATATTCAATACATAACATATATTTCATAGACTATACAATTAGTAATTCAAAGTATAAATGAAAGAGTAACTACCTTCCAGGCTGACTGTTTCTGAGGAGACACTAAAAAGTAAAAGAAATATATAATCCATCATATGTAAATATGATAAAGTTATCCATACATTCATGCAGTGTTAGCATCAAGCTGTATCCTCCTGCCTGTACTAGCATAGGATTTGATGTTTTATAGTTTGTGTCTTTGGGACAGGAACATGAGGAAATACACTGAAGAAAATGGAAATACAGGCTTCCAGAAAATACACAGTCACAAATTACAAAGAGATATTATGGGTCATGTGTGTATTACTGAAATAAAGTGTTGACATCAATGTGGATATCCCGAATGATGAAAAGAAATGTGATCTAAAATCAGAGGAGCAACTCATACACCCAGGAATCAATGTTAAAGAAGGTAGTAAATGCTACTGCATGTTTCTCATGCAAAACACCAGAAGGATTTATACCGTTATACTACTAATATTCATCATGATCTTTAACTTGCCTGATAATTGAGTAGGTACACAATGACAATGACACTTCTGTAGAATGTACACTTCACAAGTCCTCAGTGGAAGTGTCTCAGCTTCATCAGTTTGGATATAAGTTTGGATAATCCTAGTATATAATATTCTTTATTTCTCAAACCCATGTCGTGTAATAATGTGCCTACGCTTGTTGTGTCCTCTAATTTAGCCTACAGAACGTTTCTTCATCCATGCATGGCAACAAAGTATAATATATAAACCTTATCAAAAAGTATAATAAATGATCAAATTTGTCATACTTATGCAAAATAAAGTTGCTACAAGCATTACACATGAATAACCTTTTACATTTGGAAATCACTCCAATATTCATTGAAAATAACAATTTTAAAAGTCAATTAATGAATTCAAAATTATTTTTGTTTCTAAAATAGTCTGATTTGAAGTATCACGTTATTCTCTAAAGCATTTTTATTAAATTGCTATTTTATCCAAATGCTACCCCTTGAAAAACAAAGCCAATATATGCATATTCATGTTTATCTCATTTGAATAACTAATATCAACAAAACACATATCTCTGATGCCCAACAGTAACAAAGAGGAGTAATGAGTCACTGTGGCTTATCCCAGTTCTAGTACTCCTTCCTGCTTCCACTGGTTCCCACAGCAGCCAAAATCAAATCTTCTTTTAGGCAAATGTTTGAATATGCATCTGAACTCAGGTTTCCTCAGAAGAAATAACAAAATTACATAAATAACTCCTTCTTTTCCCTCCTTCCTGCCTCACAATCCCTCTTCCTTGAGGAAAGTAATTGCTACCTCAGTGGTCTTGTTAGTTCTCGTTCTACAGCGTTTACAGGTTATTAGCATCATTTTTTTGTCTGTTTTTAGCAATACTAGCAATACAACGTAACCTCTGTAAAATCTATACTTCATCTCTTTCTCCTTCTACCCGTAGTGAAAACATCCTGCAGAATTAAAGCAAAATTATGCTGTCCCCTGAGCCCCTTATGTCTTGACCTGTTCTCCAATGTTTCTTCTTCCCAATTTCAATGTGGGGAAGTCTGTAATCTCACTGCAAAGATCATGTCCAAGACCAGCAGCATCAGCATCACCCAAGAACTTATTACAAATGAAGAATCTCAGGCCTGCTGAATCAGAATGTGCAGCATCAATGAGTCCCTCGCTGATTTATTTGGAGAAGAGAAGTTCTTTTCTATCTTGACTGAACATGACATTATGTGTTTTGCAAAATTACCTGTTCCAGATTGTTGTCCATCCTTTACTTCTGTGGTTATATTCGAAACAGAATCTTCCTTATCACTTGTAGCCTGAATGGAATTTGAAGCAAAATAATCAATAAATAAAGTATGTTTCATAGACTATACATTTACTAGTTCAAAATATAAATGAGATTTTAATCACCTTCAAGGCTGGTTGTTTCTGGGAAGACACTGAAAAGCAAAAGGGATACATAATCACTCATATGTAAATATGATAAATTTATTCATACATTCATGTAGTGTTAGCATCAAGCTGTATCTTCCTGCCTGTATTAGTGTAGGCTTTGATGTTTTCTACTTTGTGTCTGGAGACTGAAACATGATAGAAATACACAGAAAGAAAAGGAATACAGGCCTCACAAAATATACCCTTACAATTTCAAACACGGTATGATTTGTCATATGTCTAAAACTAAAGTAAAACCATGTCAATATCAATGTGGATATGCCGAGTGATGAGGACAAATGTGATCTAAAATCAGAGGAGCAACTCATACACCTGAGAATCAATGTCAAAGCAGGTAGTACATGATCCCTCATGTCTTTCATGCAAGAAATTAGGATTTACACCATTATACCACAAACATTCATCATGCTTTTTAACATTTCCAATAACTGGGAAGATACATGATTACAATGACACTTCAGTTGAATGTACACTTCACCTCTCTTCAGTGGAACTGTCCTAAATTGATCAACTTGGATATATGTTTCCTGAAATCTAGTAGATAATATTCATCATTTCTCACACCCATGTGGTGTAATAATTTGCCTAAGTTTCTTTTATCCACTAGTTGAGCCTTCCAAAAGATTCTTCATCCACTCATGGCAACAAAGCATAATATATTAGCCTCAATAAAAATATCATCAATTATCAATTTTGACATACTTCTACAAAGTAAAACTGAAACAAGCATTAGATATTAGTAAGTTTTACATTCAGAAATCACTCTAATATTCATTGAAAATGATCATTTTAGGAGTTAATTAGAATTCAACATAATTTTTGTTTGTAAAATAGTCTTCTTGAGAGTATCACACTATTCTCTAAAGAAGTTTCATTAAATAGCTATTTTATCCAAGAGTTAGCTCCTTGAACAAGGAAGGCAATGTATTCACATTCAAGTTTATCTCATTTTTATAACTAATATCAACAAAACATGTATCTCTGATGCCTAATAGTAACAAAGAGGAGTAAGGAGTCACGGTGGTTTCTCCCAATTCTAGCACTGTTTCCTTCATCCAGTAGTTCGTGGATCAGCCAAAATCAAATCTTCTTCTATGCAAATATTCCAAAAGCATCTGAAGTGAGTTCACTCAGGTTTCCTCAGTAGAAATCCCAAAATTACATAAATACCTTCTTCTTTTCCATCTTTCCTGCCTCACAATCCCTATTCCTTGAGGAAAATAATTGCTACTTCAGTGATCTTGTTAGTTCTCATTCTACACTGTTTATAGGGTATTAGGATCACTTTTCCCTCTATTTATAGCAATACGATCTGATGCCTATAATAATCTGTTACTTCATCTCTTTCACCTTCCCCTCTTGATGGAAACATGCAGTAGAATTAAAGCAAAATTATTCTGTCCCCTGAACCCCTTATGTGTTGAACTGCTCTCCAATGGTTCTTCTTCCCAATTTCAATGTAGGGAAGTCTATAATCTTACTACTCAGATCATGGTCAAGGACCAGCAGCATGAGGGTCACCCAAGAACTTACTACAAATGAAGAATCTCAGGTGTACTGAATCAGAACATGCAGCTTCAACAAACCCTAAGCTGATTTACTTGGGGAAGGGAAGTTCTCTTCTATCTTGATTGAACATGACACCAGATGTGTTTTGCAAAATTACCTGTCCCAGATTGTTGTCCATCATTTATTTCTGTGGCTATATTCACAAGAGAATCTTTCTTGTCACTTGTAGCCTGAATGGGATTTTAAACAAAATAATCAATACATAAAGTATATTTCATAGACTATACAGTTAATAGTTCAAAATATAAATGAGAGTTTAATTACCTTCCAGGCCGGTGGTTTCTGAGAAGACACTGAGAAACAAAAGGGGCATATTATCAATCATATGTATATACAATAAAGTTATCCATATATTCATGCAGTGTTAGTATGCAGCTGCATCTACCTGCCTATATTACTGTAGGTTTTGATGTTTTATACTTTGTGTCTTAAGACAGGAACATGACTGAAATACACTGAAAAAAACAGGAACACAAGCTTCATGAAATATACACTAACAATTTCCAACATATGATTTTTCATACATCTAAAACTAAAATAGAACAGTGTCAATATCAATAAGGATATGCAGAATGATGTGGACAAATGTGATCTAAAATCAGAAGAGAAACTCAATCACCTGGGAATTAATGTCAAAGCAGGTGGTACATGCACGTGCATGTCTTTCATTCAAGATATCTGAATGATTTAGACCATTACACTGCAAACATTCATCATGCTCTTTAAACTGCCAAATAACTGAGAAGGTACACAATTACAGTGACATTTCAGTTTAATGAACATTTCATGTCTCTTCAGTGGAAGTGTCCTAAATTGATCAGTTTGGATATATGTTTCCTGAATCTGAGTGAATAATATTCATTTTTTCTCACACCCATGTGGTATAATAATTCACTTCAGTTTCTTGTATTCTCTAGTTTAGCCTTCAGAACATTTTTTCATCCACTCATGGCAACAAAGTATAATATATAAACCTCAATAAAAAACATAATCCATTATTAATTTTGACATACTTCTACAAAATAAAACTGCTATAAGCATTGGATACTAATAAGCTTCTACATTTGGATATCTCTCCAATATTCATTGAAAATTACCATTTTAGGAGTCAGTTATGAATTCAACATTATTTTTGTTTCTAAGATAGTCTTCCTTGGAGTATAATGCTATTCTTTAAAGAATATTCATTAAATAACTATTTTATCCAAGAGTTAGCTCTTTGATCAATGAAGCCAATGTATTCATACTCAAGTTTATCTAATTTTTTTGTTATACTTAAGTTCTAGGGCATATGTGCACAACGTGCAGGTTTCTTACACATGTATACATGTGCCATGTTGGTGTGCTGCACTCATTAACTCATCATTTACATTAGGTATGTCTCCCTAATGCTTTCCCTCCCCTATCCCCAAATCGCACGACAGGCCCCAGTGTGTGATGTTCCCCAATTGTGTTCAAGTGTCCTCATTGTTCAATTCCCACCTATGAGTGAGGACATGCGGTGTCTGGTTCTCTGTCCTTGGGATAGTTTGCTCAGTATGATGGTTTCCAGCTTCATCCATGATCCTACAAAGGACATTAACTCATCCTTTTTTATGGTTGCATAGTATTCTGTGGTGTATATGTGCCACATTTTCTTAATCCAGTCTATCATTGATGGACATTTGCGTTGGTTCCAAGTCCTTGCTATTGTGAGTAGTGCCACAATAAACATATGTGTGCATGTTTCTTTATAGCAGCATGATTTATAATCCTTTGGGTATATACCCAGTAATGAGATGTCTGTGTCAAATGGTATTTCTAGTTCTAGATCCTTGAGGAATTGCCACACTGTCTTCCACAATGGTTGAACTAGTTTATAGTCCCACCAACAGCATAAAAGTGTTCCTATTTCTCCACATCCTCTCCAGCACCTGTGGTTTCCTGACTTTTTAATGATTGCCATTCTAACTGGCGCAAGATGGTATCTCATTGTGGTTTTGATTTGCATTTCTCCGATGGCCAGTGATGATGAGCATTTTTTCATGTGTCTGTTGGCTGCATAAAAGTCTTCTTTTGAGACGTATCTGTTCATATCCTTCACCCACTTTTTGATGGGGTTGTTTGATTTTTTTCTTGTAAATTTGTTTAAGTTCTTTGTATATTCTGGATATTAGCCGTTTGTCATGTGGGTAGATTGTAAAAAATTTTCTCCCAGTCTGTAGGTTGCCTGTTTACGCTGATGGTAGTTTCTTTTGCTGTGAAGAAGCTCTTTAGTATAATTAGATCCCATTTGTCTATTTCGGCTTTTGCTGCCATTGCTTTTGGTGCTTTAGTCATAAAGTCCTTGCTCATGCCTATGTCCTGAATGGTATTACCTAGTTTTCCTTCTAGGGTTTTTATGGTTTTAGGTCTAATATTTAAGTCTTTAATCCATCTTGAATTAATTTTTGTGTAAGGTGTAAGGAAGGGATCCAGGTTCAGCTTTCCACATATGGCTAGCCAGTTTTCCCTGTACCATTTATTACATAGGGAATCCTTTCCCCATTTCTTGTTATTGTCAAGTTTGTCAAAGATCAGATAGTTGTAGATGTGTGGTATTATTTCTGAGGGCTCTGTTCTGTTCCATTGGTCTATATCTCTGTTTTGGTACCAGTACCATGCTGCTTTGGTGACTGTAGCCTTGTAGTATAGTTAGAAGTCAGGCTCTAGCATGATGCCTCCAGCTTTGTTCTTTTGGCTTGGGATTGTCTTGGCAATGTGGGCTCTTTTTTGGTTCCATATGAACTTTAAAGTAGTTTTTTCCAATTCTGTGAAGAAAGTCATTGGTAGCTTGATGGGGATGGCACTGAATCTATAAATTACCCAGGGCAGTAAGGCCAGTTTCACGATATTGATTCTTCCTATCCATGAGCATGGAATGTTCTTCCATTTGTTTGTGTCCTTTTTTATTCGTTGAGCAGTGGTTTGTAGTTCTCCTTGAAGAGGTCCTTCACATCCCTTGTAAGTTGGATTTCTAGGTATTTTATTCTCTTCAAAGCAACTGTGAATGGGAGTTCACTAATGATTTGGCTCTCTGTTTGTCGGTTATTGGTGTATAGGAATGCTTGTGACTTTTGCAGGTTGATTTTGTATCCTGAGACTTTGCTGAAGTTGCTTATCAGCTTAAGGAAATTTTGGGTTGAGACAATGGGGTTTTTTAAATATATCATCATGTCATCTGCAAACACGGACAATTTGGCTTCCTCTTTTGCTAATTGAATACCCTTTATTTCTTTCTCCTGCCTGATTGCCCTGACCAGAACTTCCAACACTATGTTGAATAGGAGTGGTGAGACAGGGCATCCTTGTCTTGTGCCAGTTTTCAAAGGGAATGCTTTCAGTTTTTGCCCATTCTGTATGATATTGGCTGTGGGTTTGTCATAAATAGCTATTATTTTGAGATACGTCCCATCAATACCTAGCATGAAGTCCTTTTGAATTTTGTCAAAGGCCTTTTCTGCATCTATTGACATAATCCTGTGGTTTTTGTCTTTGTTTCTGTTTATATGATGGATCACATTTATTGATTTGCATATGTTAAACCAGGCTCACATCCCAGGAGTGAAGCCAACTTGATTATGGTGGATAAGCTTTTTGATGTGCTGCTGGATTAGTGTTGCCAGTATTTTATTGAGGATTTTGCATCGATGTTCATCAGGGATATTGGTCTAAAAGTCTCTTTTTTGTTGTTGTGTCTCTGCCAGGTTTTGGTATCAGGATGATGCTGGCCTCATAATATGAGTTAGGGAGGATTCCCCCTTTTTCTATTGATCGGAATAGTTCCAGAAGGAATGGTACCATCTCCTCTTTGTACCTCTGGTAGAATTCAGCTGCAAATCCATCTGGTCCTGGACTTTTTTTGGTTGGTAGGCTATTAATTATTGCCTCAATTTCAGAGCCTGTTATTGGTCTATTCAGGAATTCAGCTTCTTCCTAGTTTAGTCTTGGGAGGGTGTATGTGTCCAGGAATTTATCCATTTCTTCTAGATTTTCCAGTTTATTTGCCTAGAAGTGTTTATAGTATTCTCTGATGGTAGTTTGTATTTCTGTGGGATTGGTGGTGATACCCCCTTTATCATTTTTTTATTATGTCTATTTGATTCTTCTCTCTTTTCTTCTTTATTAGTCTTGCTAGTGGTCTATCAAGTTTCTTGATCTCTTCAAAAAACCAGCTCCTGGATTCAATGATAAGTGTTTTTTGTGTCTCTATCTCTTTCAGTTCTGAACTTATCTTAGTTATTTCTTGCCTTCTGCTAGCTTTTGAAGGTGTTTGCTCTTGCTTCTCTAGTTCTTTTAACTGTGATGTTAGGGTGTCAATTTTAGATCTTTCCTGCTTTCTCATGTAGGCATTTAGTGCTATAAATTTCCCTCTACACACAGCTCTAAATGTGTCCCAGAGAATCTGGTATGCTGTATCTTTGTTCTCATTGGTTTCAAAGAACATCTTTATTTTTGCCTTCATTTCATTATTTACCCAGTAGTCATTCAGGAGCAAGTTGTTCAGTTTCCATGTAGTTGAGCAGTTTTGAGTGAGTTTCTTTTTATTATTATTATTATTATTATTATACTTTAAGTTTTAGGGTACATGTGCATAACGTGCAGGTTTGTTACATATGTATACTTGTGCCATGTTGGTGTGCTGCACCCATCAACTCATCAGCACCCATCAACTCGTCATTTACATCAGGTATAACTCCCAATGCAATCCCTCCTTCCTCCCCCCTCCCCATGATAGGCCCCGGTGTGTGATGTTCCCCTTCCCAAGTCCAAGTGATCTCATTGTTCAGTTCCCACCTATGAGTGAGAACATGTGGTGTTTGGTTTTCTGTTCTTGCGATAGTTTGCTGAGAATGATGGTTCCCAGCTGCATCCATGTCCCTACAAAGGACACAAACTCATCCTTTTTTATGGCTGTATAGTATTCCATGGTGTATATGTGCCACATTTTCTTAATCCAGTCTGTCACTGATGGACATTTGGGTTGATTCCAAGTCTTTGCTATTGTGAATAGTGTTGAGTGAGTTTCTTAATCCTGAGTTCTACTTTGATTGCACTGTGGTCTTAGAGACAAGTTTGTTACAATTTCTGTTCTTTTACATTTGCTGAGGAGTGCTTTACTTCCAGCTATGTGGTCCATTTTGGAGTAAGTGCGATGTTGTGCTGAGAAGAATGTATATTGTATTGATTTGGGGTGGAGAGTTCTGTAGACGTCTATTAGGTCCACTTGGTGCAGAGCCGAGTTCAAGTCCTGGATATCCTTGTTAACTTTCTGTCTCGTTGATCTAATGTTGATAGTGAGGTGTTAAAGTCTCCCATTACCATTGTGTGGGAGTCTAAGTATCTTTGTAAGTTTCTAAGGACTTGCTTTATGAATCTGGGTGCTCTCATATTGGGTGTATATATATTTAGGATAGTTAGCTGTTCTTGCTGAATTGACCTTTTTCGCAAGATGACCAAATAGGAACAGGTCCCATTTACAGCTCCCAGCATGAGTGACGCCGAAGATGGGTGTTTTCTGCATTGCCAAATGAGGAACCGGATTAATCTCCTGGGGCTTGTTGGACAGTGGGTGCAGCCCACGGAGTGTGAGCCAAAGCAGGGTGGGGCATCACCTCACCCGAGAAGTGCAAGGGATTTGGGAATTCCCTTTCCTAGCCAAGGGAAGACGTGACAGACAGTACCTGGAAAATTGGTACACTCCCACCCTAATACTGCACTTTTCCAACAGTCTTAGCAAATGACACACCACAAGATTATATCCCGCACCTGGCTCAGAGTGTCCCACACCCACGGAGCGTCGCTCACTGCTAGCACAGTAGTCTGAGATCGAACTGCAAAGTGGCAGCGAAGCTGGGGGAGGGTTGTCTGTCATTGCTGGGGCTTGAGTAGGTAAAGAAAGCGGCCCAGAAGCTTGAACTTGGTGGAGCCCACCACAGCTCAAGGAGGCCTGCCTGCCTCTGTAGACTCCATCTCTAGGGGCAGGGCATAGCTGAACAAAAGGCAGCAGAAACTTCTGCAGACTTAAATTTCCCTGTCTGACAGCTTTGAAGACAGTAGTGGTTCTCCCAGCACAGAGTTTGACATCTGAGAACAGACAGACTGCCTCCTCAGGTGGGTTCCTGACACCTGAGTAGCCTAACTGGGAGACATCCCCCACTAGGGGCAGAATGACACCTCATACAGCCAGGTGCTCCTCTAAAATGAAGCTTCCAGAGAAAGCATCAGGCAGCAATATTTGCCGTTCTGCAATATTTGCTGTTCTGCAGCCTCCGCTGGTGATACCCAGGCAAACAGGGTCTGGAGTGGACCTCCAGCAAACTCCAACAGACCTGCAGCTGAGGGGCCTGACTATTAAAAGGAAAACTAACAAACAGAAAGGACATCCACACCAAAACCCCATCTGTACGTCACCATCATCACAGACCAAAAGTGGATAAAATCACAAAGATGGGGAGAAACCAGAGCAGAAAAGCTGAAAATTCTAAAAATCAGAGTGCCTCTTCTCCTTCAGAGGAATGCAGCTCCTCACCAGCAACAGAACAAAGCTGGACAGAGAATGACTTTGATGAGCTGACAAAAGTAGGCTTCAGACGATCAGTAATAACAAACTTCTCCAAACTAAAGGAGAATGTTTGAATCCATCGCAAAGAAGCTAAAAACCTTGAAAAAAGGTTAGATGAATGGCTAACTACAATAAACAGTACAGTGAAGACCTGAAATAACCTGATGGAGCTGAAAACCATGGCACAAGAACTACATGACACATGCACAAGCTTCAGTAGCCAATACATTCAAGTGGAAGAAAGGGTATCAGTGACTGAAAATCAAATAAATTAAATGAAGTTAGAAAAGAAGTTTAGAGAATAAAGAGTAAAAAGAAATGAATAAAGCCTCCAAGAAATGTGGGACTATGGGAAAAGACCAAATCTATGTCTGATTGGTGTACCTGAAAGTGATGGGGAGAATAGAGCCAAGTTGGAAAACACTCTCCAGGATGTTATCCAGGAGAACTTCTCCAACCTAGCAAGGCAGACCAACATTCAAATTCAGGAAATACAGAGAATGCCACAAAGATACTCCTTGAGAAGAGCAACTCCAAGACACATAATTGTCAGATTTGCCAAAGCTGAAATGAAGGAAAAAATGTTAAGGGGAGCCAGAAAGAAAGGTCGGGTCACCCACAAAGGGAAGCCCATCAGACTAACAGCGGATGTCTCAGCAGAAACTCTATAAGCAAGAAGAGAGTGGGGTCCAATATTCCACATTCTTAAACAAAAGAATTTTCAACCCAGAATCTCATATCCAACCAAACTAAGCTTCATGAGTGAAGAAGAAATAAAATCCTTTACAGATAAGCAAATGCTGAGAGATTTTGTCACCACCAGGCCTGTCTTACAAGAGCTCCTGAAGGAAGCACTACACATGGAAAGGAAGAACCAGTACCAGCCACTGCAAAAGCACGCCAAATTGTAAAGACCATCAACACTATAGGAAGAAACTACATCAACTAATGAGCAAAATAACCAGCTAATATCATAATGACAGGATCAAATTCACACATAATAATATTAACCTTAAATGTAAATGGGCTAAATGCTCCAATCAAAAGACACAGACTGGCAAATTGGATAAACTCAAGACTCATAAGTGTGCTGTATTCAGTAGACCCATCTCACAGGCAGAGACACACATAGGCTCAAAATAAAGGGATGGAGGAAGATCTACCAAGCAAATGGAAAACAAAAAATAGCAGCAGTTGCAAACCTAGTCTCTGATAAAATAGACTTTAAACCAACAAACATCAAACGAAACAAAGGTTTATCTAATTTTTATAACTAAAATCAACAAAACATGTATATGTGATGCCTGATAGTAACAAAGAGGAGTAATGAGTCGGTGTGGTTTACAGCAATTATAGCATTGTTTCCTGTTTTCAGCAGTTCCTGGATTTGCCAAAATCAAATCTTCTTTTATGCAAATGTTCCAAATGCATCTGAAATGAGTTCACTCAGGTTTACTCAGCAGAAATCTCAAAATTACAAAAATAAGTTCTTTTCCCTCCTTCCTGGCTCACAATCCCTCTTTTTTGAGGAAAATAATTGCTACACCAGTAATCTCGTTAGTTATTGTTCTACAGTGTCTACAGTTTATTACAATCACTTTTCCACCTGTTTTTAGCAGTACGATGTGACGTCTGTAAAAATCTATCTCCTTTCACTCTTGGTGAAAACATGCTGTAGAATTAAAGCAAAATTATGCTGTCCCCTGAGCCCCTTATATCTTGAACAGCTCTCCAGTGTTTCTTCTTCCCAATTTGGGGAAGGGAAGTTCTCTTCTATCTTGATTGAACATGACCTTAGATGTGTATTGCAAAATTACCTGTCCCAGATATTTGTGCATCCTTTATTTTGGTGGCTATATTCGAAACAGAATCTTCCTTGTCACTTGTAGCCTGAATGGAATTTGAAACAAAATAATCAATACATAAAGTATAGTTCATAGACTATACAGTTACTAGTTCAAAATATAAATGAGAGTTTAATTACCTTCAAGGTTGGTTGTTTCTGAGAAGACACTAAAAAGCAAAAGGGATACATAATCACTCATATGTACATAAGATAATGTTATTCATACATTCATGAGGTGTCAGCATCAAGCTGTATCCTCCTACCTGTATTAGTGTAGGATTTGATGTTTTCTACTTTAGAAATACACTGAAGAAAAGGAATACAGGCTTCACGAAATATACCCTTACAATTTCAAACATGGTATGATTAGTCATATGTCTAAAACTAAAATAAAACCATGTCTATATCAATATGGATATGCCGAGTGATGCGGAGAAATGTGATGTAAAATCAGAGCAGCAATTCATACACCTGAGAAACAATGTCAAAGCAGGTGGTACATGATCCTGCATGTCTTTCAGGCAACAAAGCAGAAGGATTTACACCATTATACTACAAACATTCATCATGCTCTTTAATTTGCCTGATAACTGAGAACTTACACAATTACAATGACACTTTAGTTGAATGGACATTTCACGTCTTTTAAGTTGGAAGTGTCCTAAATTGATCAGCTTGGATATATGTTTCTGGAATCTGAGTAAATAATATTCATTATTTCTCACACCCATGTGGTGTAATAATTCCCCTAAGTTTCTTGTATTCTCTAGTTTAGCCTTCCAAACATTTCTTCATCCACTCATGGCAACAAAGTATAATATATAAACCTCAATAAAGAACATAATCAATTATTAATTTTGACATACTTCTACTAAATAAAATTCCTACAAGCATTGGATAGCAGCAAGCTTTTCCATTCAGAAATCACACCAACATTCATTGAAAATGACCATTTTAAGGGTCAGTTGATGAATTCAACATTATTTTTGTTTCTAAAATAGTCTTGCTAGGAGTATCATGCTCTTCTCTAAAGAATATTCATTAAATAGCGATTTTATCCAAGAGTTACCTCTTTGATCAAAGAAGCCAAGGTATTCATATTCAAGCATATCTCATTTTTATAACTAAAATCAATGAAACATGTAAGTCTGATGCCTAATAGTAACAAAGGGGAGTAACTAGTCATTGTGGTTTATCCTAATTCTAGCATTCTTTCCTGCATCCTGTAGTTCCAGGAGCTGTGAAATCAAATTTCCTTTCTGCAAATATGCTACATGCATCTGAAGTGACTTCACTCAGGTTTCCTCAGCAGAAATCCCAAAATTACATAAATAACTTCTTCTTTTCCCTCCTTCCTGCCTCACAGTCCCTCTTCCTTGGGGAAACTAATTGCTACATCAGTGGTCTCGTTACTTCTCGTTCTAGTGTCCGCGAGTTATTACAATCACTTTTCTGTCTTGTCTTTAACAGTACGGTGTGATGTCTGTAAAATCTATACTTCATTTCTTTCTCCTTCCACCCTTGGTGAAAATATGCTGCAGAATTAAAGCAAAATTATCTGTCCCCTGAGTCCCTTATGTCTTGCCCTGCTCTCCAATGTTTCTTCTTCCCAGTTTCAATGTGTGGAAGTCTATAATCTTATTGTGAAGATCATGTCCAAGACCAACAGCATCGGTGTCACCCAAGAACTTATTACATATGAAGAATCTCAGGCCTGCTGAATCAGAATGTGCAGCTTGGACGAGTCTCCTGTTGATTTATTTGGGGAAGAGACGTTCTTTTCTATCTGGACTGAACATGACATTAAATGTGTTTTGCAGAATTACCTGTCCCAGATTGTTGTCCATCCTTTATTTCTGTGGCTATATTTGAAACAGAATCTTTCTCGTCACTTGTAACCTGAACGGAATTTGAAATAAAATAATCAATAAAAAAAGTATGTTTCATAGACTCTGCATTTACTAGTTCAAAATATAAATGAAAATTTAATTACCTTCAAGACTGGTTGTTTCCGAGAAGACACTGAAAAACAAAAGGGATACATAATCACTCGTATGTAAATATGATAAATTATCCATACATTCATGCAGTGTTAGCATTAAGCCGTATCCTCCTGCCTGCATTAGCGTAGGCTTTGATGTTTGCTACTTTGTGTCTGGGGACTGGAACATGACAGAAATACACTGACAAAAGGGAACACAGGCTTCATGAAATATACCCTTACAATTGCAAACATGGTATGATTTGTCATTTGTCTAAAACTAAAATAAAATCGTGTCAATATCGATGTGGATATGCCGAGTGATGAGGATAAATGTGACCTAAATCAGTGAAGCAACTCATACACCTCAGAATCAATGTCAAAGCAGGTGGTACACGATCCCTCATGTCTTTCATGCAGGAAATCAGAAGGATTTACATAATTATACTACAAACATTCATCACGCTCTTTAACTCGTCCGATAACTAGGAAGGTACACAATTACAATGACACTTCACGTCTCTTCAGTGGAAGTGTCCTAAATTGATCACCTTGGATATATGTGTCCTGAAATTAGTAGATAATACACGTTATTTCTCACACCCATGTGGTGTAATAATTTGCCTGAGTTTCTCGTATCTGCTAGTTTAGCCTTCCGAAAATTTCTTCATCCACTCATGGCAACAAAGCATAATATATTAGCCTCAATAAAAATATCATCAATTATCAATTTTGACATACTTCTACAAAGTAAAACTGAAACAAGCATTAGACATTAGTAAGTTTTACATTCAGAAATCACTCTAATATTCATTGAAAATGACCATTTTAGGAGTTAATTAGAATTCAACATAATTTTTGTTTCTAAAATAGTCTTCTTAAGAGTATCATACTATTCTCTAAAGAAGTTTCATTAAATAGCTATTTTATCCAAGAGTTAGCTCCTTGAACAAGGAAGGCAATGTATTCATACTCAAATTTATCTCATTTTTTATAACTAAAATCAACAAAACATGTATCTCTGATGCCTAATAGTAACAAAGAGGAGTAATGAGTCACTGTGGTTTATCCCAATTGTAGCACTGTTTCCTGCTTCCTGTAGCTCACGGATCAGCCAAAATCAAATCTTCTTTTATGCAAATATTCCAAATGCATCTGAAATGAGTTCACTCAGGTTTCCTCAGCAGAAAACCCAAAATTACATAAATACCTTCTTCTTTTCCATCCTTCCTGCCTCACAATCCCTCTTCTTCGAGGAAAATAATTGATACATCAGTGGTCACATTAGTTCTCATTTTACAGTGTTTATGGAGTTATTAGGATCAGTTTTCCCTCTGTTTATAAGAATACGATAAGATGCCTATGATATCTAATACTTCAGCTCATTCTCCTTCTCCTCTTGATGGAAACATGCTGTAAAATTAAAGCAAAATTATGCTGTTCCCTGAGCCTGGTATGTGTCGAACTGCTCTCCAATGGTTCTTCTTTCCAATTTCAATGTAGAGAAGTCTATAATCTTACTATTCAGATCATGGCCAACGACCAGCAGCATCAGGGTCACCTGAGAACTCACTACAAATGAAGAATCTCAGACGTGCTGAATCAGAACATGCAGCTTAGATGAACTCCTCACTGATTTATTCTGGGAAGGGAAGTTCTCTTCTACCTTGATTGAACATGACATTAGATGTGTTTTGCAAAATTACCTGTCCCAGATGTTGGTCCCTCCTCTATTTCTGTGGCTATATTCGAAACAGAATCATTCTTTTCACTTGTAGCCTGAATGGGATTTGAAACACAACAATCAATACATAAAGTAGGTTTCATAGACTATACAGTTAATAGTTCAACATATAAATGAGAGTTTAATTACCTTCAAGGCTGGTTGTTTCTCAGAAGACACTGAAAAGCAAAAGGGATACATAATCAATCATATGTAAATATGATAATGTTATCCATATATTCATGCATGGATAGCATATTAGCATCAAGTTGTATCCTCCTGCCTGTATTAGTGTAGGCTTTGATATTTTCTACTTTGTGTATGGAGACTGGAACATGACAGAAATACACTGAAGAAAATAGGAATACAGGCTTCAAGAAATATACACTGACAATTTCAAACGTGATATGACTTATCATATGTCTAAAACTAAAATAAAACCATGTCAATATCAATGTGGATATGCTGAGTGATAAGGACAAATGTGATCTAAAATCAGAGAGCAACTCATACACATGGGAATCAATGTCAAAGCAGGTGGTACATGCACCCGCATGTCTTTCAATGCAGGATATCAGAATGATTTAGACCATTATACTGCAAACATTCATCATGCTCTTTAACTTGATCGATAACTGAGAAAGTACACAATTATAGTGACACTTCATGTGAAGGTACACTTCACGTCTCTTCAGTGGAAATGTCCTAACTTGTTCAGCTTGGATATATGTTTGGTCAGTCCTAGTAGATAATATTCATTATTTCTCAGATCCACGTAGTGTAATAATTTGCCTACATTTCTTGTGTTCTCTAGTTTAGCCTTCCAAAAGTTTCTTCATTTACTCCTGGCAACAAAGTATAGTACACGAATCTCAATAAAAAATATCATCAATTATCAATTTTGACATACATATCCAAAATAAAACTGCTACAAGCATTAGATATTAATAAGCTTTTAATTCAGAAATCACTCCAAAATTCATTAACAATGACCATTTTAAGAGTCAATTAATGAATTCAACATTATTTTTCCTTTCAAAATAGTCTTGTTTGGAGAATCATGATGATCTCCAAAGAATTTTCATTTAATAGCCATTTTATTCAAAAGTGAGCTTTTTGAACAATGAAGCCAATGTGTTCATATTCAAGTTTATCTTTTTTATAACTGAAATCAACAAAACACATTTCTCTGATGCCCAATAGTAACAAAGAGGAGTAATGAGTCAGTGTGGTTTCTCCCAATTCTCTCATTGTTTCCTGCTTCCAATAGTTTCTGGAACAGCCACAATCAAATCTTCTTTTATGCAAATATTCCAAATGCATCTGAAGTGAGTTCACTCAGATTTCCTTAGCAGAAACACCAAAATTACATAAATAACATCTTCTTTTTCCTTCTTCCTGCCTCACAATCCCTCTTCCTTGAGGAAAATAATTGCTACATCTGTGGTATCATTAGCTGTCCATCTACAGTGTGTATGGGTTATTACAATCACTTCTTCCCTCTGCTTTTCGCAATACGGTTTGACGTCTATAATATTTATTACTTCATCTCTTTCTTATTCCCCTCTTGATGAAAACATGCTGTAGAATTAAAGCAAAATTAAGTTGTCCCCTCAGCCCGTTATGTCTTGAACTGCTCTCCAATAGTACTTCTTCCCAATTTCAATATAGGGAAGTCTATAATCTTGCTACTCAGATCATGGCCAAGCATCAGCAGCAACTGCAGCACCTGAGTACTTATTTCAAGTGCACAATCTCAGAAGTGCTGAATTGGAACGTGCAGCTTCAATGGGCCACCCCCCCCCACTAATTCATTTGGGGAAGAGACATTCTCTTCTATCTTGAGTGAACATGACATCGAACATGTATTGCTAAATTACCTGTCCCAGATTTTTGCCCATCCTTTATTTCTGTGGCGATATTCAAAATAGAATCATTCTGGTCACTTGTAACCTAAATGGTATTTGAAACAAAATTATCAATACATAAAGTATGTTTAATAGACTGTACAAATATAATAGTTCAAAATATAAATGAGAGTTTAGTTACCTTACAGGCTGGTTGTTTCTCAGAAGACACTGAAAAGCAAAAGGGATACACAGTCAATCATATGTAAATATGATAATATAATCCATACACTCATCCTGTGTTAGCTTCAGGCTGTATCCTCCTGCCTGTAATAGTGTAGGCTTTGATGTTTTATACTTTGTTTCTTGGGACTAAATGTGAAGGAAATACACTGAAGAAAATAGGAATACAGGCTTCAAGAAATATACTCTGACAATTTCAAACGTAATATGACTTGTCGTATGTCTAAAACTAAAATAAAACCATGTCAATATCAATGTGGATATGCTGAATGATGAGGACAAATGTGATCTAAAATCAGAGAGCAACTCATACACATGGGAATCAATGTCAAAGCAGGTGGTACATGTGCCCACATGTCTTTCATGCAAGATATCAGAATGATTTAGACCATTTTACTGCAAACATTCATCATGCTCTTTAACTTGATCGATAACTGAGAAGGTACACAATTACAATGACATTTTAGTTGAATGTACACTTCACGTCTCTTCAGTGGAAATGTCCTAACTTAATCAGCTTGGATATATGTTTGATGAATTCTAGTATGTAATATTCATTATTTCTCACACCCATATGGTGTAATAATGTGCCTACATCTCTTGTATCTTCTAGTTTAGCTTCTGAAAGTTTCTTCATCCACTCATGACAACAAGGTATAATAAATAAACCTCATCAAAAAGTATAATAAATTACCAAATTTAACATACTTATACAAAATAAAGTTGCTACGAGCATTAGATATGAATAAACTTTTACATTTGGAAATCACTCCAATATTCACTGAAAATAAACATTTGGGAGTCAAGTAATGAATTCAACATTATTTTCATTTCTAAAATAGTCTGGTTGAAGTCTCATGTTATTCTCTAGAGAATTTTTATTAAATAGCTATTTTATCCAATAGTTAGCTTCTTGAAAAACAAAGCCAATGTATGCATATTCACGTTTATCTCATTTGAATAACTAATATCAACAAAACATATACCTCTGACGCCCAGTAGTAACAAGGAGGAGTAATGAGTCACTGTGGTTTATCCCAATTCCATCATTCTTTCCTGCTTCCAGTAGTTCCTGGAGCAGCCAAAATCAAATCATCCTTTACGCAAATATTCTAAATGCATCTGAAGTGAGTCCACTTAATCTTAGAGTCATAATTTTAAAAATCATTTTCTTTATACTCATGAAGGCTCCTGATATTTTTACATATCCTGGATTCAGCAGTTTGGCCTTCTCCCTGTCTCTTCGTCCACTTTTGCCAAAACATACACATCAATGAAATAATGTGTAGATTTTCATAGATTCTTATGAAAATAAACTAAACAAAGTTTCTAAATCACTAGAGACTTCTTTTCTTATAAATAACCAACCAATATGACATAATGCATATATATATGTGTCATGATTGCCATGATTATTGGCAGTTATCCATTTAATACTCTAAAAATGTATTCTTTGATTCCTTTTTTCTAAATCTAGTTTTATATGATATACTATAGGGGTCTCTCAGGTTCTTTTATGAAATAACTACTCAGCAAACACAGCTTCCTAATAAGAAACAAACAAAAAAAACCCACATTTTTTCTAGATTAAACTGCATCCCAATATGCTAACTGATGTGAACGAAGCACATATCATTGATATGCAAAACTTCTACGGAGAAGAAATGAGACCCTGTGGGTCACCTTCATCCTTCTAACTTCTGCTTTCAATTAAGTGACTTCCCACCAGTCTCCTCATCAGAAACCTCCATTCTACCTAGCTAGCTGCTTTCTTTGTTTACTCCTGCCCAATTTGACATACACTCCTTTTCATTCATAAATCTAATGTCCATATTGGTGGACTTCATTCTTTGACCTCCACATTCGTTTCTTCATTATTCTCACCACCACTGCATTGTGACATCTGTACAATCCCATATTGACACACAGGAAGATAAGATTTTACTTTATTAAAATGTTAAATGTGTAGGACACTTGACTAACATGTACAAATTCCTTTTTCACAAAAGCAGTCCCATGACCTCCTCTCTCCCATAGACACTCTTGTTTCACAGCTGTTCTTCACTCACATCGGTTTGAGTATCTATCACCTCTCATTTTGTCTCTATGTTTTCACTTCATATTATGAGTTATTATCATAGGCTCAGGAGCCTATCTTACCTATTTTCCTCTCCAGGAGACAGTACTGAGCAGTAAATTAGAATCTTTCAAGATATGAACACTTTTATGTACACAACACTTTGTAGAGCTATTTTATGTTTAACTACCCATAACGCCACTATGTCTATGCTTTCCAGAGAAACAAGCTCTGAAATTTTATTGAATATAAACTATTCAAAAACTTCTTTAACTACAATGACACTGTCTCTCCTCGATGCACCAAAATCTTCAGAAATAACATGTGAAGACTTGAAAACATGTCAGTAATTGACATGAAAAATGAAGTGTTGACATAATTTTTTGAAGGTATAAATAACACAAGCTGAGATCCTTACTAGATTCAAGAAGAGCAAAGTACATTAGACGGGAAATAAATATGGAACAGGAATATTTTCATTTGTAATGAAAATTATTCTATTTACAGTTTTCAGGAGAGAAAAAAATACACACACACACACACACATTCACACACAAAAACCGGAGCAATACACTTTTACAGGGTGTTTCTTCATTAAGAGCCTGTCATTTGACATCCGGGAACACTCTATAGGGATCAACAAAGGGGTTCTAAATTGTGACCTGAGTAGTTTTGAGTTTAACATTCATGAAGGGGAGCCGAGAGGACAAGTAACACTTTGTTGGCTATTTCTACTCCTTACTGTCATTCTCTGAAAAGCACACACTGAATTTTCTCAGGGTTATGACATGTCAAAAAGACATGCTTTAAGGGGGAAACAGGTGCAATCAACACAGCCATGGGAGAGATACAGTTATGCTTGCTAGGATTTCCATTATTTCTGCTTCATTTCTAATATAGTACAAATCAATAAAAGCAACCACGTAAGCACATCTATGTTGGTATGTCATCATATTTAAGTCTACATGATATCAGCATGAAGAGAGCATAATGTGCTGTAGTCATCACATGGCATATCATGAGATCATACAATAAATCAAGAAATACGTCACTGGGTCAATGTATGTAGATCTGAAATATATATCACTGATTTTACAAAGACCAAGTTGCAGTCATTATGTGCACTGCCTGAACTTTTCTACAAGTTTTTAATACACAAAATCAAGTTCTACATGTTATCTATGAACGTGCACACATGTGGCAAGAGGTTTTTAAAGTGCATTTGGGTGATTTCTTTCTTTCTTTTTTTTTTTTATTTAAATCAAGCTCTTGGTTACATGTCGGCAGTAAGTTTTAGTAGTATTAAAAACCCTAAGACCATAACAGCTCAGAATCACTGTCTTAAAAGACTGCGTCTACCAAAGAGTCAGCAAGGCATGACTACTTACTTTCTTCATTTTTAAAACTCAGAGGTACCCCATGCACACTCCCAAATAAAACTACACAAGTTCCTTAGTTTAATTAGATCCCATTTGTCAATTTTGGCTTTTGCTGCCATTGCTTTTGGTGTGTTAGTCATGAAGTCTTTGCCCATGCCAATGTCCTGAATGGTATTGCCCAGGTTTTCTTCTAGGGTTATTATGGTTTTAGGTCTTTCTTAAAAGTTTAAGTCTTTAATTTGTCTTGAGTTAATTTTTGTATAAGGTGTAAGGAAGGGGTCCAGTTTCAGTTTCCTGCATAAGGCTAGCCAGTTTTTCCAACACCACTTATTAAACAGGCAATCTTTTCCCTTGCTTGTTTTTTCTCAGGTTTGTCAAAGATCAGATGGTTGTAAATGTATGGTGTTATTTCTGAGACCTCTGTTCTGTTCCATTGGTCCTTATATCTGTTTTGGTACCCATACCATGCTGTTTTCATTACTATAGCCTTGTAGTATAGTTTTCTGTTAGGAAGTGTGATGCCTCTAGTTCTGTTCTTTTTGCTTAGGATTGTCTTGGCTATATGGGCTCTTTTTTGATTCCATATGAAATTTCCAGTAGTTTTTTCTAATTCTGTGAAGAAAGTCAATGGTAGTCTATAGCATTGAACCTATAAATTACTTTGGGCAGTGTGGCCATTTTCATAATATTGATTCTTCCTATCCATGAGAATGGAATATTTTTCCATCTGTTTGTGTCCTCTCTTACATCCTTGAGCAGTGGTTTGTAGTTCTCCTTGAAGTGGTCTTTCACATCCCTTGTGAGTTGTATTCTTAGGTATTTTATTCTCTTTGTAGCAATTATGAATGGGAGTTCACTCATGATTTGGCTGTTCATCTTTTATTGGTGTATAAGAACGCTTGTGATTTTTGCACACTGATTTTGTATCCTGAGACTTTGCTGATGTTGCCTATCAGCTGAAGCAGATTTGGGGCTGAGATGATTTGGTTTTCTAAATATACAATCATGTCATCTGCAAACAGAGACAATTTGACTTCCTTCCTTCCTATTTGAATGCCCTTTATTTTTTCCTCTTGCCTGATTACCCTAGCCAGAACTTCCAATACTATGATCAGAGTGAACACGCAACCTACAAAACAGGAGAAAATGTTTGCAATCTCTCCATCTGACAAAAGGCTAATATCCAGAATCTAAAAGGAACCTAAACAAATTTACCAGAAAAGAACAAACAACCTCTTCAAAAAGTGGGTGAAGGACATGCTCAAAAGTAGACATTTATTCAGCCAGTAAACATATGGAAAAAAAAAGCTCCTCATCACTGATCATTAGAGAAATGCAAATCAAGACCACAATGAGATACCGGATCATGCCAGTTAGAATGGCAATCATTAAAAAGTCAGGAGACAACAGATGCTGGAGAGGATGTGGAGAAATAGGAACACTTTTACATTGTTGATGGGAGTGTCAATTATTTCAACCATTGTGGAAGACAGTGTGGTGATTCTTCAAGGATCTAGAACCAGAAATACCATTTGACCTAGCAATCCCATTACTGAGTATATACCCCAAAGATTAACCATTCTACTATAAAGACACATGCACACGTATGTCTATTGCAGCACTATTCACAATGGAACCAATTCGAATGCCCATCAGTGATAAACTGGATAAAGAAAATATGGCATATACACATCATGGAATACTATGCAGCCATAAAAAAGGATGAGTTCATGTCCTTTGCAAGGACATGGATGAAGCCTGAAAAACCATCATTCTCAGCAAACACACACAGGAAAAGAAAACCAAATGCTGCATTTTCTTACTCATAAGTGGAGTTGAACAATGAGAACACATGGACACAGGGAGGGGATCATCACACACCAGGGCCTGTCAGGGATGTAGGATCCTAGGGGAGGGACAGCACTCGTAGAAATACCTGATGTAGCTGACAGGTTGATGGGTACAGTAAACTACCATGGCACATGTATACCTATGTAACAAACCTGCATGTTCTTCACATGTATCCCAGAATTTAAAGTATAATACAAAACAAACAAACCAACATTAATTCAGGTTGTTGGTTACCAGTAGGCAATGAATTGTAGTAGTATAAAAGATTCTAAGGCCAAAACTGCTCCGAATCAGTGCTTTAAAACCCTGTATCTACCAAAGAGTCACGAAAAAATGATTAGTGACTTTATTCATTTTCCAAAATCAGAATCATTTTCCAAAACAGCTCTGAATCACTGCTTTAAAACCATGTATCTACCAAAGAGTCACCAAAAAATGATTAATGACTTCATTCATTTTCCAGAATCAGAGGTATCACACATACCCAAACTCACAAACAAAAGCACACAAGCACATACACGTGCAGAAATTCAAGCTGGTAATCAGAGCATGTGATTGGGTGAAGATTCAAAGATTCTCAATGTGACAATACCAACATAAAGGAGTTGAAGTTCTAACACAATTGTGATGTCAGCAGGTATAGCTTTTCTCTAGGTAAAGAACAGTATAGGAAACCAGAAATTGAAGCACTGAAAAATATTTAGTTTCAAAATTCACCTCCTTGAACTCCTAACATGCATACAAATTCCACATTGGGATCTTTATCACAACCTAAAAGGCAAAGCATCTGAGCTAGAGCTTACATTTTTAAAATTTCGTTTTCTTATTCTTGTAACTATCATTTTATAAGCATAAACACTAACAAGAGCATCAGCATCATTTAGATCAAATCCTTCTATCTTATTCGGGTAAAAGAAGAATCAGAAGACTACGAACATTTCCAATATATTCATGTCCTTCTTTCCAGATGAAATTTATATTGGCAAATTTACCTTTTCCTGGAGGTGGTGAATCCTTCCGTCTTATGGCTACTTTTGAACTGGGATCTGCTTCTTTTGGGGTAAGCTGAATGGGTTTTACAACATAATGATTAATATATCATGTATATATCACAAGGCATTTTTTTAATTAAAGATGAAAATATATTTGTTTACCGTGGATAAAGGAGGTCGCTCAGAAGATCCTACAAAGCAAAAGGGGCACATAATTAAGTACGTGTAAATATGACACAGCCCACCATCCACTATGTAGTGTTTGTAACCAGCTGAAATCTTCATGCTTGGTCTTGAAACTGTTACCTATTAGGCTCTGGGTTGCTTTTGCTATTGTTTTGGTTAGCATACAGACATGACAGGAATATATGGAAATCATAATATAGGTTTCATAAAACATGTAGTCCAGATTTCGAGAGAGAGATTAGATTTCACATGACTACAACTAACACAGAAAAGTACTTCTACCAATGTGATCCTGTTAACTGAAGCCAAAAAACGTGATGTCAAATGAAAGGACCAAATAGGACCCCAGAAGGATAAATGTCAAAGCCCATGGTAGAACGCTATGGTGTACCCTGAAGAAATCACCCAAGAACCTTTTATAGTATAATACAATAGTTCTCCTGTTCTTCATTTTGTCCTCTAACTTAAAAACTATCAATTTCATTAAAATGTATCATTCACTTCTGCTTGCAGGATGTATTCTGAGTTCATTAGTTGAGGCATCTACATACAGAAGAATAGTTAACAAAAATACTCATGTTGTCCACAGTCATGCAGGCTTCTGGTGTTTTTCCATTTCCCGGATTCTCAACTTTAGCCCTCCTGCCATCTCTTCATTCACTTATGCAAAAAATGCATACATTACACTCCAAATACCTAATGTGTAATTGGATTCCCATAAAACAAATCTAAACAAAATCATTGAATCATCAGAGGCTGTTTTAATGTTAATCACCTTTTATATATCAAAATCAAAATCTTTGCCATGATTATTGACAGTTACATTTTAATACTTAAGAAATATATTTCTTGATTGTTTTGCTTCTACAGTCAGTTTGATATGTAGTGCATCGCATTTTGCTAACATGAAGCACCTATCCTATTGTCGATGTGTGACCCCATAGAGAGAAAAATCGAGTCCCTGTGGTTTACTCTTAATCTTTCACCTTCTGTTTCCAGTAAGCTCTGAAGCAACAATAATCCAATATTCCATTCGAGTACGAATATACTAGGTCCACATAAAGTGAGTTATCTCAGGTTTCCTCATCAGAAACCCCCAAACACCTAGCCAGCTGCTACCTTTATTTACACCATCCCACCCCACTTGCACTCTTTTCTGTTGATAAATCTAATCTCACTATCTGGTTTTCATTCTTTGCCTTCCACATTTTGTTCTTCATTATTCTCACCACCCCTGTGATCAAACCCGTAAAATCTCATTTTTATAAATAAGAAGATACGGTTTTCCTTTATTAGAATATGAAAAGTTACAGAAACTGGACTAACTTGTACAAATTCCTTCTTCACAATAGCAGCCCCATGTCCTCCTCTCTCCCACAGACACACTGTTTCATAGTTTCTATTCACTCACATCAGTTTCATTGAGTATCATATCAAGTCTCATTTTATCTTCATGGCTTTATTTTATACTAGGGGTTATTATCAAAGTCTCAGCAAACTATGTTATATATTTTCTTCTACACGAGAGATTACTGAGCAGTAAATAAGAATCTCTTTGGATATAAACACTTTTATGTACACAAAATTTTTGTGAAGCTAACTTATGGTGAAATACACATTACACCATTATGTGTGTTACGTGTTCCAGAAAAACAGGCTCTAAAATTTTATTGAACTACTTAGTTTAAAAACTTCTGCAATTACAATGACATAGTCTCTGCTCAATGCAGCAACATCTTCAGAAATCTCTTGTGAAGACTTGGTAAAATGTCAGTCATTTACATGAAAAAGAGCATTAAGTGACAACACTGCTTGCTGGTATAAATAAAACAAGGCTAGATCCTTGCCAGATTCAAAGAGATCAGAGTGCCACGAGACAGAAACAAATATATAAATCGAAAGATTTTCATTTCTACCAAAAATTCATGTATTTAAAGTTTTCAGAACAGGACAAAATGCAAGGAAACACAGCGGTGAAGCGTTATAGAGCATCTCTTCACCTGGAGGCTATTTATCATTTGACATCCGGCAACCCTTTCCAGGGCTCAACAAAGGGGTTCTAAATTGTGATTTGATCATTCCTAGAGTTCAACATCAACCTTCCCATGTAAGGAAACCAAGGCATCAATGATACTTTGGCCATTTCTTCTTTCCAATGTCATTCTCTGAAAAGCATACACTGGAGTTTCAGAGTCATAGCATGATGGAAAAACATGGCTCTAGGGGGTAATGAATGCAGTCAGTACAGCTATGGCAGTGTATAAAACTATACTCAGGGTATCTGAAATACTTCTATTTAGTTTCTTACATAGTACAAATCAATAAAGGCAACCACATAAGCAAATCTATGTTGGTATGTCATCATATCTATATTCATTTTGTATCAGCTTGAAGAGACTTTAATTAATTGTGGTGCAGTCATAAAATGGCATACCACAAGACCATACAACAAATCAAAGATGACCAAATTGTGTCAACCTGGATAGATCTGAAATATATACCACTGATTAGAAAAGTCAAGTTGCAGCTATTATGTATGCTGTGTGAAATCGTATAGAAGACTTGATACTTGAAAATGGATTCTACTTATTACCTATGAAAGTGCATGTATCTTGTAAAATATTTTTAATGTGCATTGCAGTGATTTAAAAGTAAAAAGTGTTCATTCTGGCTGTTGGTTACCTGTAGGCAATGAATTGCAGTAGAAGAAAAGATTCTAAGGCCAAAACAGCTCAGATTCATTGTTTTAAAACACTATATCTACCAAAGAGTTACAAAAGAATGATTAATCACTTTATTCACTTTTAATCAGAGATACACACACACATATACACATGCAGAAACTCAATCTGGTAATCAGAAGATGTGATTAAGTAAAGAGTCTCAATGTAACAACACTGACATAAAGGAGTTGAAGTTCTAAAACAATTGTAACGTCAGTAGGTATAGCTTTTCTCTAGATGAAGAGAGAAGAGTATTGCAATCAATTTTGAAGCACTGAAAATATTTACAGTTTCAAAATACACCTCCTCGAATCCCTAACATGCACAGGAATTCAAAACTGGGATCTTTAGATGATGACAGCTTTAAAGGAAAAGCATTTGGGCTAGAGCTCACGGTGTAAAATGTCTGCCTTATGCTTTAAATATCATTTTATAAACAAAGATATTAACAAGAACATCAGCATACTTACATCAAATCCTTCCATCTCATTTGGGGAAAAAGTGAGAATCAAAAAACTATGAGCATTTTCAATATTTTCAACTACGTTTTCTAAAATGAAATCTGTAGTGGGGAAATTTACCTTCGCTGGAAGTTAGTGAATCCATGCTTCCTGAGAATCTAGTTGAAATGTGATCTCTGTCTTCCACGGTATGCTGAAGGAGTTTGACAACATAATGATTAACATATCATGTATATATCACAGAGCATTTTGTTAATAATTAAAGAAAATACGTATGTAAAGTTTACCGTGAATAAAGGCGTTTGCTCAGGAGACACTACAAAGCAAAAGGAACACATAACTGACTACAGGTAAATATGACACAGCCTACCATCAATCATGCAGTGTTTGTATCCAGCTGAAATCTTCATGCTTGCCCTTGAAATTGTTGCCTATTAGGCTTCAGGTTGCTTTGCTCTTGTTTTGGTTAGCACACAAACATGACAGGAATATACACATGAAAAATCACAATATAGATTCTATAAAACATGCAGTCTAGGTTGCAAGGGTGAGATTAGGTTTCACATGACTGCAAGTAACATAGAAAAGTATTTCTACCAATATGAATTTGCTGAAAGAAGCCAAAAAAAAAGTGATGTCGAATGAGAAAACCAAATAGGACCCCAGAAGAATAAATGTTAGAAACTATGAAGTTGCAATGAGAGTGATGAAAATGTATCATCTGCGGCCGGGTGTGGTGGCTCACGCCTGTAATCCCAGCACTTTGGGAGGCCGAGGTGGTCGGATTACGAGGTCAGGAGATCGAGACCATCCTGGCCAACATGGTGAAACCCCGTCTCCAATAAAAATACAAAAAGTTAGCCGGGCATGGTGACGGGCGCCTGTAGTCCCAGTTACTTGGCAGGTTGAGGCAGGAGCATGGCGTGAACCCGGGAGGCGGAGTTCACAGTGAGCCGAGATCACGCCACTGCACTCCAGCCTGGGTGACAGAACGAGGCTCCGTCTCAAAAAAAAAAAGTATCATTCGCTTCTGCTGGCAGGAAGTGCTCTCAGTCATTAGTTCAGATATCTACTTGGACAAGAATCGTTTCCATACTCATGTTATCCACAATCATGAAGATTTCTGGTATTTTTTCAACTTCTGGATTCTTAACTTTAGTTCTCTTGCCATTTTTTCATTCACTTATGCAAAAAATGTATACATTACACATCAAATAACTAATGAGTACTCAGATTTTCACTTAAAAAAATGTAACCAAAATCTCTGAATCACCATTGACTTTTTTTCATAATTATCAACCTTTTTTTTTTTTTTTTTTTTGATACGGAGTCTTGCTCTGTTGCCCAGGCTGGAGTGCAGCAGCACAATCTCGGCTCACAGTCAACCTCCGCCACCCGGGTTCAAGAGATTCTCTTGCCTCAGCCTCCCTAGTAGCTGGGACTACAGGCACATGCCACCATGCCTGGCTATTTTTTTGTATTTTTAGTAGAGTTTGGGTTTCGTCATGTTAGCCAGGATGGTCTCCGTCTCCTGACCTCGTCATCCGCCCACCTCAGCCTCCCAAAGTGCTGGGATTATAGCTGTGAGCCACTGCACCTGGCTCAATCAACCTTTATATATCAAAATCTTTGCCATGATTATTGATAGTTACACTTTTAGTACTCAAGAAATAAATTTCTCATTTGTTTTTTTCTAAAGTCAATGTGATATGCTATAGCATAGCAGTCTCTGAGGTACTTTTATACAATGGCTATTTACATCAAAAACAGCATTTAAAAAAAAAACAGTCAATGTTTTGATATCCAAGTGCATCCCATTCACTAACAAACATGAATGAAGCACATATCATTGATGTGTAACTCCTGCAGAGAGAATAAACGAGTTCCTGTGGTTTCCTGTCATTCTTCTATCCTCTGCTTCCAGTAAGCTCCAAAGCAGCAATAATTTACTCTTCTCTTTGAGTGGGAATATACTGAGTCTACATAAAGTGAGTTCCCTCAAGTTTCCTCATCAGAAACCTCCAAATAACCTACTCAGCTGCTTTCTTAATTTACACTATCCCACCTCACATTTTTTTTTGTAAATCTAACATCCACTTCTCAACAACGAATGTTATATTTTGATCTACAAGTTTAAATGTTCACCAAAGTTTTAAGAAAAAGTATGTTTAAATTAAATTATATTTGCTATAAAAATTAATAAATTATATTTATAATTTAATTAAAATTAGGTTTATAATTTAATGAAATGTAACAAGTAATTTAATTTCAAATTTATTTTAAATTATATATAAATTATATTTATTTTCAAAAATTATATTAAAGCATAGAAAATTATTCAGCTATATTCACTACTTCACCACCTTTTTTTGTACACAAAAAAATAACATTATCATTATTTGATTGCTCTCGTGGAGCACTTTTTATAATACCAATACCATTTGCTTCTTCTCCAGTTGCTGATAGTGATTTTTCTTCCTAGTTAAAAAAAAAAAAAAATCTTCAGAAAATGTTGTGTTTCCTACTCCATCAGTCAGTAATCCAAGAAACATTTTCTGGGTCTATAAATTCATAAGGTCTATCCTGGAAAATCTGATAATATGAATAAAATACTAATTTTACTTATTTATCAAGTGAAAAAAGAACTTTATAAAAACAAACAAAAGCAGAAAGACACAATTCATTATTTCTGCAATTCAAGTCAAAAAAATACAGTGACAGCACAAAGGCAGTAACAGTTATTTCTACCTGGGAAGCTTCTGAGACACTGCAAATTTAGCGTTCTATTTTTAAAATAGACAAGTGAGAAGTAAGACTGTGAAGAGTTTCTAGTCAGGGCCGCATGTGCAAAAAAATAAGGCATGAAACAGCATAGCCACTAAGAAATACCACAATAATGTGGTAAAGCTTGGACACAGACAGAGAAAGTGGGGTGGAGAGATACAATGGGAGAAACAGGCCAAACCACAGAAATAAGTGTTATGCTAGAATGCAAATGTTTCCTTCGTGTAATGAGGATACAGCTATAAGCAGATGAGTTAGATCAAAGTAAACATGTTTAAGAAAGGTCACCCTGGAAGACATACACAGATAAAGGTGGAGACAAGAGAGAAACAAAAAAGAACATTCCGAAAATATAGGGTAGACAGTGTATTACAGTAATAAGATATGAGAAATGGTTAAAGGTAGAAAATACAAAATTTAGTGAGTCACTGGACTGGCAATGTGAGGGAAACCTGGAGTACAGTTTTTCTGCTTCAATGTTTCATTGCTACTTACTTGGTGCTGTTTACTAAGATTAGGAAGCCAGATTACAGAGTAGATTACAAAGAGTCAGGAAAGAATCTGGAAGGCAGTTTGAGACCTATCAAATTTGAGGCACAAAGGGGACTTAGAAGACTGATCTGGGTAAATACATTTGGAGTAGAAATAGATGACCTTACTCAAAAAAACCATACGTTGTTGAGAAGGTCAACATTTGTAAAATATACTAAACTGGTAGGATTCAGTAATTTAAACCTATGAAGAACTCTGACGTTTTGAAAATAAAAAGAAAACAAAACATGGGATTCAAAATTTCAATTATATATTTCTATACTGGATTAAAAGACATAAAATATATTTTCTTAATGTATGCAGATATTTAGTTCTGGAATATTATGGTCACATGCATTTTTGAACTTAATGAAAACAGTTATCTAAAACCAGTAATTCAAGGTATCCTAAGAAAGCTAATTTTTAAAGAATCATCTTAAAAGTTTTTAACTTGTAGAAACGTTTATTCTATTATACAATTATAAGGCATTTAAGCACTACTAAAATATGAGAGAGAAATGTAAAACCCTATTTTAAAGTTCATATGGTTTTCTGATTCTCCTGTAAATGATATACTAACTCTCTAATTGCCTACTTATGCCATAAAGATGATAGTTAAAATTCAGAGAAAAGATCAAGTAAAACAGTCATATGACTATGCAAGCTGAAGATTTACATGTTTTCAAATACACCATGCCTGTCAATCAGGACCCAACACTCACATGAAGAAAGAAGAAATTTATTTTGAAAATCAAATCAAAAGGATTCCTGAGTTTTACAGCTGAATAAATTCATGTGCAAGGTATAACAACTATAAACACTAAAGTGAATAATGCTTCCAGAGAATAACACAAAATGTCACAACCGTAGGAGATAGTTTTAAAAGTAAAAAGCAATATTCCAGAGATAATTCTGTGTACTCTGTTGGCAGTATTTCTTTCCTTATGATTCTATGGAAATAGGTACTTTGTTCAGGAAATAATTATGAGGATTGATTACACTCATCGCATGTGTGTTCTTAAGTACAGATGTTATCAGCACAAGGTAAGTCAGATTAGTTCCAGAAGTAATAATTTATTTCTTTAAGAGGGTTCCAGATTAAAAATATATATTTTCTCATTCAATGAATATAAATTAAAAACCTCCTTTAAAATTAACCAGAAATGTGCCGGTGTGGTGACTCATGCCTGTAATCCCAGCAAATTGGGAGGCCGAGGCAGGCAGATCACCAGGTCAAGAGATCGAAACGATCCTGGCTAACACGGTGAAACCCCGTCTCTACTAAAAATACAAAAAATTACCAGGCATGGAGATGGGCGCCTGTAGTCCCAGCTACCCAGGAGGCTGAAGCAGGAGAATGGCATGAACCCAGGAGGTGGAGTTTGCAGTGAGCCGAGATCGCGCCACTGCACTCCAGCCTGGGCAATAGAGTGAGACTTTGTCTCAAAACACACACACACACACACACACACACACACACACACACACACACAATTATTGTATAACTTCAGCTCCTTCCAAAAAAGAGAGAACAAAACAACCATCCACCTTATGGAACAATGAATGATAAATGAAGGCCACACATACCTACTAAATAGAAAGCTGTAACTAAGTATCTTGACAATAGAAACAGAGGTGAAATGAAAGAATAGACAGTAAAGACATGTGGTCTACAAGGAAAAAGTCAGACTGAGGTAAATCATTTTTAAACAAAGGGGAAGGAGGGAGGAACAAACAAAAAACGAGACATGACCAGTCAATCAAATATGAGCTTACAAGAAAAGCTTGTGTTCGTAATATATGCCAAATAACACTGGATAGCATTTACTCTACAATGTGTTTTGTGTAAATACTTATGTAACAAAGAGTTTAATTTGTTTACTGTAAAATAACACATCCCAAGAGTTAACCAGGATCATTCATCTGAAAGCTGAAACATTCTTACAACAGAGAGAGAGAAGAAAAAACAATAAAGTTCCAGCAACTTAACACCTGGAGAAAGAATTTTTATTCAGAATTCAAAAGAGTAATGTATGTCCCGAAAAATATGTATTTAATAGAACATAGCCAGGACTTCAAAAATTTAAGAAAATTTAAACTAAAATCCTAATCCAATCTTCCAGTTAGAAGATATTAGAAAACACGCTGTATCCACCTTTCCTATTTCCTTTCCATCTTTTCTAATTTTTATTTTCTTCTATATGACATATTTTATCAACATAACTTATACATTCTCAACATTAGAAGAAAATATAAATTCAAAACATTCAAGAAATTTAATAGATTTAATTATGAGATCTGCCATGCATATTATGTTACCTGTAACATTCCATTATAAAAATTTGCCTGTTTGTTGATTCACATTAAAAACTATTAAAATGTTTCTTAGATGTAAGACCTTATTCTAGGTACTCCAGGATACACACAAAGAGGTTTCCTAGCTTCAAGTGGTTCATAGTAATGCAGCAGCTTTACATTATTTTTTCAAGAACTAAGCACAAAAGCCTCTGAAATTTGAAATTTAGAATGAGATACAAAGACCCTGAGTGGATTTTCTTTAAATTACGATGCAACAACTTTGTGAAATTAAAGTCTGACCATAGGAATATGAAGAGTCTCTGCTTATCAAACAGCTTGTTGTTTTAAACGAAATGCATATTCTTCAATTAGATAAAGAGTTTAAAGTATACTCTTAGTAAAAAGGACTTGGAAAACACAGTGTAAATCCTCTGTAATACAGATGTGAGAACGGAATTTAAATTTCTGATCTCCCACCACTTTGTGAAATTAGACAAAAAGGTTTGCTGTATTGCCAGGCTTGGTCTGGAACTCCGGGGCTCAGGAATTCTCCTGGCTTGATCTCTTCAATAGGTGGGACTACAGGCACATGATACCATGTCTAGTTACATTTCCACAATTTCTAATATTATTTTAGTCTAATTATAGAACCAAGAATAAAAATAAATAGCTCTCTGCAAAAATACTGGATGATGACAAAATAGGTGTGCAAGAAATAAAAAGAAACGATATGCTATGTGTAACAGGGTGATTCCATGGTTCCTATAACAAGTCATCTGATGTATTAAAGATTCATTTAAGCAGAGGTATTATTAGTCATACTCAAATGATATGTAACTCAAAGGAAAGACACTTACTCAAATAAGCCTAGAACAAAATTTGTACCTCCTCTATTGTGGGAAAGCATTCCCAAACATCATTTTTCTATCACTATATTTTCCAGCCTTTTTTTTTTTCAGATCACACCCTTCAAAGTCTTTATCAACTACTTCTTATTTGCCAAAGCAAAAAAAAAAAATTAAAATTAACCCCTCCTATATCTTCAAAATGATTATCTCTAATAAAATTTCTATACAAACATGAAACAATGATAGGTAGACAACTGCTAACTTTTAGAAGAAAATAATATAGAAAATGAGATTCAGAGTGAGAAAATTAATTTCACAAGAGAGTACTCTACCTCAGATTCCAAATCAAACTCATTCTTTGTCACAGGCTGTGCAACAATATCTGGTATGTAGAGACTCCTACAGAACAAAAAGATACAACAAAAATGAGTACGTTCATTTTTTAAAAGAAAACAAAAACCATCAGTCTATACATGCAGTCCTCTCCAAAAAAAAGGGTAAAACTAAGTCTGAGGAAGGTCAGTTATCTGTATATTAAATAATATTTCTTGGTATAATTAAGATATGGCCTCTGTTTTAGAAAACATTTCAGTTACCTATTTCTGCATCCACCTCTCCCAGCCTATGAAATATCCAATGCAGACTCACCCTTAAACCCATAGCAAATAGTGGCAGGCAATATAATGGCACATCCAGACAATAATTTGTCCTTATAAATTATCTACCTGAAAGGCTAAACTGAAAATCCAATAGATATCTGACAAAACTTTTGTTACTGAACTGGAGTAAACCTGATGAGCTACAACAAGGTAGAAAAGGCACTGTCTCTTCCCTATTATCTATTTCTGATTCAAAGACTAATCTGTGTCACTGGAAAATAGGAGTCTTAGATCTTCAGCTTTTAAGCTACTAAAAGAGGGCCCATTGATTCTCTTTACCCTAGAACACTCCAGGGAGCCCCCTGAAACACTGCAAATGTTTGAAAGCTGAGTGTACAAAAGTCAAAGTACAAATGTACATGTTGTTATGTTGTTATTGGGAATATTCTTCACAGAAAATTGAAACAATAAAATTTTTAAATCCAATTATTGTCATTATAGATCCTGCCTTACTCAGGTCCACAAAAACCAGCAAGCTTAAGAACCTTCATAGACACTCAGATACCCAAGAGAGAGAATGCTGGAAAAGTCTCCATCCTGAGTATGTATGGCTCCATTCCATTCATCACTGTCTAAATATCTTCCTTCCTAGGGGTTCCCACTTCTGGATCCCTCTTCTGGAGATCCATGGCAATCTCCACTCTACATCTTCAGCCTAGGAAAGCCCAGATTCCTCAAAAGACCAGCTATAATAATTGAGAGTAGGAGCTCTCTATTCCTCTGCTTCTGGAAAGTAAGTCAGTCTCAGTCATCCACCCCAAGCATATGCGTGTTACCGACTACCCACCTGAAGCTTCATTGCTGATTTGCCAGCCAAACCTACATTTGACCTACCCTACGTGTATGTGAGAGAATTGAGAAAAGAGGCAGAAAAAAGGAGACATCCACCCTGGCTCACAGATCTATGTACTTAAGCAATCTCCAGCTCCCTAGTTCTTGAGGGGTTCTAAGCCCTCTGTAAGCTGGGGTGGAAGAAGATGATACCACATTCCTATCTGCTCTAGAGACTCTTTCCTGTGGCTCAAATCCTTTTAACACTTTTCAATAAAAACCTTGAAATCTGTCAGTTCCTCCGGTTAAACAAAAAGGCAGCAACCTCTTCAGAACTCCAAGAATGTCCCAATATGCCTTTCTTCATAACTCCCACCATCCTGTGTTTTCAATTCCCTTATCTTTATCAAACTTGTAATAAAAGCAAATATTTGGATTTTTTCCTAAAACCCTCATTTCTGTCCAACTAAGTATTCGATTCTCTTCAACTTTGGCTGTCCCTTGAAAATTCCACTCTCACCCACTTTCATTGGGTTCAACACCTCATTCCATGCTCATCCTCTTCCACTGTGTTCACTAGACCCACTCCCTCTTTCTAAAACTAAAATCACTCAATGACAGAATGATGTCAAAGAAGACTGGGTTTTGAATTAAGAAACCTGAATGCAAATCTCACTTCTGCAATTTACTGTATCCAAATAATTTTCTCCCTTTGAGTTTCAGGTTCTCCACCTGAACAACCACTTGATCAGGATGCTCAACAAGGACTCAAGTATTAGAGGATATTTTCTTTAGTCTCTAGGAATTCCGAAAATTCTGAAATTATATGCACCTCTGATATTATCTATAGGAAAATGGGGAATATTTAGTTGCCGTACATGAGAACTATAATAGAAGATCATAAACCCTAAGAAAAGCAGAAGAGAAAGTAAAAAGAAAACAGGAAAATATTATTAAAATGTCTCAGAAGGAAAAAAAGAATCCAGAAAATAAGAAAAAGCTTCAGCATACTAGGCAGGGTACTCACTTAAAGAGAAACCCAAACCGGGTAGGCAGCAAGTAGAGAAATGAATTAGAAATATCCTTTTAATATAGGCTAAATATAGTTAACATTACATGGACTATATGTAGATATTCTCCATGCACAGGCAGACAATATTTTTCTAGGACTGGCCTGGTCTTTCTTATGAAAAACGTAGGGACCAGCAGCTACAGATAACTGATACCTGCCTTTAAAACGTTGATGGTTAAAAAAAAAAAAAAAAAAATGTAATATGGTTACTACTGCCATTTCCAAAATATTTGGACAAACTTTTGGAGTAGACAGGCTTCAAAACAACACTCTAAAGAGAGTTAATATGTAACAAAATGTGACTTTCTGAATTGATCTGATGTAAATCAGTACCGTGATCCCATTGCCGCATAGATCTCTATCCATCCATACTTATGGGCAAAATAAGTGTTTTGAGAGCCAGGCAGGATGATGGTCAAATCATGGGTTGGCTACCTGTTAACTGTGGAATCATGAGCCAGTATTTCAACCTCTTTAAACCAGAGTTCCCTAATTAGTAAAAAAGCAATAATAGCACGAATAGTTTGTAAAGCTGTGTGAAGATGACATGACATGATAAATGTTAAGCATGTAATACATTGTCTAGCACAGAGCAGAACAATAAACAGATGCTAGTTTCTATTCTCTCTATTCACTTAGTTAACATATCACTTTAAAAAATCTGTGAAGTCATACCTGTCAAAACACTCTTCAACAGGAGGAAGCACTATTAAACAAAAAGTAAAATGCATTTTAAATCAACAATAGAAAACTATAGAATATTAAAAACATAAAAGAGCACAGCAGCTTGTTCCTATAATCTCAGCTACTCAGAAGGCTGAGGCAGAAGTATCACTTGAGAAGCCCATCAGTTTGAGACCAGCTTGGGCAACATAGCAAGAATCTATCCTTATAAAAATAATAATAATAATAATAATAAACCAGAAGGCCTGGCGTGGTGAGTCACACCTGTAATCCTAGCAGCTTGGGAGGCTGAGGTGGGTGAATCACTTGAGGTTAAGAGTTTGAGACCAAGCTGCACAACACGGTGAAACTCTGTCTCTACTAAAAATACAAAAAGTAGCCAGGTGTGGAGGTGCACACCTGTAATCCTAGTTACTTCGGAGGCTGAGGCAAGAGAATCACTTAAACCCAGGAGGTGGAAGTTGCAGTGAACGAAGATCGTGCCACTGCACACCAGCCTGGGCTGCAGAGTAGTAAGACTGTGTTTCGAAAAGAAAAAAAAAAAGAAAGAAATGAAGAATAAGTAAATAATACAATAGGCAGGCTCCAAATAACTTACCATCTTCTATAGATTTTGGAGAAATAATCTTTCTCTTCGGGATGTATAGTTTTGAAATAATCTAGAAGAAAAACACAATAGGTTTAAGAATAACATGCAACTTAAATTAATTAGCCACAATTACTACATGATCTAACACAAAAAGTATAGACATTGAAGTCACTCATATGTAGATTCAAACCTCAAGTCTGCCATTTACTTATCTACATATTCTCATGGTGTGATGATTATGATTGGTGATACAGATATTCTCAAAATGTTACGCCTTTCAACACTATTTATTATGCAAATACTATGATATCCATTAGTTTCTTTTATTAACCACAACAAACTGGAACAAAAATTTACTCAAATGTAATTTAGAGTATTACTGAATAAAACTAATTATAAAAAAGTAAATTAATCACATTATTTTTCAAAATATGTATGCATGATATATATTTGTATGAATTGCATTTTGTGGGAAAAATGTGAGAATGTAGTTTTTAGTAGTACTGTATTTAAATACGTTGGCATCGGAAACAGTACGAGTTGATTCTATTCTGTGTGTCAAAAGCTAAAAACAAATTATTGTATAACTTCAGCTCCTTCCAAAAAAGAGAAAACAAAACCACCATCCACCTTATGGAGCAATGAATGATAAATGAAGGCCACACATACCTACTAAATAGAAAGCTGTAACTAAGTATCTTGGCAATAGAAACAGAAGTGAAATGAAAGAATAGACAGTAAAGACATGTGGTCTGCAAGGAAAGAGTCAGACTGAGGTAAATCATTTTTAAACAAAGGGGAAGGAGGGAGAAACAAACAAAAAATGAGACACGACCAGTCAATCAAATATGAGCTTACAAGAAAAGCTTGTGTTCACAATAGATGCCTAATAACACTGGATAGCATTTACTCTACAATGTGTTTTGTGTAAATACTTATGTAACAAAGAGTTTAATTTGTTTACTGTAAAATAACACATCCCAAGAGTTAACCAGGATCATTCATCTGAAAGCTGAAACATTCTTACAACAGAGAGAGAGAAGAAAAAACAATAAAGTTCCAGCAACTTAACACCTGGAGAAAGAATTTTTATTCAGAACCCGAAAGAGTAATGTATGTCCTGAAAATTATGTATTTAATAGAACACGGCTGGGGCTTTGAAAATTTAAGAAAATGGAATCTAAAATCCTAATCTAAGCTTCCAGTTGGAAGATATTAGAAAACACGTTGTATCCGCTTTTCCTACTTCCTTTTCATCTTTTCTAATTTTTATTTTCTTCTATAAGACATATTTTATCAACATAACTCAACTTACACATTCTCAACATTAGAAGAAAATATAAAATCAAAACATTCAAGAAATTTAATAGATTTAATTATGAGATCTGCCATGCATATTATGTTACCTGTAACATTCCATTATAAAAAGCCCCTTTGCCTGTTTGTTGATTCACATTAAAAACTATAAAAATGTTTTGTTACATGCAAGACCTTATTCTGGGTACTCCAGGATACATACAAAGAGGTTTTCTAGCTTCAAGTGGTTCATAGTAATGCAGCAGCTTTACAATTATTTTTTCTGAAGTAAGCACAAAAGCCTCTGAATTTGAAATTTAGAATGAGATACAAACACGCTGAGTGGATTTTCTTTTAATTACGATGCAACAACCTTGTGAAATTAAAGTCTGACCATAGGGATATGAAGAGTCTGTGCTTATCAAACAGGTTGTTATTTTAAACTAAATTTATATTCTTCAACTAGATAAAGAGTTTAAAGCATACTCTTAATAAAAAGGACTTGGAAAACACAGTGTAAATCCTCTGTAATACAGATGTGAGAACACAATGTAAATTTCTGATCTCCCACAACTTTGTAAAATTAGAGATAAGGTTTGCTGTATTGCCAAGATTGGTCTGGAACTCCTGGGCTCAAGAATTCTCCTGGCTTGATCTCTTCAATAGGTGGGACTACAGGCACATGATACCATGTCTAGTTAAAATTCCACAATTTCCACTATTTGGAATTCCACAAATTCCAAATAGCTCTCTGCAAAAATACTGTATGACAACAAAATAGATGTACAAGAAATAAAAAAGAAACTATATGCTATGTTTAACAGGGTGATTCCATGGTTCCTGTAACAAGTCATCTGAGGTATTAAAGATTCATTTAAATGGAGGTATTATTAGTCATACTCATATGATATATAACTCAAAGTAAAGACACGTACTCAAATAAGCCTAGACAAAAATTTGCATCTGCTCTATTGTGGGAAAGCTTTTCTGTCGCTATGTATTTTCCAGCAATTTTTTTTCAGATCACACCTCTCAAAGTATTTATCAACTATTTCTTATTTGCCAAATTAACAAAAATTAAAATTAACCCCTCCTATTCCTTTAAAATGGTTATCTCTAAAAAAAGTTATAATACAAACATAAAACAATGATAGGTAGACAACAGCTAACTTTTAGAAGAAAATAACATAAAAATGAGATTCAGAGTGAGAAAATTGATTTCACAAGAGAGTACTCTACCTCAGATTCCAAAGCAAACTCATCCTCTGTCACAGGCTGTGCAACACTATCCGGCCTACAGAGACTCCTACAGAGAAAAAAGATACAACAAAAATGAGCACGTTCATTTCTTAAAAGAAAACAAAAACCATCAGTCTATATATGCACGTCCCCTTGAAAAAAAAAAAAGGTAAAACAAGGTCTGAGGAAGGTCAGTTATCTGTATATTAAATAATATTTCTTGGTATAATTAAGATATGGCCTCTGTTTTAGAAAACATTTCAGTTACCTATTTCTGCCTCCACCTCTCCCAGCCTATGAAATATCCAATGCAGACTCACCCTTAAACCCGTAACAAATAGTGACCAGGCAATATAATGGCACAGCCAGACAATAATTTGTCCTTACAAATTATCTACCCTAATGGCTCAACTGAAAATCCAATTGATATCTGACACAGCTTTTGTTAATGAACTGGAGTAAACCTGATAACCTAAAACAAGGTAGAAAAGGGACCGTCTCTTCCCCATGATCTATTTCTGAATCAGAGACTAATCTGTGTCACTGAAAAATGGGAGTCTTGGATCTTCAGCTTTTAAGCTACTAAAAGAGGGCCCATTGATTCTCTTTACCCTAGAACACGCCAGGGAGCCCCCTGAAACACTGCAAATGTTTGAAAGCTGAGTGTACAAAAGTCAAAGTACAAATGTATATGTTGTTATTGGGAATATTGTTCAAAGCAGATTAAAACATTAAAAATTACAAAATCCAATTATTGTCATTATATACATCCTGCCTTATTCAGGTCCACAAAAACCAGCAAGCTTAAGAAGTTTCATAGACACTCAGACACCCAAGAGAGAGACTGCTGGAAAAGCCTCCCTCCTGAGTACGTACGGCTCCATTCCATTCATCACTGTCTAAATATCCTCCTTCCTAGGGGCTCCCACTTCTGGATCCCTCTTCTGCAGCAATCCATGGCAATCTCCACTCTATATCTTCAGCCTAGGAAAGCCCAGATTCCTCAAAAGACCAGCTATAATAATTGAGAGTAGGAGCTCTCTATTCCTCTGCTTCTGGAAAGTAAGTCAGTCTCAGTCATCCACCCCAAGCATACGCATGTTACCGAATACCCACCTGAAGCTTCATTGCTGATTTGCCAGCAAATCCTACATTTGCCCTACCCTACGTGTATGTGAGAGAACTGAGAAAAGAGGCAGAAAAAAGGAGACATCCACCCTGGCTCACAGATCTATATGTACTTAAGCAATCTCCCTAGTTCTTGAGGGGATCAAAGCCCTCTGTAAGCAGGGGTGGAAGAAAATGATACCATATTCTTATCTGCTCCAGAGACTCTTTCCTGTGGCTCAAACACTTTTAACATTTTTCAGTAAAAACCTTGAAGTTTGTCAGTTCCTCCAGTTAAACAAACAAAAAGGTAGCAATCTCTTCAGAACTCCTTGAATGCCATATTCCGCCTTTCTTCATAGCTCCCAAAATCCTGTGTTTTCAATTCCATTATCTTTATCAAACTTGTATTAAAGGCAAATATTTGGATTTTTTCCTAAAACCCTCATTTCTGTCCAACTAAGTGTTCATTTCTCTTCAACTTTGGCTGTCCCCTTAAAATTCCATTCTCACCCACTTTCATTGGGTTTAACAGCTCATTCCATGCTCATCCTCTTCCGCTGTGTTCACTAGACCCACTCCCACTTTCTAAAACTAAAATCACTCAATGACAGAATGATGTCAAAGAAGACTGGGTTTTGAATTAAGAAACCTGAGTGCAAATCTCACTTCTGCGATTTACTGTATCCAAATAATTTTCTCCCTTTGAGTTTCAGATTCTCCACCTGAACAACCACTTGATCAGGATGTTCAACAAGGATTCAAGTACTAGAGCATACTTTGTTTAGTTTCTAGGAATTCCTAAAATTCCGAAATTATATGTACCTCTGATTTTGTCTGTAGGAAAATGGGGAATATTTAGCTGCTGTACATGAGAACTGTAATAGAAGATCATAAACCCTAAGAAAAGCAGAAGAGAAAGTAAAAAGAAATCAAGAAAATATTATTAAAATATCACAGAAGGTAAAAAAAAAAAAAAGAAAAAGAAAAAGAAACCAGAAAATAAGAAAAAGCTTCAGCGAACTAGGCAGGGTACTCACTTAAAGAGAAAACCAAACTGGGTAAGCAGTAAGTAGAGAAATGAATTAGAAATATCCTTTTAATATAGGCTAAATATAGTTAACATAGTATGGACTATATGTAGATATTCCCCATGCACAGTCAGAAAATATTTTTCTAGGACTGGTTTGGTCTTTCGAAAAACTTAGGGTCCAGCGGCCACAGATAACCGATATCTGCCTTTAAAACTTTGATGGTTAAAAAAAAAAAAAAAGTAATATGGTTACCACTGCCATTTCCAAAATATTTGGACAAACTTTTGGAGTAGACAGGCTTCAAAACAACACTCTAAAGAGAGTTAATATGTAACAAAATGTGACTTTCTGAACTGATCTGATGTGAATCAGTACTGTGATCCCATTGCCGCATAGGTCTCTATCCATCCACGCTTAGGGGAAAAAGAAGTGATTTAAGAGCCAGGCAGGGTGATGGCCAAATCATGGGTTGGCTACCTGTTAACTGTGGAATCATGAGCCAGTATTTCAACCTCTTTAAACCAGAGTTGCCTAATTAGTAAAAAAGCAATAATAGCACGAATAGCTTGTAAAGCTGTGTGAAGAAGACATGATACGATAAATGTTAAGCATGTAATACATTGTCTAGCACAAAGCAGAACACTAAAGAGATACTAGCTTCTATTCTCTCTATTCACTAAGTTAAACATATCAATTTTAAAAATCTGTTAAATCATACCTGTTTAAACACTCTTCAGCAGGAGGAAGCACTATTGAATGAAAAGTAAAATGCATTTTAAATCAACAATAGAAAACTAAGGAATATTAAAAACATAAAAGAGCACAGCGGCTTGTTCCTATAATCTCAGCTACTCAGAAGGCTGAGGCAAAAGTATCACTTGAGAAGCCCAGGAGTTTGAGACCAGCCTGGGCAACATAGCATGAATCTATCCTTATAAAAAAGATACTAATAATAAACAAGAAGGCCTGGTGGGGCACACCTGTAATCCTAGCAGTTTGGGAGGCCAAGGTGGGTGGATCACTTGAGGTCAAGAGTTTGAGACAAGCCTGGACATCATGGTGAAACTCTGTCTCTCCTAAAAATACAAATATGGCCCAGGTGTGGTGGTGCACACCTCTAATCCCAGTTACTCGGGAGACTGAGGCAGGAGAATCACTGGAACCCAGGAGGTGGAAGTTGCAGTGAGCCAAGGTCTCATCACTGCACTGCAGCCTGGGCTGTAGACTAGTAAGACTGTATTTCAAAGAAAAAAAGAAAGAAAGAAAGAAAGACAAAGAAAAAGAAATGAAGAATAACTAAATAATACAATAGGAAGGTTTCAAATAGCTTACCATCTTCTGCAGATTGTGGAGAAATAATCCTTCTCTTTGGGATGTATGGTTTAGAAATAATCTAGAAGAAAAACACAATAGGTTTAAGAATACATGAAGCAAGTTAAAATAATGATAATTGCCACCATTACTACACAATCTAACACAAAAAGTATAGACATTGAAGTCACTCATACGTGGATTCATACCTCAAGTGTGCCATTTACTTATCTACGTATTCTCGTGGTGTGATGATTATGATTGGTGATTCAGATATTCTCAAAAGGTTACTCTTTCAACCCCAGTTGATTATTATACAAATACTCTGATATTCATTAGTTTTTTTATTAACAACAACAAACGAGGACAAAAATTTACTCATATGTAATTTAGAGTATTAGTGAATAAAACGAATAATAAAAAGGTAAATTAATCAGGTTATTTTTCAAAATATATACACATAATATGTATTTGTGTAAATTGCATTTTGTGGGAGACAATGTGAGAATGTAGTTTTTAGTAGCACTATATTTAAATGCGTTGGTATTGGAAACAGAACAAGCTGCTTCTATTTCATGTGTCAAAAGCAAAAAACAAATTATTGTATAACTTCAGCTCCGTCCAAAAAAGAGAGAACAAAACAACCATCCACCTTATGGAACAATGAGTGATAAATGAAGGCCACACACACCTACTAAATAGAAAGCTGTAACTAAGTATCCTGACAATAGAAACAGAGATGAAATGACAGAATAGACAGTAAAGACATGCAGTCTGCAAGGAAAAAGTCAGACTGACGTAAATCATTTTTAAACAAAGGTGAAGGAGGGAGGAACAAACAAAAAAAAAAAGAGACATGACCAGTCAATCAAATATGAACTTAAAAGAAAAGCTTGTGTTCACAATAGATGCCTAATAACACTGGATAGCATTTACTCTACAATGTGTTTTGTGTAAATACTTAGGTAATAAAGAGTTTAATTTATTTAGTATAAAATAACATCCCAAGAGTTAACCATGATCATTCACCTGAAAACTGAAACATTCTTACTACAGAGACAGAGAAATATTGAGAGAGAGAAAGCAAAAAAAAATAAAAATAAAAATAAAAATAAAGTTCCAGCAACTTAACACCTGGAGAAAGAATTTTTGTTCTGATTTTGAAAGAGTAATGTATGTCCTGAAAAGTATGCATTTAATAGAACATAGTTGGGGCTTTAAAAATTTAAGAAAATTTAATCTAAAATCCTAATCCAAGCTTCCAGTTAGAAGATATTAGAAAACATGCTGTATCCACCTTTCTTATTTCCTTTCCATCTTTTGTAATTTTTATTTTCTTTTTTATGACATTTTATCAACATAACTCAGCTAATACATTCTCAACATTAGAGGAAAAGATAAATTCAAAACATTCAAGAAATGTAAAAGATTTAATTATGAGATCTGCCATGCATATTATGTTACCTGTAACATTCCATTATTAAAAAAGCCATTCGCCTGTTGTTGATTCACATTAAAAACTATTAAAATGTTTCACACATGCAAGACCTTATTCTGGGTACTCCAGGATACATACAAAGCGGTTTCCTAGCTTCAGGTGGTGGTTCATAGTAATGCAGCAGCTTTACAGTTATTTTTTAATAACTAAGCACAAAAGCCTCTGAAATTTGAAATTTACAATGAGATACAAAGACCCTCACTGGAAATTTTTTTAATTACAATGCAAAACCCTTGTGAAATTAAAGTCTGACCTTAAGAATATGAAGAGTCTCTGCTTATCAAACAGGCTGTTATTTTAAACAAAATGCATATTCTTCAATTAGATAAAGAGTTTAAAGTATACTCTTTTTTGTTTTCGTTTTGTTTTGTTTTGTTTTTGAGATGGAGTCTCGCTCTGTCGCCCACGCTAGAGTGCAGTGGTGCGATCTCGACTCACTGCAAGCTCCGCCCCTCGGGTTCACGCCAATCTCCCGCCTCAGCCTCCCGTGTAGCCAGGACTACAGGCGCCCACCACCACGCCCGGCTAATTTTTTTTTTTTTTAGTAGAGACAGGGTTTCACCATGTTAGCCACGATGGTCTCGATCTACTGACCTCGTGATCCGCCCATTTTGGCCTTCCAAAGTGCTGGGATTAAAGGCGGGAGCCACCGCGCCCAGCTAAAGTATACTCTTAATAAAAAGGGCTTGGAAAACACAGTGTAAACTCTCTGTAATACCGATGTGAGAACAGAATTGAAATTTCTCATCTCCCACCACTTTGTAAATTAGGGAGAAGGTCTGCTGTATTGCCAGGCTTGGTCTGGTACTCCTGGGCTCAAGAATTTCCTGGCTTGATCTCTTGAATAGGTGGCACTACAGGCACATGATACCATGCCTAGTTAAATTTCCACAATTTCTAATATTATTTTAGTCTAATTATAGAATCAAGAATAAAAATAAATAGCTCTCTGCAAAAATACGGCATGATGACAAAATAGGTGTATAAGAAATAAAAAGAAACTATATGCTATGTGTAACAGGGTGATTCCTTGGTTCCTATAACAAGTCATCTGATGTATTCAAGATTCATTTAAACAAAGGTATGATTAGTCATACTCATATGATATACAACTCAAAGTAAAGACACTTACTCCAATAAGCCTAGACCAAAATTTGTATCTGCTCTATTGTGGGAAAGCGTTCCCAAACATCATTTTTCTGTCACTATGTATTTTCCAGCAATTTTTTTCCAGATCACAGCACTCAAAGTATTTATCAACTATTTATTTGCCAAATTAACAAAAATTAAAATTAACCCCTCCTATTTCTTTAAAATGGTTATCTCTAATAAAAGATATAATACAAACAGAAAACAATGATAGGTAGACAACAGCTAACTTTTAGAAGATAATAATATAAAATGAGATTCAGAGTGAGAAAACTGATTTCACAAGAGAGTACTCTACCTCAGATTCCAAATCAAACTCATCCTCTGTCACAGGCTGTGCAATATTATCCGGTCTACAGAGACTCCTACAGAGGAAAAAGATACAACAAAAATGAGCACGTTCATTTCTTAAAAGAAAACAAAAACCATCAGTCTATATATGCACGTCCCTTCCAAAAAAAAAGGTAAAACAAAGTCTGAGGAAGGTCAGTTATCTGTATATTAAATAATATTTCTTGGTATAATTAAGATATGGCCTCTGTTTTAGAAAACATTTCAGTTACCTATTTCTGCCTCCACCTCTCTCAGCCTATGAAATATCCAATGCAGACTCACCCTTAAACCTGTAACAAATAGTGACCAGGCAATATAATGGCACAGCCAGACAATACTTTGTCCTTATAAATTATCTACCCTAAAGGCTAAACTGAAAATCCAGTTGATATCTGACATAACTTTTGTTACTGAACTGGAATAAACCTGATAACCTAAAACAAGGCACTGTCTCTTCCCCGTTAACTATTTCTGATTCAAAGACTAATCTTTGTCACTGGAAAATAGGAGTCTTGGATCTTCAGCTTTTAAGTTACTTAAAGAATGCCCACTGATTCTCTTTACCCTAGAACACTACAGGGAGCCCCCTGAAACACTGCAAATGTTTGAAAGCTGAGTGCACAAAAGTCAAAGTACAAATGTACATGTTCTTATGTTGTTATAGGGAATACTCTTCATAGAAGATTAAAACATTAAAAATTTTAACATCCAATTATTGCATTATACAGATCCTGCCTCATTCAGGTTCACAAAAACCAGCAAACTTAAGAACCTTCATAGACACTCAGATACCCAAGAAAGAGACTGCTGGAAAAGTCCATCCTGCGTACGTACGGCTCCATTCCATTCATCACTGTCTAAATATCTTCCTTCCTAGGGGCTCCCACTTCTGGATCCCTCTTCTGCAGAGATCCATGGCAATCTCCAATCTACATCTTCAGCCTAGGAAAGCCCAGATTCCTCAAAAGACCAGCTATAATAATTGAGAGTAGGAGCTCTCTATTCCTCTGCTTCTGGAAAGTAAGTCAGTCTCAGTCATCCACCCCAAGCATACGCATGTTATTGACTACCCACCTGAAGCTTCATTGCTGATTTGCCAGCCAATCCTACATTTGACCTACCCTACTTGTATGTGAGAGAACTGAGAAAAGAGGCAGAAAAAAGGAGACATCCACCCTGGCTCACAGATCTATGTACTTAAGCAATCTCCCTAGTTCTTGAGGGGTTCTAAGCCCTCTGTAAGCTGGGATGGAAGAAGATGATACCACATTCCTATCTGCTCCAGAGACTCTTTCCTGTGGCTCAAATCCTTTTAATACTTTTCAATAAAAACCTTGAAATCTGTCAGTTCCTCCAGTTAAACAAAAAGGCAGCAACCCCTTCAGAACTCCTTGAATGTCCTATTCTCATACGTCTTTCTTCATAATTCCCAACATCCTGTTTTCAATTCCCTTATCTTTATCAAACTTATAAGAAAGCCAAATATTCAGATTTTTCCCTAAAACCTTCATTTCTATCCAACTAAGTGTGTGTTTCTCTTCAACTTTGGCTGTCCCCTGAAAATTCCATTCTCACCCACTTTCATTGGGTTCAACAGCTCATTCCATGCTCATCCTCTTCCGCTGTGTTCACTAGACCCACTCCCACTTTCTAAAACTAAAATCACTCAATGACAGAATGATGTCAAAGAAGACTGGGTTTTGAATTAAGAAACCTGAGTGCAAATCTCACTTCTGCAATTTACGGTATCCAAATAATTTTCTCCCTTTGAGTCTCAGGTTCTCCATCTGAACAACCACTTGATCAGGATGTTAAACCAGCATTCAAGTACTAGAGGATATTTTGTTTAGTCTCTAGGATTTCTTAACATTCTGAACTTCTGTGTACCTCTGAAATTGTCTGTAGGAAAATGGGGAATATTTAGCTGCCATAAATGAAAACTATAATAGAAAATCACAAACCCTTAGAGAAGCAGTAGAGAAAGTGAAAAGAAATCAAGAAAATATTAAAATGTCATAGAAGGAAAAATAAAGAATCCAGAAAATAAGAAAAAGCTTCAACGAACTAGGCAAGGTACTCACTTAAAGAGAAAACCAAAGTGGGTAGGCAGTAAGTAGAGAAATGAATTAGAAATATCCTTTTAATATAGGCTAAATACAGTTAATATTACATGAATTATATGTAAATATTCTGCATGCACAGTCAGATAATATTTTTCTAGGACTGGCCTTGTCTTGCTAATGAAAAACTTAGGGTCCTGCGGCCACAGGTAACTGATATCTGCCTTTTAAAAAAATAAGTAATATGGTTACTACTGCCATTTCCAAAATATTTGGACAAATTTTTGGAGTAGACAGGCTTCTAAATAACACTCTAAAGAGAGTTAATATGTAACAAAATGTGACTTTCTGAATTGATCTGATGTAAATCAGTACCGTGATCCCATTGCCACATAGGTCTCTATCCATCCACACTTATGGGCAAAATAAGTGTTTTGAGAGCCAGGCAGGATGATGGTCAAATCATGGGTTGGCTACCTGTTAACTGTGGAATCATGAGCCAGTATTTCAACCTCTTTAAACCAGAGTTGCCTAATTAGTAAAAAAAATAAATAAATAATAGCACAAATAGTTTGTAAAGCTGTGTGAAGATGACATGACATGATAAATGTACATGTAATGTGGTGTCTCGCACAGAGCAGAACACTAAACGGATACTAGTTTCTATTCTCTCTATTCACTTAGTTAACATATCACTTTAAAAAATCTGTGAAATCATACCTGTTTAAACACTCTTTAGCAGGAGGAAGCACTATCAAACAAAAAGTAAAATGCATTTTAAATCAACAATTGGAACCTGTAGAATATTAAAAACATAAAAGAGCACAATGGCTTGTTCCTATAATCTCAGCTACTCAGAAGGCTGAGGCAGAAGTATCACTTGAGAAGCCCAGGAGTTTGAGACCAGCTTGGGCAACACAGAAAGACTCTATCTTTATTTAAAAAAATATTTTAAAAATTTAAAAATATCCTGTAGACGGGGCTTGGTGGGTCACGTCTGTAATCCTAGCACTTTGGGAGGCCAAGGTGGGTGGATCATTTGAGGTCAGGAGTTCGAGATCAGCCTGGCCAACATGGTGAAAGCCGGTGTCTACTAAAAATACAACAATTACCAGGTGTTGTGGCGCACACCTATAATCTCAGCTACTCAGGAGACTGAGACAGGAGAATCACTTGAACCCAGGAGGTGAAAGTTGAAGTGAGCCAGGATTGCACATGTCTTTCATACAAAACATCAGAAGGATTTAAGCCATTATACTACAAATATTCATCATGTTCTTTGACTTGCCTGGTAATTGAACAGGTACACAATGACAATTACACTTTAGATGAATGTACACTTCAAAACTCCTCAGTGGAACTATCCCAAATTGATCTGCTTGGATATGTTTGGTGAATCCTGTTATATGGTATTCATTATTTTTCATACCCATGTGGTATAATAATGAGCCTACACTTCTTGTATTTTCTAGTTTAGCCTTCAAAAAGTTTTGTCAATCACTCATGGCAACAAGGTATAATATACAAACCCAATCAAAATATATAAAAAATTATCAAATCTGATATACTTACACAAAATAAAGCCGCTAAAACCATTAGACATGAGTAAGCTTTTCCATTTGGAAATCACTCCAATATTCATTAAAAATAAATATTTTAGGGGTCAATTAATGAATTCAACATTATTTTTGTTTCTAAAATAGTCTGGTTTGAAGGATCATGTTATTCTCTAAAGTATTTTCATTAAATTGCCATTTTATCCAAAAGTTAGCTCTCTGAGCAACAAAGCCAATGTATGCATATTCACGTTTACCCTATGTGAACAATTAATACCAACAAAACATATATTTCTGATGCCCAATAGTAACAAAGAGGGGTAATGAGTCACTGTGGGCCATCCCAATTCTAGCACTCTTTCCTGCTTCCAGCAGTTTTGGCTGGAGCAGCCAAAATCAAATCTTCTTTTATGCAAATATTCCAAATGCATCTGAAGTGAGTTCCATCAGCTTTCTTCAGCAGAAATCCCAAAATTGCAAAACTAACACCTTTTCCCTCCTTCCTGCCTCACAATCCCCTTCCTTGAGTAAAATAATTACAACATCAGAGGTCTCCTTAGTTCTCTTTCTACATTGTTTATAAGTTCTTCCAATCACTTCTTCCCTGTGGTTTTCTTGCCAATTTCATTGTGGGGAAGGATATAATCTTACTACTCAGATCATGGCCAAGGACCAACAGCATCAGCATCACCCAAGTACTTATTACAAATGCAGAATCTCAGGCCTGCTGAATCAGAATGTGCAGCTTCAATGAGCCCCCTGCGATTTATTCAGGGAAGGGAAGTTCTCTTCTATCCTGAGTGAACATGACATTAAATGTGTTTTGCAAAATTACCTGTCCCAGATTTTTCTCCATCCTTTATTTCTGTGGCTATATTTGAAACAGAATCTTTCTTTTCGCTTGTAGCCTGAATGAGATTTAAAACAAAATAATCAATAAGTAAACTACATTTCATAGACCATGCAGTTAATAGTTCAAAATATAATTGAGAGTGTAATTACCTTCAAGACTGGTTGTTTCTGAGAAGACACTGAAAAACAAAAGAGATACATAGTCAATCATATGTAAATATGGTAAATTTATCCCTACGTTCATGCAGTGTTAGCATCAAGCTGTATCCTCCTTCCTGTATTAGTGCAGGCTTTGATGTCTTCTACTTTGTGTCTTGGGACAGGAACATGACAGAAATATACTGAAGAAAACTGGAATACAGGCCTTTTGTAAGTGTATATATACACTTACAATTTCAAATGTGGTATAATTTGTCATATGTCTAAAACTAAAATGAAACAGTGTCAGTATCAATGCGGATTTGCCGAGTGGTGAGGACAAATGTGATCTAAAATCAGAGGAGCAACTCATACACCTGAGAGTTAATGTCAAAGCAGGTGGTACGTGCAACTGCATGTCTTCCTTGAAAGACATCAGAAAGATTTATACCATTAGACTACAAATATTTATCATGCTCTTTAACTTGCCCAGTTCCTGAGAAAGTACACTTCACGTCTCTTCAGTGGAAGTGTCCTAAATTGATCAGCTTGTGTATATGTTTGGTGAATCCTAGTAGATAATATTCATTATTTCTCACATTCATGTGGTGTAATAATTTGCCTAAGTTTCTAGTATCCTCTAGTTTAGCCTTTTGAAAGTTTCTTCATCCACTTGTGACAGAAAGGAGTAATATATAAACCTCAATAAAAAGTATTATCAATTATCAATTTTGACATACTTCTACAAAATAAAACTGCTACAAGCATTAGATAATAATAAGCTTTTACATTTGGAAACAGCTCCAATATTCATTGAAAATAACCATTTTAGGAGTCAATTGATGAATTCAACATTATTTTTGTTTTGAAAATAGTCTTGTTTGGAGTATCATGCTTTTCTCTAAAGCATTATCATTAAATAGCTATTTTATCCAAAAGTTAGCTCCTTGAAAAATGAAGCCAATGTCATCATATTTAAGTTTATCTCATTTTTATAACTAATATCAACAAAACAAGTATCTCTGATGCCTAATAGTAACAAAGAGGAATAACGAGTCACTGTGGATTATCCCAATTTTAGCACTCTTTCCTGTTTGCAGTAGTTCCTGGAGCTGCCAAAATCAGATCCTCTGTTATGCAAATATTCTAAACTCTTCTGAAGTTAGTTCACTCAGGTTTCCTCAGCAGAAACTGCAAAATTAAATAAATAACTTATTTTCCCTCCTTCCTGCTTCATAATCTCTCTTTTCTGAGGAAAATAATTATTACACCAATGGTCTTGTTACTTCTCATTCTACAGTGTTTATGTGTTGGTACGATCATCTCTTCCCTCTGGTCTTAGCAATACAATCTGATGCCTATAATTTCTATTACTTCATCTCTTTCTCCTTTCCCTCTTGATGGAAACATACTGTAGATTTAAAGCAAAATTATGTTTTCCCCTTAGTCTGTTATGTCTTGAACTGCTCACCAATGATTCTTCTTGCCAGTTTCAATATAGGGAAATGTATAATCTTACTACTCAGATCATGGCCAAGGACCAGCAGCATCAGCATCACCCAAGTACTTATTACAAATGCAGAATCTCAGGCCTGCTGAATCAGAATGTGCAGCTTCAATGAGCCCCCTGCGATTTATTCAGGGAAGGGAAGTTCTCTTCTATCCTGAGTGAACATGACATTAAATGTGTATTGCAAAATTACCTGTCCCAGATTTTTCTCCATCTTTTGTTTCTGTGGCTACATTTGAAGCAGAATCTTTCTTTTCACTTGTAGCCTGAATGGGATTTGAAACAAAACAATCAATACATAAAGTATATTTCACAGACTATGCAGTTAATAGTTCAAAACATAAATGAATGTGTAATTACCTTCAAGGCCGGTTGTTTCTGGGAAGACACTGACAAGCAAAACGGACACATAATCAATCATGTGTAAATATGATAAAGTTATCCATACATGCATGCAGTGTTAGCATCAAGCTGTATCCTCCTGCCTATATTAGTTTAGGTCTTTATGTTTTATATTTTGTGTCTTGGGACTGGAACACGATAGAAATACACTGAAGAAAACACGAATACAGGCTTCATGAAATATACACTTACAATTTCAAACGTGATATGATCTGTCATATGTCTAAAACTAAAATGAAACAGTGTCAGTATCAATGTGGATATGCTGGGGGATAAAAACAAATGTGGTCTAAAAACAGAGGAGCAACTGATACACCTGGGAATCAATGTCAAAGCAGGTGGTACACGCTCTCGCATGTCTTTAATGCAAGAGATCAGAAGGACATATACCATTATACTACAAACATTCATCATGCTCTTTAACTTGCCTGATAGCTAAGAAGGTACACAATTACAATGACACTTCAGCTGAATGTACACTTCATGTCTCCTCAGTGGAAGTGTCCTAAATTGATCAGCTTGGATATATGTTTGGTGAATTCTAGTAGATAGTATTCATTATTTCTCAGACTCATGAGGTGTAATAATTGCCTGTGTTTCTTGTGTCCTCTAGTTTAGCCTTCTAAAAGTCTTTTCATCCACTCATGGCAACAAGGTATAATATATAAACCTCAATAAAAAGTATCATCATTTATCAATATTAACATACTTCTACAAAATAAGACTGCTACAAGCATTAGATATTAATAAGCTTTTACATTGAGAAACAGCTCCAATATTCATTGACAATAACCATTTTAGGAGTCAATTAATGAATTCAACATTATTTTTGTTTCTAAAATAGTCTGAAGTATCATGTTATTCTCTAAGGAATTTTCATTAAATTGCTATTGTATCCAAAAGTTAGCTCCTTGAAGAACAAAGCCAATGTATGCATATTCATGTTTATTTCATTTGAATAATTAATATCAGCAAAATCTATGTCTCTGATTCCCAATAGTAACAAAGAGGAGTAATGAGTCACTGTGGTTTATCTGAATTCTATACCCTTCCCTTCCTCTAGTAGTTTCTGGAGCAGCCAAAATCAAATCATCCTTTACACAAATATTCTAAAATGCATTTGAAGTGAGTTCAGTTATACTTAGAGTCGTAATTTTAAAAATAATTTTCTTTGTACTCATGAAGGCTCCTAATATTCCTACATTTCCTGGATTCAGCAGTTCAGCTCTTTTGCCATCTCTTTTTCCACTTTTGCAAAAACATAGACATCAAAGAAATAATGCATAATCAGATTCCCATGTAAATAAGTTAAACAAAATCTCTAAATAACCAGAGACTTATTTTATTATTAACTAACCAAATATATATATGCACATATATATATGCACATATATATATATGTCATGATTGCCAAGATTATTGACAGTTACCCTTTTAGTACTCAAGAAATGCATTATTTGATTCCTTGTTCCTAAAGCTAGTTTGATATGATATACCATAGAGGTATCTCTGGTCCTTTTATGAAATAACTACCTCAGTAAACACAGCTTTCCTAAAGAAAAAAAAAAAAAAACTTTTTCTAGATTAAGCATCCCAATATGCTAACTGACATGAATGAAGCGCATATCATTGATGTGCAAAACTTCTACGGAGAAGAAATGAGACCCTGTGGGTCACCCTCATCCTTCTAACTTCTGCTTTCCATTAAGTGACTTTCCACAAGTCTCCTCATCAGAAACCTCCAAATTACCTAGCTAGATGCTTTGTTTACACCTGCCCAATTTGACATACACTCTTTTTCATTCATAAATCTAATATCCATATTGGTGGACTTCGTTCTTTGACCTCCACATTCATTTCTTCATTATTCTCACCACTGTATTGGGACGTCTGTACAATCCCATACTGACACATGTGAAGATAAGGTTTTGCTTTATTAAAATGTTAAATGTGTCAGACACGTGACTAACATGTACAAATTCCTTCTTCACAAAAGCAGCCCCATGGCCTCCTCTCTCCCATAGACACTCTGTTTCACAGCTGTTCTTCACTCACATCCGTTTGAGTATCTATCGTCTCTCATTTTGTCTCTATGCTTTCACTTCATATTACGAGTTATTATCATAGGCTCACCCATCTACCTTACCTATTTTCCTCTCCAGGAGACAGTACTGAGCAGTAAATTAGAATCTTCCAGGATATGAACACTTTTATATACACAAGACTTTGTGGAGCTATTTTATGTTTAACTATGAATAAAACCACTATTTCTATGCCTTCCAGAGAAACGGGCTCTGAAATGTTATTGAACGTAACCTATTTAAAAACTTCTTTAACTACAATCACACTGTCTCTCCTCAATGCACCAATATCTTCAGAAATAACTTGTGAAGACTTGAAAACATGTCAGTAATTGACATGAAAAATGAAGCACTGACATAATTTTTTGCAGATATAAATAAGACACGTTGAGATCCTTACTAGATCTGAGAAGAGTGCCATGAGACAGGAAATAAATATGGAACAAAAATATTTTCATTTGTAATGAAAATTATTCTATTTACAGTTTTCAGAAGAGAAAAAATACACACACACACACACACACACACACACACATACACACATTCACACAAAAAAAACAGAGCAATATGGCTTTACAGGGTGTTTTGTCTTCAAGGCCCTATTTGTCATTTGACATCCGGGAACAATCTATAAGGATCAACAAAGGGGTTCGAAATTGTGACCTGAGTAGTTTAGAGTTTAACATTCATGAAGAGGAACCGAGAGGACAAGTAACACTTTGACCATTGGCCATTTCCTCTCCTTACTGACATTCTCTGAAAAGCACACACTGGATTTTCTCAGGGTTATGACATGTCAAAAAGACATGCTTTAAGGGGGAAACAGGTGCAATCAGCACAGCCATGGGAGAGATACAGCTATGCTTGCTAGGATTTCCAATACTTCTGTTTCATTTCTAATATAGTACAAATCAATAAAAGCAACCACATGAGCATATCCATGTTGGTATGTCATCATATTTAAGTTGATATGGTATCAGCACGAAGAGAGCATAATATGCTGTAGTTACCACATGGAATATCATGAGATCATATAATAAATCAAGAAATACCTCACTGGGTCAATGTGAATAGACAGATTTCACAAAGACCAAGTTGCAGTCATTTTGTGCACTGCCTGAACTTTTCTACAAGTTTTTAATACACAAAATCAAGTTCTACATGTTATCTATGAATGTGCACATATGTGGTAAGAGGTTTTTAATGTGCATTTGGGTGATTTCTCTTTGATTTTTTTTTAATTTAATTCAAGCTCTTGGTTACACGTCATCAATAAGTTTTATTGGTATAGAAAACTCTAAGACCATAACAGCTCAGAATCACTGTCTTAAAAGGCTATGTCTACCAGAGTCAGGAAAGCATGACTACTTACTTTCTTCATTTTTAAAACTCACAGGTACTCCACACACACTCCCAAATAAAACTGTATACAAGTTCTTTAGTTTAATTAGATCCCATTTGTCAATTTTGGCTTTTGTTGCCGTTGCTTTTGGTGTTTTAGTCACGAAGTATTTGCCCATGCCTATGTCCTGAATGGTACTGCCTAGGTTTTCTTCTAGGGTTTTTATACTTTTAGAACTTACTTTTAAGTCTTTAATTCATCTCGAGTTAATTTTTGTATTAAGTGTAAGGAAGGAGTCCAGTTTCAGTTTCCTGCATAAGGCTAGCCAGTTTTCCCAACACCATTTATTAAATAGGTAATCATTTCCCCATTGCTTTTGTCAGGTTTGTCAAAGATCAGAGGGTGTAGACGTATGGCATTATTTCTGAGGCCTCTGTTCTGTTCCATTGGTCTATATATATCTGTTTTGGTACCAGTACCATGCTATTTTCATTACTGTAGCCTTGTCGTATAGTTTGAAGTCAGGTAGCATGATGCCTCCAGCTTTGTTCTTTTTGCTTAGGATTGTCTTGGCTATATGGGTTCTTTTTTTGGTTCCATATGAAATTTAAAGTAGTTTTTTCTAATTCTGTGAAGAAAATCAATGGTAGCTTGATGGGTATAGCATTGAACCTACAAATTACTTTGGGTAGTATGGCCATTTTCAAATTACTGATTCTTCCTATCCACGAGTATAGAATGCTTTTCCATTTGTTTGTGTCCTCTTATTTCCTTGAGTGGTGGTTTGTAGTTCTCCTTGAAGAGGGTCTTCAAATCCCTTGTGAGTTGTATTCCTTGCTATTTTATTCTCTTTGTAGCAATTGTGTATGGGGGTTCACTCATGATTTAGCTCTCTATTATTGGTGTATAGGAATGCTTGTGATTTTTGCACATTGATTTTGGATCCTGAGACTGTGAGGAAGTTGCTTATCAGCTGAAGGAGATTTGGGGCTGAGACAATTTGTTTTCTAAATATACAATCATATCGTCTGCAAACAGAGACAATTTGACTTCCTTTCTTCCTATTTGAATACTGTTTATTTCTTTCTCTTGCCTGACTGCTCTGGCCACAACTTCCAATACTATGATCAGAGTGAACAGGCAACCTACAGAATGGGAGAAAATGTTTGCAATCTCTCCATCTGACAAAGGCCTAATATCTAGAATCTACAAGGAACTTAAACAAATTTACAAGAAAAGAACAAACAATCTCCTCAAAAAGTGGGCAAAGGATATGAACAGACACTTCTCAAAAGAACACATTTATGCAGCCAACAAACATCTGAAAAAAAGCTCATCATCACTGATCATTAGAGAAATGCAAGTCAAAACCACAATGAGATACCATCTCATGCAGTGGAAACAACAGATGCTGGAGCAGATGTGGAGAAATAGGAATGCTTTTACAATGTTGGTGGGAGTGTCAATTAGTTCAACCATTGTGGAAGACAGTGTGGTGATTCCTCAAGGATCCAGAACCAGAATCCCATTATTGGGCACATACTCAGTGTGTGTGTGTGTGCGT